TATTTTTTGTGCATTTTTCCAAAGAAAATGTTATCTAGAATAAAAAATGTACAACATATCAACAATTCTCTCTGAGCAAGTCTGGATAATATATCTAAGGATAACCACACAAAAGCTGGTGAACGCAAATGCTTTTGACGCTTAGAAAAATGAGTTTGCATGTAGGAAGAGTCTGACTTTTGGGAAATACCAGTTAAAGACAAGTACACTGTATTTAGACTACCAAATGCCTATTTAGACCCAATCGTCATCTCCTCAAAGTAAGTTACTTAATATAGTCCAATTTGTAACATTCTCTATGAAATGGGCATTTAAATTATGTGTAATTTAATGTAGTGAGCTTGCAGTTATTGATGTATGTCCATTTTAAAGTGGTTAAAATTAATTAAAATGTTGATGACAGTTGTATGATAAACTAAATAAACTAAATATAGATTTTAATCAAGTTTTTGATATTTTTATGTTTACTTTTTGAAAATACTGATATTAATGGACGAAGATAGCAACAAATCTCAAAATGCATAGGTAGATGATAAAAATGTCATTTCAGCCTGTGGTGCCTGGCCTTAAGCAATGGCTATATGGAAGGTGAATGGCCTGTTTGTAAGGGGGTCATATAAACATTGCCCTTTTTTTATTTCCAGGCAACATATCGTAAATCCTATGTGAAAGAAGTATGACAGTACCACTAACTGCTTCACTGCGCTAAAACTCTAATCATTTCCCACCTACAATCACAATTGTCTGCATATTATAGCATGAAAATTGTCTGCACTTTTTGAAGCAGTGTGAATTTGCTAGCTAGTATTGTACATTATTATCACCAGTGGCGTGTCCTGAACATTTTGAATGGGGTGGCCAAGGTGGGGCACAGACCCAGTTTAGGGGGATTTTTTCAATAGGTGGATTTTTTCAATATAATAATTGCACGTGCACAACATTATTTTATAGGCTTAATAGTTAAGACATTTAATTTAACTTAAAAAATGTATGACCTTTTAATGTGTCATGAACACAACCAGTCATAATGTTTTCATCTGATTGTCAAACAAATCACTTAAAAAAGTAGGTTATGTAGGTTACCTGCGCACGTTCGTCTACTCCAAAATAAGTCCAGCACCTGCCATTTGAATGGAAAGGGACATCTATTACAACCACCATAAGTGTAATTGCGTTCAGCCTAGTTCAGGTTTCAAGTTTTATTAGTCGTATGTACGGGATACACATGCTATACACCCTCCACATAAATGCTTACTTGCAGGTTCCTTCTCGACAATGCAGCACCAATAACAAATAATCAAATATAAGAATATGAACAGAAAGTAAATGGCTCAGTAGAATAGAATAAACATTTTTGCATAAGTATAATACAGAAAGGCACAATTTATAGTCCAATATTTACAGGTGTTTTGGGAACGTGTTTAAATTGTGCAGTGTTTAGCTATCATAATTTTTCTACAAGGTGATGTGTATTCATGGGTACCAAGGGAAGCCAGGCTTCCCCCAAAATGTTAACAATAAAAAAATAAACAAACGTATAAAATATTTCAAATTTGTGTCTATCTGTGCTTCATAATTTCTCTTCAATTTGCAAGACGCTGAATCTATTTGACCAGAGAAAACATCAGAGCGAGGCAAACAGCGCCCCTCTGTCTTAGTATCAGAGCGGTTTCGCTCGCTCTGATTCTTTCTCCGGTGAGATTGATGAGTCTTGCTGTCGGTGCACGTCTTGCTCAAAATTATCAATATATTCAGAGACAACCTATCAGATTTCAGAATTTGGACACACCACTGAGTATCGCCTTGCTTGGTTTGAACTAGATTATACATGAAGAGTTATTTGATAATAATTTATTCAACAACAATTTCACAACACTCCTCTCCCACTTAGTAAAAGGCTATTGCAACATCAGTACCCTCCCGTAATATGAATTATTTTTTAACTGGTTCCTCTATATGTATCCTATATCATCTTATCTTACTCATATTGGCTACACTTTATTTTACTGCCCACTAATTACCTTGTATTTACCATGGTGCAACGGTTATTACATAGTTATTACTTTTTGGTTTCTTTGAGATAAGTCTTCTTAGAGAGAGTGCATTTATGAGAGTAAAAGACCTTTGCTTAAACTTGTTGGCAGAGCATGACTTCAGGTCAAACGTCCCTGACCCACTGACCAAACCAGAAAAGGAAGGCCCACGAGAACTCATCATTCTTGAAACAATGTCCAGGAACTTTGCTGACATTCTGCACTGCCCCATAGTGCTACATACTGTATGGTGCTGTGTGTACTTTACATGCCATATACTTTCACGTGATTAAAATGTCCTGAAATGAATTAGTCATCCATTTGAGTTGTGTGAAAAGGGTTCAGGTTTTGAAGCCATGACCCATTATGTAACTATGACTTGTCTAGACAGCCCATAACACTCCTGTACGACTCTGTGGTCATGCTAGGGGTAGAACTAGTTCTATGAACTGCTCTGAGACAGCTGAAAATGCACTCAAATACTTGACATGCTTCCCCAAGTTGAGCACCAGTGTAAGTTACAATCAGGGCCCCTTCAGAATATACTGCAGATATGTTTAAAATACTCTCGCACTCCCTGGTGTTACATAAGTGGAAAATGGATGTCGATACACCTGTATTTACTCTACAGTTTCTAAAGTGCTCATCAATCTTTCACTAATCAAACATAGACTGTTTTCTTAAGCCTGTGAACATTTCCATTCCCCTGTCAGTGATTGAATCAGGTTTGGTTCCACCTTAAAACAGGAAAGAAAGAAATCAGATTACTTGCGAGGCTGCCAACCAAAGTGCCTCCCCCTTGCTGAATTGGAAAGTGTGTCAGTAGAACAGCTCCTCCTCTCTCATAGCCTGACTGTTCCACGCAGCTAAGCAGCATGTCAGTTAACATATCAGCGACAAAGCTATGCTCCCGGCAACCAATGGGAGCGATAGGGGAGGGGAGGGAAGGGGTAGGCTCGTCACGGCGTTGCTAGGGTCACCTCCCCTGAATGAGTGTGTTTGTGGAACTCGGCCAGACAGCAGTTATATAACAGGGAGTGGGTGGGGGCCAGGGGCACTAGATGGGGTATCGAGAGAGTGCAGCGAGAGAGAGGTTTTTTTCCACTGCCTTTATTTATTTATTTCCCTATTTACTTTTTGTAGGTCAGTAGGAATTATATCCTGGGAAACCACTCAAATATCTCACTCACATTATGCAAAGACTCCCACTCACAAAGCAGTAGTTGTTGAGCATTCTTCCTTCCTATCTATGAAGCTGAGATTTCCACTTTATAGTTGGGTCATTTGCTTTGCTCCCCATGTGTGACGCACTTACTATATCTAGCCACAAGCTCACTCGGGTGATTGGTTGGACGTGAGTTGTTTTCTGATGAGCTGGTAAAGGGCAGTTAATCCAGTTGCTGCTTGCAAAGTAAATGTTACCTAAAGTCTTGCGTAACTGTAATACAAAATAGTTTAGAAAAAAATCTTTTAACACAGCCAGCAGTCAAAGCGAACACAGAAAAACAACCAATTGTTTTTTGAGAGTAGCCATTTTATCTTGTGTAGTGGAGGAGGCTCTCCTGAAGCGGGGGCTTTTGTTAACCTCCTAACATTTAATTCACCCTGGAGGAGGAACAGTGAAACTTTATAACCCCAGGCCCAGTAAATGCAATTGACCTGCTACTCTGGTATAATGAAAAGAGCAGCCTGTTCCAGGGAGAGAGGGCTCAGGGCTGTGCACACACTGTTACACACACTGTTAAACTTTCTGTTTATATGAATAAATTATATATTCGTATCGCCAGTATGGATATTTTTTCTTCTGCAAAATGCTGCAAATTGGCTTTTGGCTCTGATAGTCCCAGTCGGTATTAGATAAAATGTCTCGGCCCCGCACGTCTGTGGGGAAAACAACCTGTGGTTACCTAGCTTACCCCATTGGCTCACAGCAAAACCTTTACCTTTTTAAAATGCAATTTTCTTGTTGTCTGCTTATTTTAGTCAATTACAAAACTACATTTAAGAAAAGTACAACATGTCTAAAGATTGCCTGCTTCTGCCCAAGCGTTCTCACTACTTAGAAAAACATTATATTGTTGGGCTTCCCCCATGCCCCTTTTCATGACGGTGCTAGCAGCCACGTGAGTGAGCTTTAGCTAGCTACCGACCAGAACATTAAGCTAGCCAAGACCAACAACACAAACAACAGACTATACAGCTACAAGTAGTGAGTGGAGATACAAATGGACTGTACTAAACAATGTCTTACCTGTGATGAAATGTTTTCCACAGGCATAGCTACGTGTAGCCTACTTGGGCACAGGTTCCCCACATTTCCCACTCTCCCACGACGAATAGCCTGAAGCCACAGGGCTCTTCTCGCAGGCTCTATTTCCCTATGTGGGAGCATTGCGAACCGTAGGTCGGGATTTTTTAGCTGGTTACATGTACATGAAACAACACAGCAGTTTTTTGACATGTTTTGTCATTTCTGTATCATAAAAGATGTTACGATGAAGTTGCCACTTTTACAATGGAGGTCAATGGTAAAGAATGTTTATTTTCCCCAATTTGTGTGGTCAAGGGGAATTCCTTCTTATGACGTGAATATCGACTCGGAGTATAGTGTTTCTGTTGAGTTCAAAATCAGGGCAGTTGGGAGTAAAGATTGAACAGATGTTTCTATCCCTTCTTATTTGATAGGGAAGGTATATCTCCACCTGTCCTGCACTTTCTCTAACAGTTCTGGCACAGTTCCTAAGGACCATATCATATAGAGATCAAAACCCAACCCAAGACACCATCAAATTATATTTTATTATCTAGTCTAGTGAGTCTTAAATCACAATCAGGGCTTTCAGTCTGAACACTGCTATTGAACAACTTTTATAAAGCACCACTCAATAATCCACATCCACCTAACATGTTCAAATGTGTTAAGTTTGCAATGTACTAAATGTTCCTCCTCTCTCTCTACTTCCAGCACAAATTGAAGTAATACCCTGCAAGATCTGCGGGGACAAGTCATCAGGGATCCACTATGGCGTAATCACCTGCGAAGGCTGCAAGGTGAGCAACCTCAATCTCAGAGATATAATTACTCCAAGTGTTCTATTTTAGTTCTGCATACTGTCATCCCTCAAGAATACCCACAGCAAATTAAATCAATTTAGACTATTTATATATTGTATGCCCTTGCCCAGTGCCCATCCCTCCCTGCACCTGTATTCATGGTCAAATAGGTCAAGCTTACAGTGGGGAGAACAAGTATTTGATACACTGCCGATTTTGCAGGTTTTCCTACTTACAAAGCATGTAGAGGTCCGTAATTTTTATCATAGGTACACTTCAACTGTGAGAGACGGAATCTAAAACAAAAATCCAGAAAATCACATTGTATGATTTTTAAGTAATTAATTTGCATTTTATTGCATGACATAAGTATTTGATCACCTACCAACCAGTAAGAATTCCGGCTCTCACAGACCTGTTAGTTTTTCTTTAAGAAGCCCTCCTGTTCTCCACTCATTACCTGTATTAACTGCACCTGTTTGTACTCGTTACTTGTATAAAAGACACCTGTCCACACACTCAATCAAACAGACTCCAACCTCTCCACAATGGCCAAGACCAGAGAGCTGTGTAAGGACATCAGGGATAAAATTGTAGACCTGCACAAGGCTGGGATGGGCTACAGGACAATAGGCAAGCAGCTTGGTGAGAAGGCAACAACTGTTGGCGCAATTATTAGAAAATGGAAGAAGTTCAAGATGACGGTCAATCACCCTCGGTCTGGGGCTCCATGCAAGATCTCACCTCGTGGGGCATCAATGATCATGAGGAAGGTGAGGGATCAGCCCAGAACTACACGGCAGGACCTGGTCAATGACCTGAAGAGAGCTGGGACCACAGTCTCAAAGAAAACCATTAGTAACACACTACGCCATCATAGATTAAAATCCTGCAGCGCACGCAATGTCCCCCTGCTCAAGCCAGCGCATGTCCAGGCCCGTCTGAAGTTTGCCAATGACCATCTGGATGATCCAGAGGAGGAATGGGAGAAGGTCATGTGGTCTGATGAGACAAAAATAGAGCTTTTTGGTCTAAACTCCACTCGCCGTGTTTGGAGGAAGAAGAAGGATGAGTACAACCCCAAGAACACCATCCCAACCGTGAAGCATGGAGGTGGAAACATCATTCTTTGGGGATGCTTTTCTGCAAAGGCGACAGGACGACTGCACCGTATTGAGGGGAGGATGGATGGGGCCATGTATCGCGAGATCTTGGCCAACAACCTCCTTCCCTCAGTAAGAGCATTGAAGATGGGTCGTGGCTGGGTCTTCCAGCATGACAACGACCCGAAACACACAGCCAGGGCAACTAAGGAGTGGCTCCGTAAGAAGCATCTCAAGGTCCTGGAGTGGCCTAGCCAGTCTCCAGACCTGAACCCAATAGAAAATCTTTGGAGGGAGCTGAAAGTCCGGATTGCCCAGCGACAGCCCCGAAACCTGAAGGATCTGGAGAAGGTCTGTATGGAGGAGTGGGCCAAAATCCCTGCTGCAGTGTGTGCAAACCTGGTCAAGACCTACAGGAAACGTATGATCTCTGTAATTGCAAACTAAGGTTTCTGTACCAAATATTAAGTTCTGCTTTTCTGATGTATCAAATACTTTTGTCATGCAATAAAATGCAAATTAATTACTTAAAAATCACACAATGTGATTTTCTGGATTTTTGTTTTAGATTCCGTCTCTCACAGTTGAAGTGTACCTATGATAAAAATTACAGACCTCTACATTCTTTGTAAGTAGGAAAACCTGCAAAATCAGCAGTGTATCAAATACTTGTTCTCCCCACTGTATGTGTCCTGTTTCACACTTGTACAAGTGTGTAACCTGTACAAGTGTGTGGTGTGAAATGGAAATGTGTTTTTTGCATATCCCACTCCCCCTGAGAGTGGGATCACGGCCAGGGATCAGCCATTATTGACGGCGATCGACAGATCGACAGATTTTTCACCTAGTCGGCTCGGGGATTCGAACTAGCAACCTATCGGTTACTGGCCAAACGCTCTAACCGCTAGGTTTCCTGCCTCCCTGATGGTGTTTGTGCTTGTGTGTGTGTTTGCAGGGCTTCTTCCGACGCAGCCAGCAGAACAATGCTATATACTCCTGTTCACGGCAGAGGAACTGTCTGATTGACCGCACCAATCGGAATCGCTGCCAACACTGCCGGCTGCAGAAGTGCCTGGCCCTAGGCATGAGCCGTGATGGTGAGTGTGAAACACACACACACACACACAGCAAGGTCAGTCCAGAGGGGACCACTGTCTGTCTGTCTCTTCACCAGACGCTAGGGCTCTCTGGGTCTTATTGAAAGGCCAAATGTGGAGTTGTGTTACACTGTGTAAAATCACTGCTGGAATCATGCCTGAGAGACAGCAGTGATGCAATGAAGTTAAATGATCAGTGGATTTTCTTCTATATTTGGAATTGTTCAAGTTCTATATTAGCTCCATATGGACTTACTGTATGAGCTCATAATTCATTCCCTGGTTATTGACTGACTCTTTATCTCCTTTCCTGGTACAGCTGTGAAGTTTGGCCGCATGTCCAAAAAGCAGAGAGACAGCCTGTATGCTGAGGTCCAGAAGCACCAGGCGTCCCAGGAGTTAACTGCCGCCCGCGAGGAGGGAGGCGAGGTCGGAGGTCATGGCCGGGCAGACAGCAGAGGCTCCAGTGCCGCCCTCAGCGACCTTGATGACATCACCCTGCCGGATGGCCTGCTGTGTGACCTGCCCCTGACACCAGAGGGCGCCGAAAGAGAGTACTGCAATCTGGAAATGATGGGGGGCAGCAGCTCCTCCTCTCAAAGCTCGCCCGAACAGAATGGACTGGACTTCGGAGACAGCAACCACCACATCAAGCATGAGTACCAGCTGCTGCACGAGTCCGGCCTGTTTACACACGCGCTGCTCAACCCTCTACCCGAGGGGTTCTCCATGCTCGAGATTGGTAAGTGGAACTGTCACTCTATCACCATCTGCTGTATGTCACTATAACTAACACTATATCATTTTTCATTGAGTGTGGTTGAAAGCTAACCCATACTTGTCTTGTCCATTTCCAGAGCGTATAACTGCTAGTGTGGTAAAGTCTCACATAGAGACCAGTCAGTACGGCAGTGAGGAGCTGAAGAGGCTCGTCTGGTCCCTGTACACCCCTGAGGAGACACGCAGCTTCCAGAGCAAGGTTAATATCAACGTCCTGTACCAAGATTAACTCAGTGACCTAGTACTCTGTGACCTGTGACCTAGTTACTCTTACACCACTATGTGCTATTCCCAATGTCATATCTATCATGGGCATCCCTTTGTTCTCTCTTTCAGTCTGCGGAGGTCATGTGGCAGCAGTGTGCCATCCACCTCACCAATGCCATCCAGTACGTGGTGGAGTTTGCCAAGCGCATCACTGGATTCCTGGATCTCTGTCAGAACGACCAGGTCATTCTTCTCAAAGCAGGTCAGTACCTATTGTTAGGCCATAAGATGAGTGCATTTCACAACTCTATTCCATGGCCTCATATAACAGCGTTCTCTGACCTCAAAGCATACAGTGGGGTCTGAAATTATTCACACCCTTGATTAAGATGAGCAAAAATGACTGTATAAAATAAATCATTAAAATACTGAGCTATGTTGTATGCAAAAAAAAAGGGAAATTATATTATTTAATGTTAAAATAATTGCGCAGAGAAAGAGCTTTTGTTTAACAAGTAATACTTTTTTTTCTTAAAAAGGTAGGGGTCAACATTATTGACACCCCTGTTTTTAATACCTTTCAATAACTCACGACACTGAGCCTTTTTCTAAAATGTTTTAGGAGTTGGAGAACGCATTGGGAGGGATCTTAAACAATTTCTCCATACAGAATCCTTTCAGATCCTTGATATCCTTTGTCTGCGCTTATGGACTGCTCTCTTCAATTCAAACCACAGTTGCCATTGCAACGTTTAGATTTTGTGTACAATTAACAATTTCTTTGTGGATTTTGATGTGTGTGAAATGGTTAATTGGCCACAAAATCAACATTTTGCAATGGCCAGCTTAGTCTCCAGACTTTAAACCAATTGAAAACCTGTGGTTTGAATTGAAGAGAGCAGTCCATAAGCGCAGACAAAGGATATCAAGGATCTGGAAGAATTCTGTATGGAGGAATGGTCTAAGATCCCTTCCAATGCGTTCTCCAACTCCAAACATTATGGAAAAAGGCTCAGGGCTGTTATCCTCGCAAGGTGAGGTATTGAAAGGTATTGAAATCAGGGATGTCAATCATTCTGACCTTTACCTTTTTGAGAAAATAATGATTACTTGTTTAACAAAATCTCTTTCTCTGAGCAATTATATTAGTATAAAATAATATAATTTCCTCATGTGAATAATTTCGGACCCCACTGTAGTTCCTGTTCACACAACCTGAGCATGTATGCATTTACTGCATTTACATGTTTCAGTACTACAACATTAATGCACAATAGTATATTTGACAAACATGCATGTCTACAGCTAGACAAACAAACTTCGCCACTTAGGACTACATTTTAGAATATACATACAATTTAACCGAATTTGTGAACACAAATACAGTGGGGGAAAAAAGTATTTAGTCAGCCACCAATTGTGCAAGTTCTCCCACTTAAAAAGATCAGAGAGGCCTGTAATTTTCATCATAGGTACACGTCAACTATGACAGACAAAATGAGGAAAAGAAATCCAGAAAATCACATTGTAGGATTTTTTAATGAATTTATTTGCAAATTATGGTGGAAAATAAGTATTTGGTCAATAACAAAAGTTTCTCAATACTTTGTTATATACCCTTTGTTGGCAATGACACAGGTCAAACGTTTTCTGTAAGTCTTCACAAGGTTTTCACACACTGTTGCTGGTATTTTGGCCCATTCCTCCATGCAGATCTCCTCTAGAGCAGTGATGTTTTGGGGCTGTCGCTGGGCAACACGGACTTTCAACTCCCTCCAAAGATTTTCTATGGGGTTGAGATCTGGAGACTGGCCAGGCCACTCCAGGACCTTGAAATGCTTCTTACGAAGCCACTCCTTCGTTGCCCGGGCGGTGTGTTTGGGATCATTGTCATGCTGAAAGACCCAGCCACGTTTCATCTTCAATGCCCTTGCTGATGGAAGGAGGTTTTCACTCAAAATCTCACGATACATGGCCCCATTCATTCTTTCCTTTACACGGATCAGTCGTCCTGGTCCCTTTGCAGAAAAACAGCCCCAAAGCATGATGTTTCCAACCCCCATGCTTCACAGTAGGTATGGTGTTCTTTGGATGCAACTCAGCATTCTTTGTCCTCCAAACACGACGAGTTGAGTTTTTACCAAAAAGTTCTATTTTGGTTTCATCTGACCATATGACATTCTCCCAATCCTCTTCTGGATCATCCAAATGCACTCTCGCAAACTTCAGACGGGCCTGGGGACACGTCTGGCACTGCAGGATTGCACTGCGGCGTAGTGTGTTACTGATGGTAGGCTTTGTTACTTTGGTCCCAGCTCTCTGCAGGTCATTCACTAGGTCCCCCGTGTGGTTCTGGGATTTTTGCTCACCGTTCTTGTGATCATTTTGACCCCACGGGGTGAGATCTTGCGTGGAGCCCCAGATCGAGGGAGATTATCAGTGGTCTTGTATGTCTTCCATTTCCTAATAATTGCTCCCACAGTTGACCAAGCTGCTTACCTATTGCAGATTCAGTCTTCCCAGCCTGGTGCAGGTCTACAATTTTGTTTCTGGTGTCCTTTGACAGCTCTTTGGTCTTGGCCATAGTGGAGTTTGGAGTGTGACTGTTTGAGGTTGTGGACAGGTGTCTTTTATACTGATAACAAGTTCAAACAGGTGCCATTAATACAGGTAACGAGTGGAGGACAGAGGAGCCTCTTAAAGAAGAAGTTACAGGTCTGTGAGAGCCAGAAATCTTGCTTGTTTGTAGGTGACCAAATACTTATTTTCCACCATAATTTGCAAATAAAATCATTAAAAATCCTACAATGTGATGTTCTGGAATTTTTCTTTTCTCAATTTGTCTGTCATAGTTGACGTGTACCTATTATGAAAATTACAGGCCTCTCTCATCTTTTTAAGTGGGAGAACTTACACAATTTGTGGCTGACTAAATACTTTTTTTCCCCACTGTATACTTTATTTGTCACATTTTGCATATAGGGTCACTACATTTTGCATATACCTTGAGGTTGCTACATACATTATCAACATATCTTGCAAAGGCCACATTCTGTTTCCAACGATGTTGAAGAACAAAGTTATTATTCTAATGATGGATCTTCTTTTTTTCTTCTCGCCTACCTTTCCTTTTATGTGCTGTTTGTTCATCATCTTTGTTTGAATTGTAACAAATCGTATTGTAAAAATGATTTTATTCATAATTTATTTAAACACATTTGATGTTGTGATATGAAATGGATGTATTCTATTGACTGACAACATGGAATTTGTTTTTTATTTCATGTTGTTTGTGTGTTCATGTTGGAGCATCCTTTGTCCCCGTTTTCTCCCTTTCCCTCTTCCTCTCCCCCTCTCATTCTTTATGATATCTTTATTGTCTCCTCTTAAGGATGTCTGGATGTGCTTCTGATTCGCATGTGTCGCGCCTACAATCCCATCAACAACACTATTCTGTTTGATAGCAAGTTTGCCAGCGCACAGACCTTCAAAGCTCTTGGTGAGTCCCCTCTTTATGAAACCAAATCATTATTATTCCATCAGAATATATTCACACACACAAAATATATATATATACATAAATATATTCACACACCCACATAGTCGAAAAATTCTAGGTCAACCTTTTTTTAGCTTTATTATTTTTCCAAAGTGAACCAAGTCAGGCGTTTCTGTTTTGATAACACCTGTTTTTCCCCCTGCTTCCTCGAAGGTTGTGATGACCTTGTGGGTGCTGTGTTTGACCTGGCCAAGAGCCTGAGTCGTATGCAGCTCTCTGAAGAGGAGATGGCTCTGTTCAGTGCTTCTGTTCTCCTGTCACCAGGTAATCCTCTGACACTGTCTCCCCTTGACTGGTGTGATGTCCCAGCTCTAAAACAGACACTAAGTCATATGTGAGAAGGAAAACCAGCAGAGACTGACTGTGGTTGTCGCTCTCTTTTTCCTCCAGACCGACCATGGTTGACAGACAGCCAACAGGTGCAGAAGCTTCAAGAGAAAGTGTATCTGGCTCTGCAACATTGTCTACACAGAGGTGGCTCATCAAAGGAGAAACTGGCAAAGGTACACATTGGCAGATGATGATATATTCCTTTATTCCTAAGATTGGCGCTTGTTAATGGATTTGGGGTGAAATGTGAAAAACACGAATTTTCTGTCTCGCTTTTTCCTTTCTCTCGATCTCTTCTTCTACCTCTAAGATGGTGTCCAAGCTTCCCATGATGAAGTCCATCTGCAATCTCCACATTGACAAGCTCGAGTTTTTCCGCCTGCTCCACCCGGAGACTGCATACAATTTCCCCCCTCTGTACCGTGAGGTGTTCAGCAGTGAAATCACCTTCCCAGACTCCACAATGGACTAAAAATCTGTTTAGATATGAAAGTGATTCATATAGAGACAAAAATATGTAGGGAACGAGAGGTAGGGAGAAGAATGTGGCAACAGCGAAGCAACCAGCAGCTCTGTGACAACCCTGCACGCTACACTTTAGGACACACTACTCTCACCTCAGACCTCCAACCTATGGAGTTGCTTGGACTGTAAGCCAGTCCAGGCTACGAAATTCAACACTAGGTGCATGCTGCCTATTTTGGGGGGAGTAAAATGGTTCTGAGAATGTATTTTCGCAATCTCAGATGGTTTTTCTAAGAGAGCTTGAGATCTCCCTTAAGCTGAAGTCCTCTGTAAAACGAGTTTGACTTCATTTCCAGTTCTCAGTGCAAGTCCTTGTAAGATAATCTTGAATGTACCCCACAGACATGCAGTACAGAGAAAGGCTTGAGACTGAATGTACTATACTATCCTTCCCCATTGGAGGAGTTGCTGTGTAGATGTTTATTTTTTATCTTATTGCAGTTCTACAGCTAAATGTTAGTTTCTTATTTGGTAGTGCCCATACTTTGGAGTTTTGTATCCTATGAACAAACTGTTTAAAAGGACCAAGATCAAATGGATAAGCGCCACGTTTTTTTTTTTTGCATGCAAGACATGGACAAAGAGACCCAAGGCAACTATTACCATGCATGCAGACTTGCACACACAGCACTAAGACAAAGCACTTATGCTGACCTATACATGTATTTTTACAGGCACACATTCAGACACTGATATTTTTGAGCTCTTGATATTTTTTTGATGCAATCAAAGACCTCAGTCCCACTACATTTTCCTCTTACAAATGCCACTTAGAGAGAGCAAGAGAGAAGAATCAAATAAGTATTTTTAAAGTATTTTTAAATGTTCTTTATCTATACACTTATATTTTAAAAAATTAATAAAAATAAAATGTGACAGGGATAAAAAAAAAATATATATATATATATATATATATATATAGAGAGAGAGGGAGCGGGGAGATGTATAGTAAGATACAATTATTCAGGTTGGATTGTAAAAGAGAATGCGTTATCAATGACCTGGTTAAATAAAGGCAAATAAATACATAGATTTGCCAGGACAGCATCTTTCAAAGTATTTCTGGTCATATTCCGGGGTACTGGGATGGAAAATGATTAGATGAATAGCACTTACCGACAAAGAGCCCTCCCTCACCCAATCTGGACCCTTTTCTCGTGCTACCAAGAATCTCAGGGTTCCAACCCAAAGACTGATGATTGTCCTGCTGAAACTGACAGAAGTGGGACATCCTCCCGCCTCAGACAGGCAGGACAGAAGCAACTGAGGGAGGGAGTTCCCCGGGAGATGAAGGATCTTTCCCACCCCTCAAGCTAGGGGTCTGTAGGTCCAGTACAATACTTTGTTGAGGAGGGAAAGGAAGCAGATGATAAGAAGAAAACAAATAGGTGGCGAAAACACTTTCCAGTGCTCCCACCTGGGCACCAACAACAATGGGAGGGGCATTTAGGGTTTGACCTTTGACCAGTATGGGGAAGGTGGGGGGGGGGGGGGTTCAGGCAGTCTACTGTTTCAGACTGAACTGAAAGTGTGATAATTTGTTAATGATGCCTTCTCTCCCTAACCCTCCCCCGTCTACCTCACCCTCTCCCAAACACTTATGGCACAACAAAGGGTTAACAGAGCCATCAGCTACCCCCCAGAGTTAGGGATTTCAACATTTAGATTATAGAGTATTTGAGATTTCATAATTTACAATGCAATTTGAAGGACGATGATATACGTACAAAAATATGTATTTTATGTTTATATATTTTTCCACGCTGTTTATTTGAGAGCATTAAATCTGCCCCTCTGTCTTCAACGAGAGTGCAGCCTTTTATTAATCTCTACCAGGAAGTCAAAGTTAGATTAACATCTCTTTTTAGGGAGAGGGACTTTGGGTGTGGCAGGATATTTATTTTTAACTATTCTTAAAGGGGCTTTTTGGATTTAAAAAAAACTCTCAACACCCTCAGTACAAAGCTTGTACATAGACAATCTTCTGTGTGAACAGTTTGGTAAGAGCATATTCAGGGGCGCAACTTTCACTGGAGCCGGGGGGGGGGGGGGGGGGGGGGGCATTTTTGTCCCCCCCAGTTTTATCATTGGAATGTGATAGAAAAAACAGTGTGTTTTAGGACCATGTGGACGACCTCCGAGCGGTCGCATAGGCTGTTTGGAGTGTTTATCCAACTGTATACAAATTTGACAAAATAATAATAAGTATGTCCCCCCCACTTCTAAAACCAAAGTTGCGGCCCTGTTTGTATTACTTTTACCACAAGAAGAGACAATCACTAATGGGCCTTGAGTATTTTCTGTCCAATTATATTTAAATAATCATATGTTTCACTTTGCAATGCTGGAACAGTGTGTTTCTTCATACTGTATATAAATGTATATGTAGTTGGTATTTAGGGGGATATACTTTTCTGGGAGCTTACAACCGTATCATATTGGGATTGGCAATGTCTTTCCCGATTTCAGTTAGGAAGGCCTAAACAGCCCTGGTTAGATGTCTCAGTAGACTTCATAAGCACCCCAACCTGAGACCCCTTAAAAGTACAGCACAAGAGGTTTCAAGTTCTCTCAACATAACAACACCCAACTTTTACACAGAACTAGTATAACTGACTTGAGTGTATGGTTTGTAAGGCAAAGGCGATTGTATTAAGTGAAATGCTTTGTAAGCGTTTAGAACTTAGATGGTTATGTATTTGCACACCTAAAACTGCTTTTTCCGTCTTTGAAGGCCATTCGCAAGGTGTGCAGTTACATTTCCACTCAGTCACTCAGGGAGATAGCTGGACTCTCTGTTCTACAGTGTTTTCGTCAGTTAGCCTAGTCCGACACCTTGCGTTGAATAGAAGACCTTAAAACCTTGATCACTGTGTACATGTTCTTGTTGAACACAGAAGTATCAAAGGTTTGACCCCAGTCTAATATCAATATTATTACAGGACTTTTGAGCCTGAATTGTAGGATAAATAGAATCTAAAATGTAATTACATTTAAAGATGGATTTGAATGTATATATCCTGTGTTGGTTTTGTTGTGATCTTTTGTTTCTTCATTTCTATCCTTATCTGTCATATTCTTTCTCATCAGTTTACTGTCCTCCTTTTTGTCTTGGAGAGTTGTTATTCTATTTTTTTAAGAGTGTTTTAATAATATCTCCCTAAAGGTTCCTCTCTTTTCATGATCCTTCTATTTATCATGTTTTCATTCTATTTTAAGATTATTATTGAAATCAATATAGATTTTAAGAATATATTATTTAGGATATATTATGAATATGAAGCCTAAGAGTTTTTTTTAACACATTTAAGAGTTCTTGTTGTAGCTACAATGGGGATACAATATGTGGATTTAAGAATGTAATAAAAGTATTTTTATAATAAGTTGATGTTGTTTGTGTGCTTACTCATGTACAGTAATTACACTTCCTAACCCTTGGAATTAGATGAGCCACACCTGTTTATTCGTTTTACACATAGTAATATCAATCATATGGAATAAAGATAGGTAATTTGTTAAATATTTAACAAAAGATATGCAGTTAAGTAACATCTGTCGACAATATAGAACAAGGCAAAACATGTACATCTTATCCAATGACAAGCTATGATAAATCACAGTGGTGCAAATTGTGAAACACTGCTAAGCTGAAGATAAGTCCAAGAGCCTTAGCAGGGTTCCTGGCTAAAACATTTTTTTTACATCAGGTACAGTATAGAACAATTACAGCACATGACCGTGTCCAGCTGCAATTTCACTTTCAGGTGCAAATTTATCAAGCTTGCAGTCCAATAAAGTTGAGTGCCTCAGGGCTCTCTTGACACCAATCAAGTATTTCCGAAAACCCTGTTTCTACAGTATGGTCCTATTTTCATACAGTAGCCTATGGTATTATTGCAACGCAAACAAATATTAAAGATCTCCAGAGAATAGAATCATCTTATCTCAAACTATGGCATACATACAGTGAGGGAAAAAGGTATTTGATCCCCTGCTGATTTTGTACGTTTGCCCACTGACAAAGAAATTAATCAGTCTATAATTTTAATGGTAGGTTTATTTGAACAGTGAGAGACAGAATAACAACAAAAAAATCCAGAAAAATGCATGTCAAAAATGTTATAAATTGATTTGCATTTTAATGAGGGAAATAAGTATTTGACCCCCTCTCAATCAGAAAGATTTCTGGCTCCCAGGTGTCTTTTATACAGGTAACGAGCTGAGATTAGGAGCACACTCTTAAAGGGAGTGCTCCTAATCTCAGCTTGTTACCTGTATAAAAGACACCTGTCCACAGAAGCAATCAATCAGATTCCAAACTCTCCACCATGTCCAAGACCAAAGAGCTCTCCAAGGATGTCAGGGACAAGATTGTAGACCTACACAAGGCTGGAATGGGCTACAAGACCATCGCCAAGCAGCTTGGTGAGAAGGTGACAACAGTTGGTGCGATTATTCGCAAATGGAAGAAACACAAAATAACTGTCAATCTCCCTCGGCCTGGGACTCCATGCAAGATCTCACCTCGTGGAGTTGCAATGATCATGAGAACGGTGAGGAATCAGCCCAGAACTACACGGGAGGATCTTGTCAATGATCTCAAGGCAGCTGGGACCATAGTCACCAAGAAAACAATTGGTAACACACTACGCCGTGAAGGACTGAAATCCTGCAGCGCCCGCAAGGTCCCCCTGCTCAAGAAAGCACATATACAGGCCTGTCTGAAGTTTGCCAATGAACATCTGAATGATTCAGAGGAGAACTGGGTGAAATCGAGCTCTTTGGCATCAACTCAACTCGCCGTGTTTGGAGGAGGAGGAATGCTGCCTATGACCCCAAGAACACCATCCCTACCGTCAAACATGGAGGTGGAAACATTATGCTTTGGGGGTGTTTTTCTGCTAAGGGGACAGGACAACTTCACCACATCAAAGGGACGATGGACGGCGCCATGTACCGTCAAATCTTGGGTGAGAACCTCCTTCTCTCAGCCAGGGCATTGAAAATGGGTCGTGGATGGGTATTCCAGCATGACAATGACCCAAAACACACGGCCAAGGCAACAAAGGAGTGGCTCAAGAAGAAGCACATTAAGGTCCTGGAGTGGCCTAGCCAGTCTCCAGACCTTAATCCCATAGAAAATATGTGGAGGGAGCTGAAGGTTTGAGTTGCCAAACGTCATGCTCGAAACCTTAATGACTTGGAGAAGATCTGCAAAGAGTGGGACAAAATCCCTCCTGAGATGTGTGCAAACCTGGTGGGCAGCTACAAGAGTCATGTTTTGCAGAGGGGTCAAATACTTATTTCCCTCATTAAAATGCAAATCAATTTCTAACAATTTTGACATGCGTTTTTCTGGATTGTCAGTGGGTAAACGTACAAAATCAGCAGGGGATCAAATACTTGTTTCCCTCACTGTAGGCCTGCCAGTCTATAGTTTAAACTTTAAGGTATAGAGCCTGTAACTCTTTGCTCCCAGCTAAGTCCATTAATAAATCAACATGACTTGTGGGCCTCAATGGAGCGCAATCCCACTTCTGACACCAATGTGGCAAATTCAGGAGTAGCCCCAACGGTGTTCGACCCAGCTACCTTCCAACATTAAATTAATTAGCTCTTTGAGATACAAGTATTTTTACAAGATTGTTAGCTAGTGTTGCTGCGCTGATGCTGTGGTCTTCATGAAAGTTACAGTAAGCATGATCATGCAAATGAATAAAGCCATACATATAGCATGAGCAGTGTTGGGGAAGCTAGTCTGAAAATATAGTTTACCAAGCTACAAATTACTTTACACTGGAACAAGTTATGCTACACTAAATCTACCCTTAAGAAAAATATAGTTTACTTAACTAAAGCTACTTTGAAAAAGTAGTTCACTACATCTAAACTACTTAGTGATAAATTGTTATTATTAAATCTGAAATGTCATAGACTACAAATTGCAAGAACAGTTCACTCTGGAGTCAGATGTTAATAGAATGTGTAATTTAGTCTATCAAGTGAGAATTGGTTCTTGCCAATTTCACCCATAATTTATTTTCTTTTGCCAAAAAAGTAGTGTGTAGTTTCAGTTGTTATAGCTACACCACTACATGACAAAAAGTAATTAACTACTGAAAGCATTACCAAGATTTGAATTTAGTTCAACTATACCACCAAGCTACTGCAACATGCAGTTTAAATACTAGTTAGACTACATGTAGTTCACAACTCCCCAACACTGAGCATGTGTGAGTTTGAAGTGGTTTTCAACCAAAGTACTTGAGACTGAAATAGACACGTCTAGAAAACTATTGAAGAACACTTCTGCCACCATGTGGAAAAAAAGTGAACATAGACCATATTGGCCTGTTCCTCTTCTGTGCGATAGTGGGCGCTGCGCGCTTGCTTATGGAGAGACCATTTTGAATGTGCAGCGAGCGCAATGATTTTTTGGAATTTGGGTGCGCGAGACTTGACAGAAGAGTTACAGGGAGTGTTAAGTGGTGATGTACCATCATTTCAGGTTGTGGGCATGAGGTAGGAATTAATATATTTAAACAGTGGATTAGGGTGGTGTTAATTATTACTAATATTTTAGAATTTTTGAGTGTAGTGTTAGATGGTAGGGTGTATCTGTTTTTTTTTTTCAAGCAAAAATATAAGGGAGTTGTACTCCAGTCTAGTAGGTGGCGGTAATGCAACAAATTGGATGCCAACCGCCGTTAAACCTAATCGAAAAAGAATAAGATTTTTTGGAGGCGTAGAGTAAACGGTTTGGTGCAGCTAAAAGTGTACACTGTGGATATACTCATACCTAGTTCTAGAGTCTTTCAAGACCTATATGCACTTTATAGAGATCTGCGCGCTTGTTCAACCGCATTTTTAGTAACGCTCGTGAACCGCAGGACATCCTCGTAGACGTGGTCGGTCAGCAATCAGTTGGCGTGTACTGTAAAGGAGAACGACTTCTAAATCGCAATCATATGACCACGGCGTACTACTAGTTTAGCTAGCAATAGTTATTGTCTTAAATTTAATCCTACTACGGCAAAAGTGAAAGACAGTCCGGCTCCAATTTGGACGGTCCAAGATGTCTGTAGCGGGCTTCAAGAAGCAGTTTTATAAAGCCAGCCAGGTTAGCGAACAACTTTCCTCCCCTCCGAATACAGATTTGTTTCAATAAGTATTAGCTAGCTAATATTAGTAATGTTAGATAGCAAACGAGTTAAAAAATAAATCATTATCTGAGATTGCTAGGTAACTAGCTTGCATTAACTTTTATGAAGTTTTAGCTTGCTAGCTAGCTAGCTACTGGCTAGGCTACTTTTGTAGTAACTTTAGCTAGCTATACATTTTTTTATTGTTACATGTTTTTGTATGTTATTTAGCTAGTTGGCAGTCTTTATAATTATTTCATGCGTTAACATTAGCAAACTAACGTTAAAACGTGACAAAAACCTTCAAAAGAATGCCATGATAAACTTGACAGCTAGCCAGCCAGCTAGCTAACGTTAGCTAGCTAGATACTTTTTATGTACTTAGCGTAGCTAGAATCTCAAGAAAAACACTTCGCAGGTAGTTAGCTATCCTAGTACACAGCTACCTAGATAACGGTACTAGTATGGATAGTGCATGTGTCATGTCTGTCAACTGTCACTTAACAGGTAAGCTGAGGGTGTACACACCTTCAGGTAACACATTCCAGTGTGCTAACTGTTCCTAGGCTATCTAGCTATGCCCTGGGGATATCAGGGGCAACGTATGTGTTGCTGGTGGTTTTGTTAGTTACCTTGTAGAACAGGGGTTCCCGAACTTTTTCACTCAGGCACCCCTTCTAGTATTGGGGTTTTAATTTCGAAAATCAAATTTCAGAGTGCCAATATCTTGTTGGTTATGTAGACGGAAGATGGATGATTTAGATTTGTTTTCCTCTGTTGGAGCCCTGTCTGATCTCAGTTCTGGTGGTTATTAAGACATTTTTTTATTTTTTTATTTTTATTTAACCTTTATTTTATCAGGGAGTCATACTGAGACCAAGGTCTCTCTTACAGATGAGCCCTGAATTACATAAATTATAGAAAATACACACATCAAAATAAAAATACAAAATGCAAGCAGAAAGAAAAACAGTCGTAAAAAACAGACATTCATCAGTAAAAAGGTCCTCCATCAGCGTTCTGAATTGGCCTAGAGGCACCAAAACATCACATTTCAGAACATTTTGAAGATTGTTCCACAAATAAGATGCAAAAAAACTAAAAGCTGATTGAAATAACTCAGTAGAGACCAAATGAATTTCCAGTGTTAGCCATCCCTGAGACCAGGTGTTGTAACTCGTATGTCTAAAGTTTAGTAATGATGTTCGGTACAGTGGGCTTTATAATTGAAACATAGCAATGTATCATCCTACTTTTGAGTCAGTCTCTTCTTGTCCCTGCTGATCTCAGCAGGAAAGACATATGCTTTCTACCCCAACATCCTTTTAGGAGCGGGCTTAGATCCCCAGTTGGGGCTTAGAAAAAAAGAGAGGGATATGAAGAGAAAGAGGGAAAGAGTCAATCCATTGAGAAGACAGACCGTGAAAGAGGAAATGGAGGGCCAAAACTGCAGTGTATATGTGTGTGTACTGTATTTTTGTGTGTGTTTGCATGCATGTGTGTACTGTATATTTGTGTGTGTTTGCGTGCATGTGTTACAGGGGGGCTAGGAGAGAAACTATGCGCCTTCTCCCTGATTGGACTGCAATGCAGTTGCAGTTTCTTGCCAAACTTCATAGGAGTCAATCATGCCTGACGCCAACAAGAAATATGACACTCCCCTGCAAGGCATAAAATAACATGCTTATTGAGAGCATGCAGTGGTTTTGTCACTAGCAATGATGGCATGTGATTGGAAATAGGCCTACTTGTAGGAATTGGTTTCGTATGTTTTCTGCAGCACTGTTTTTTCTGTTCTTATGGAATGCAGGAAGTTGGCTTTAGAAATGTAATATAGCTGCAGCACCCCATAGCACACGCCCATGTTTTTTTTGGACTTACTATCCCCCTTACTTTTCACCACATTTCACAAAGCTGTCAAACATGGCCTACACATTATTCAACTTGTTGTGTGTACACACGTACCAAGTGTCATAAATAATACTTAATCTGACTCGATATCTGAATTAAATGCCTTTCAAAATCCTGCAGCAGCACTAGCATACTTTGCAACACGTACAGGGAAGTTGGTGGGAATGTTAAAGGAAATGGTGGGTCAGAGTGGAGTCTGCAGATGGCTGATCATATTCACTCACAGAGGGAGCGGTCAGCTGAAGGATCATATGCTGCTCAAAAGGTTAAGTTAACATGTACAGTGGCATTGGCCCTGTCGCTTATAGGCTAGTTACATTTACCCTTTACAGACAGACTTTACTGTATGTTCCACATTCATGCCAGGATAAGCCTTTTAAATATCCTGTGCACATGCCAGCAAGTGTGGGAGTAGACGTGGGTGGACGTTTATTTTAATAAATCCATTAACTATATACTATCGCAAAGAAATCCAATATTAAATCATTTCAGGCAGGTCCTAAGAAGCATAAGACTAATAAAATGTATTTTCAAAAGAATAGAATGATATATTTTGAGTTGAATTATGTTACTGGTCTGTGCAGCCTGTATGGCTGCGCCATGCACATGAAGTCAATAATTTTGTTAATTAAACAGACGACACACTTAGGCTACCCTGATCAAAGTCAACACACATATATTATAGGCTAAGAATATATAATAATAATAATATGCCATTTAGCAGACGCTTTTATCCAAAGCGATTTACAGTCATGCGTGCATACATTTTTGTGTATGGGTGGTCCCGGGGATCGAACCACTACCTTGGCGTTACAAGCGCCGTGCTCTACCAGTTGAGCTACAGAGGACCACAATATAACAGAATAAAATGAACAAGTATTTTTCCCCCCAAAACATGCGTCACAGCAACGTGTGGAACCGCTGTCATATTTAAAAATAAAAAATTAAAAAAAGTTATATTTTGATACAGCCAAAGGCAAGCCCATGCTTTTTAAAATCCAAATTTCATCTTTCCTACCTTTGTTTGGGAGCAGGCATAGGGTCTTACTTTCAGTGTGTCTTCATGATACCAGTGGTGGAAAAAGTACCCAATTGTCATACTTGCGTAAAAGTAAAGATACCTTAATAGAAAATGGCTCAAATGAAAGTCACCCAGTAAAATACTACTTGAGTAAAAGTCTAAAAAAGTATTTGGTTTTAAATATACTTAAGTATCAAAAGTAAATGTATAAATCATTTCACATTCCTTATATTCAGCAAACTGACAGCAAGGGGCACACTCCAACACTCAGACATAATTTACAAACGAAGCGTTTGTGTTTAGTGAGTCCGCCAGATCAGAGGCAGTGGGGATGATCAGGGATGTTCTCTTGATAAGTGTGTGAATTTGACCATTTCCCTGTCCTGTTAAGCATTCGAAACGTAACAAGTACATTTGGGTGTCAGGGAAAATCAATGGAGTAAAAAGTACATTATTTTCTTTAGGAATGTAGTAGAGTAAAAGTTGTCAAAAATATAAATAGTAAAGTACAGATACCCCCCAAAAACGACTTAAGTACTTTAAAGTATTTTTGCTTAAGTACTTTACACCACTGCATGATACCGATAGAAAATAATAGCAATCTATATTTTCAAAAGCATGTGAGTCTCGTGTTCATATTTCACAACCTCCACAGGCTTTTGGAGTTGCCTTTACGTGATCGAGCATAAATAATAGGCCTACACTTGATTTACTTGATACTAAATGTTTCTGATCAGTGATAGATGATCAAACGAATAGATGAGCTTTGCCATCTCCACATTTGCCCAGCCAGAGAATTAACCAAATATTCAGATGGAGATTCAGTGAAACAAAATCACATTGATTAAGACAAGTCACAGGCTTTTGGTCAGGAGTAAGCCTAGGCTACTAAGTGACTGCAAGTGAAGAGCAAAATAATCCACTTGTTAAGCTACGTAAACATGCAGGCAAAATGTTCTGATCAGTGCTAATAAATGAGCCAACTAGACAAGATGACCATGAGCAGCACTCACTAACATTTCCACAGCCTAATTGTGGCCTAGCAAATATCAGAACGGAGATTCAGTGAAAAGAAAAATCTGACATTGATTTATCTAGATGAGTCCCTATGCTTGTTTCAAAGCAGTGTGAAATGGTGCTGAAATAGTTGAACACTATTTTGCTTCAAATGTAGGCCTACTATAACAATTGGATGACTTTGGGAGGTTCAGTAAGCAACAATTTGATTCCTTCAATTGCATTAGCTACTTTATTCCAATATTTTAATCATTCAGTGGTATTCAACCCCACAGTAATTATTTATGGACCCATCCAGTTTTGGTTAAGAAAACAGTGCATGGGGTGGGCTATGTGAAGAGATGGGTGAATTGACATGTCTTGCAAAGTTTAGAACTGCCAGGATGATAGTAGTAACGGGCGCTGCCTAGCAACCATCAAGAGTTTGAGAGCGTAGTGTGTGCCAGTGCTGCCTCAGCATTGCCGCTGCAGTTCATACTAAGCCGTAGGCAAAACTTTACCCCAGTCATGACTAGGTCGGTTGTCGGAAATAAAAGTAGAGGCTTTGTCGCCGGCAAAAAACCTTCATGTATAAAGAAAAGTCTGCAAAAAGTTTGCGTGATACTAAAGTTGGCGCAGAAATGTCTTGGTTTGAAAGGTGTATTACACACAGAGCACTAACTAATCAATTGTATATTTGGGATGCAAATTTCGGAACATTTTGCTGCCAACTAACCGACCCTAATTAACCGGTCAACAAACGGTCACGTTTTTTCCCAACAGTAAAATTACGTGACCAACAGAAAATGCTATGCATGCATACAAGGAAGGGACATTTTACATTAAGAGCTTAATGGAAACATGCAACAATAGGAAGCCTATCATCTTACATTCAAAAGGCTATAGCCTATTATGGAACATGCAACTCCTGTAATGAAGCAGCTAATATACTGAACAAAAATATAAACGCAACATGTAAAGTGTTGGTCCCATGTTTCATGAGATGAAATAAAAGAACCCAGAAATGTTCCATACGCACAAAAAGCTTATTTCTCTCAAATGTTGTGCACAAATTTGTTTACATCCCTGTTAGTGAGCATTTCTCCTTTGCCAAGATAATCCATCTGATATTTGTCAAGCTGATGTTGCAGTGCTTTCATTGTCTGGCATTCCTCAAACTGATATAACTCAGTTAAAGGGATAGTTTGGGGTTTTGGCAATGAAGCCCTTTATCTACTTCCCCAGAGTCAGATCAGGGCGGCAGGTAGCTTAGTGGTTAAGAGCGTTGTGCCAGTAACCGAAAGGTCGCTGGTTCTAATCCCCGAGCCGACTAGGTGAAAAATCTGTCTGTGCCCTTGAGCAAGGCACTTAACCCTAATTGCTCCTGTAAGTCGCTCTGGATAAGAGCGTCTGCTAAATGACAAAAAAATTAAAAAATGTAAATCAACTCGTGGATGCCATTTTTATGTCTCTGCATCCAGTATTGAAGAACTAGCTGTTCCCAAGGACTTCCAGTCATTGCGCTAATGCTAGTTAGCAATTGCTGTATTGGTAGTTAGCGACTTCCTTCAAACTGAACGCAGGCACATAAAAATGGTATCCACAAGTTCTTCTGACTCTGGGGAAGTAGATAAAGGACTTCATAGCCACAATCTGTAACTATCACTTTAAGAGTAAGTAAGCCTATATATTTTTATTTATTTTACTTTTATTTATTTTACCTTTATTTAACTAGGCAAGTCAGTTAAGAACAAATTCTTATTTTCAATGACGGCCTACCCCGGCCATACCCAGACGACGCCAATTATGCGCTGCCGCATGGAACTCCCAATCACGGCCGGATTGTGATACAGCCTGGAATCGAACCAGGGTCTGAGATGCAGTGCCTTAGACCGCTGCGCCACTCGGGAGCGGTAATATGTTTACTATATGAAGTATACAAGCCTATGCGCCACACCACAAATACCTTTCCGCTGTAGGCATTGAGGACTTCACACTATAAATGGCACAGGCACAGCCATGTCTCTCAAATAATCCATTCTCTGTAGGATGCTGTATTTCTCAATTCTCACATGTTGCATAATCTCAGAGACTACATCAAGATGTATAGGCCTATCATGACATTGTATGTTCATTTGGCCAGCAGTGTTCCCTAGTTCTCCATAGCCAAAGTTGTCCCCTTAGGGTATTTTGGTCCAGTGTGAGGCTGATGATCAGTGTGTGATTCCTTTAGGTGTCAGTTCAGTTATGAGATGTTTTTCTATAATGTTGTGTAAAAGGAAAGCCTGGCAGCGGTTGGCCCATTGTTAAGGAGGCAGCTGACTCACTATCACGCCGTCTCTCTCCCAATAAGATTACAATCACACCATTATCTGTGTAAAAGAGATGCTATTTTCAGGCGTCAGTGTTGTGCTCTCCTCCCTCTTAATCTAGCTAGCAGTAGCAGCCAAGTATGTGGCCTTGTGTGTCTGCCTCACGGCATAGCTGAAATGACTACATTTCTCTTTGTTTAGAGTTATCAGAAACAGAACTTAATATTTTTAGGAAGAGATTTATTAGGCCTAGTTACTTTCAAGACGCTCTCAGTGGGTGTTTGTTTAATATAGTTTTTGTTTTTACTGCTGTAGGCCTATTTCTTCAAAGATCACCTTTGTTTTTTAGGTCTGTGAAAGGCTAACACAGCCACTATCCATAATGTTTTGCCACAGTAGCAGTTTTGTGGTTAGAAAGACTCGAAGAGCTGAACACTCCCACCTGTTGATGTAAAGTAAAAATGTGTTTTTATGGGCTAAGACACTGATTCTATTAGCTCCAGCACGGTCACTGGGGCTGCTGCTCTTTGTCCCCGCTCTGATTCCTCTAAATGAGTCACTTTCCCCTCTCCTACATCCCTCAGTCAGTGAACTTTCTACCCCAGATGCTGTGTGGATTCAGGTTATCCATTCTCTGGCTTACAGATTAGGTGTGGGATCAGTAGCAGCATGCACATTAAGTCATCACTTTATTTGCTGGGTGTCCATTTCTACCATCAGATCTGACACTCAGTGTAAAAGCAGTGTACAAGTCTGGAGCAACAATTGGTACTATGAAGTGCATATTTTCTGAACCACCATACAAAGCTTTGTTCACTCAGTGGTTTGCATTGGGCAAAGAATGTAACAATCATGTCCTCCCCCTGAAGTAGATAGGCATAAGTCATTGTGGACTGTTTCAGTAAACCCAAATGCCACATGATCATCATGTCACAGAACCGAAAATATGATAAATAAGTTTGCTCTCACCAAGCTCACTTTCTGTGACTGTATTGAATGTTAGAGCAGCCCTACATAGGCTGAGGTGTGTCTGTCTTTACTCATGACCTCAGTCCTTCAGGGCATCCTGTTTACCTCATATACCACAGTTAAAGCTGCAATATGTAACTTTTTGGGGGTGACACAACCAAATTCACATAGAAATGTAAGTTATATATCTGTCATTCTCATTGAAAGCAAGTCTAAGAAGCAGTAGATTTGTTCAATGTGCGCTATTTCTATGCTTCCTGGTCTTAAGTTTAGTTTTTGCGTCTTTTACGTTTGGCTTTGTACACCAGCTTCAAACAGCTGAAAAAACAATATTTTTGGTTATGGAAAATATATTTCACAGCGGTTTAGATGGTACAATGATTCTCTACACTATACTTGCTTGTTTTGTGTCACAAATTGAAATTAGGCAAACTGTTAGAATTTTCGCAACCAGGAAATGGCGGAGCAATTTCTGCATAGTGCATCTTTAATTACTGTAATCTAAAAGTAGGCTAACTGCTGCACCCACCAAGTGCCTATAGGCTTACTAGTTTGTTACATTTGCAAAAGGAAAGGCTTTCAATGATTATCTCTCTCCCAGGGCTGAGAGAGGTGGAAATGCATAGCCTAAACATCTCATCTTGTAAGAGTGAAGCCCCTCGGGGACCAGTACGAAAATGTATACACTCACTACTGTAATTCGCATCTGCTAAATTACATAAATGTAAATGGCTGGTCATGTATTGGCCTCAGAGAGGGCAGGAGTAGTGGGTAGATGTTGTGCCTTGTCACTGGAATTTTCTGCTGCAGAACCATCCCTTTGTCCCCACATGCAGTTGTTTTTCTCCTGGTCATAACTGAGTAAGCTAGTCCTTCCTAACATGTTTAGGACTGACATGGCAGAAGGGAGAGAAAATGTATGCTACTTGTATGCCAAATAATTACCGGTAGCCTATGGGGAACAAAAAAGCATACAAACTCTTGGCATATGATGTTCCACAGAACGTTTTTAAACAGGGATGGCTGACTACAGTACGTGACCTAAAACCTGTTGAATATGTACTAAGTTTCCTCTTGAAAGGGTGCCTAATATGCTTTAAATTAGCATAGTGGTTTACGGCACTTCAGAAACATTGGGTATTGTCATTGTTCAAATAAACATTTCCAGAAAGAGGTAGAATCATGACATCCAATTTCCCTGTATGTTTTGATATAGATTCATATGAAATCATATCAAGAGAAGGAACAAGTGACTGTGTAACTGTGATGTCATGGTCGTCATATGGTACTTGCAACAGGTTGAAGCTGAAAATGATTTGTTGTAGTTGATGACTTGACTTTACCACATACTGTATTGTAGTCAGATCCAGTAGTTGAGAGAAGACAAGCTCTATTGTACATTTTATGAGGGAGGAAGCAAAACTGAGCGAGAGAAGAGCGGTGGGGGAGGGTGAATTTGTTTTACACGTGTCCAGTGTTAAAAGTGTAGGCATATAAAGCAGTCTTTTTCCACAAGGTGGAAGAAAGAGATAGAGGGAGCTAGGGTAAACGTGTAGGCTACATTTACTGCTGGATGGCCTGACCTGCACACATACATGTTGGCATGAAGTTACAACATGTTGGCATGAATGTGACAAAGGTCCTGTAGCATGTGTTTAAAGTTATGAGATGATTCACTACTATACAGTACATGGTCATTATAAAAATAGGCCTAAAAGAAACTGTACAGGATTCCAGCATCTGGTCCTTCTCCTGCATCTACAGAATTCCACTTCAGAATCTGTACATGGTTGATGGAGGCACCAATGGTCTACAGTGTCTACAATGGTCTTTGTTTCTACCCAGGGGTGTATCCGTGTGTGAGAGAATGAAGAACTTGTTATCTACAGGGTTGTGTTTGATGGTGTCAGTCAGATCAGATTGAAGTCAGTTAAGATTAAACTGTTTTGTCCGCTATTAGAACCTAGATTCTTGTGAATGGCGGAACTGGCAAGTTGTATTTTCTTTCTATATGAGAAGTAAGTAAACTATCATATGTGTTGAGGAATCTTTCTGATCCACTTTTATGAACAGCACATGTATTGTGTAATAATTACCCTTTTCTCTCCCACTCTCTGTGCAGATGGTCAGTGAGAAGGTTGGCGGTGCAGAGGGAACGAAACTGGATGAAGACTTCAAAGATTTGGAAAGGGTATAATGTCTCTGACTGTACATTTAAAGACCAGTACCTGAAGTAGGCTAGTTACTAGTTAGTTAGAATTCAATATATTAGGCCTATCCAGAGCCATATATATAAAGAGTTGGGCCATTGCGGTTTCTGTCTGAATGTTCAGAGAACGGCACTTTCTCCTCCATAGCCGTTAAGTGATAATTGACGCTTCAGCGCTATGCTGTTTATTTCTGATAGTTTTCAAAACCTATGAAGATGTCCTGTCAAAGCAGATATGCAATTTGTTGACACCACAACACAGTACAGACTGTTCTGATTTGCTTGTTTACAGAGGGTCCTTTCATAGGGAATTGTCTGAGTCGTTCTCGTGTTGTTACATCACCAACATTTGGAGAATAAAGCTGCTGACATGGCATCCGCAACTCTAGGGTCATATACATAACATTGGCAGTAGAATGGCCCGTACTGAAGAGCTCAGTGACTTTCAACATGGCACGGTCATAGGATGCCACCTTTCCAACAAGTCAGTTCGTCAAATGTCTGTCCTACTAGAGCTGCCCCTGGTCAACTGTAAGTGCTGTTATTGTGAAGTGAAAACGTCTAGGAGCAACAACGGCTCAGCCACGAAGTGGTAGGCCACACAAACTCACAGAATGGGACCGGCGAGTGCTGAAGCGCATGGTGCATAAAAATCATCTGTCCTCGGTTGCAACACTCACTACCGAGTTCCAAAGTGCCGCCATTGGACTCTGGAGCAGTGGAAACGCGTTCTCTGGAGTGATGAATCACACTTCATCATCTGGCAGTCCGACGGATGAATCTGGGTTTGGCGGATGCCAGGGGAACGCTACCTGCCCCAATGCATAGTGCCAACTGTAAAGTTTGGTGGAGGAGGAATAATGGTCTGGGGCTATTTTTCATGGTTCTGGCTAGGCCCCTTAGTTCCAGTGAAGGGAAATCTTAAAGCTACAGCATACAATGACATTCTAGATGATTCTGTGCTTCCAACTTTGTGGCAACAGTTTGGGGAAGGCCCTTTCCTGTTTCAGCATGACAATGCCCCTGTGCATAAAGCGAGGTCCATACAGAAATGGTTTGTCGAGATCGGTGTGGAAGAACTTGACTGGCCTGCACAGAGCCCTGACCTCAACCCAATCAAACACCTTTTGGATGAATTGGAACGGCGACTGCGAGCCTAATCGACCAACATCAGTGCCCGACTTCACTAATGCTCTTGTGGCTGAATGGAAGCAAGTCCCTGCAGCAATGTTCCAACATCTAGTGGAAAGCCTTCCCAGAAGAGTGGAGGCTGTTATTGCAGCAAAGAGGGGACCAACTCCATATTAATGCCCATGGTTTTGGAATGAGATGTTTGACGAGCAGGTGTCCACATACTTTTGGTCATGTAGTGTATGTAAATTGACTCTAGGCTAATCCATTAGCCAAATCTATTTACAGGTGTACAGAATGGCATCAGGACATAGGACATAGGCTAATATGTTAACACAGTGTTTCCCAAACTCGGTCCTCGGGAACCCAAGGGGTGGTTTTTGCCCTCGCACTGCACAGCTGATTCAAATAATCAACTAATCATCAAGCTTTGATGTGTCAGTCAGCTGTGTAGCGTTAGGGCAAAAACCAAAACGTGCACCGCTTGGGGTCCCGAGGACCGAGTTTGGGAAATGCTGCGTTAACACCAGACACACATGACATGGCACAGAAACACATATAGCTGAACACAACAGTGCATTAATAGAATAACAGTATAACATAATGCAGTGGTGATAATACAGCCACATTCACAAAACCTTACTAGAACATGGGTTAGATTCTAGACAACCATGCACTAGAAGGTGTTACATCATGTGTAGCTGTAGACTGAAGTGCAGGCAACTCTTAGTGAGCAGACTCAGTTTGCATGCTGTATACAGTATGTCAGTATAGTATTCATGTGGTAGCCCTGTGTATAGATACATGTTATACATAGAGAGAGTGGTAGATTGGCAGAGCACCTGCCTTTGCTGCTCCAGCCAACTGTCATGGAGAGCTCCAGCAATCAACAGCCAAAGCCTTCACTTACACACCTTCAGTGAATTAACATAATTGGTTGTTTCACAAAGTAATTTTCATTTAACAGTACAATATAGTAGTGACAATTTTTCATTACCTTTTTCATAGCCTATTTGGAAACTATTCTCATCACAAAGAAAGGATTTGGAAGATGGGGAAGACGTGTCGTGTCCAAAATCTGGCTTGCCTACTACTTACTTATACTGAATACTGTGTGCTAATTGTACTACATACTATTTAGAACATACTATATAGTAAAAACATATGTAGTGATCAACAAATATCCACATACTACTCAAACATACTGAGAAGGCTTCATCTAATGTGCAATCGCACTTCTTCCCTGCCATTCGTTACTTTTTGTAGAGCACGTGCGCTTCCCATATTCAGATGATCAGCTATTGTCAAACACGTGAAAGACGATTATTTTCCTTAATAGTGTGCAGCGAATTCTACTAGATGAAAAGCCTAAATTAGTATCCTTGCGTTTTAAAGCATACTCAATTTGCGAAATTTCACATACTATAAAACATTCTTTTTTCACATACCAAAAATGCCTACTATTTAGAACGCAAGTACGGGTGTTCGGACACAGCCATGGTGTTTCATATTTCCTTGTGGTTGTAAGTGACGTCCCCTCCCCTGTGTTTTGTAGAAAGTAGATGTGACCAGCAAAGCTGTGGTGGAGGTAATCTCCAAAACATCTGAGTACCTACAGCCCAACCCAGGTGAGACTACACACCAGGAAGAGACTGCATTAGTGTCTTATTTAGAACTCCAATTGAAATTAATATTAATTGTGTTATGGTGTAAAATGCCTTTTGTGTTAAATCACAGATATAGGACTTGTGTTCAAGCTATAAGTACCACCTCTACATCCGACTATTCCTCCATCAATCATTTTCTCTGTGTCCCTCTCCTCCATTCCCTCTCTCAGCGTCGCGGGCGAAGCTGTCTATGTTGAACACCATGTCTAAGATCAGAGGCCAGGTGAAGAACCCAGGCTATCCCCAGGCTGAGGGCCTGCTAGGAGAGTGTATGGTCAAGTACGGCCGGGACCTAGGGGAGGAAACCAACTTCGGTACGTTGTGTGTGGTGTGTCTCTGTCTGTCTGTCTGCAGCGATGGCACCAGTTATGTGGAGTGTTGTTTTTAATTCGTACATGTGACTAAGCTTCTGCTCTTGCTCTGTGTCAGGTGGGGCTCTAGTAGATGCAGGGGAGACCATGAAGAGGCTGGCGGAGGTGAAGGACTCTCTAGACATAGACGTTAAACAGAACTTCATTGATCCATTACAAAACCTGTGTGACAAGGACCTCAGAGAGATACAGGTACTGTATCACATTACACACTTGTCCATCTGCTGCAGAAACTCAACATCTTTGTCATCTCTAGAATTTACATCCCCCATCCCTCTCCTCATCTACCCATCTCTTCTCCCCTCCTCCTCTCCCCCCTCCTCTCCATCTCATCCTCTCCTCCCGTCCCCCAGCACCATCTGAAGAAGCTGGAGGGAAGGCGTCTGGACTATGACTATAAGAAGAAGCGCCAAGGGAAGATCCCAGACGAGGAGCTGAGACAGGCCCTGGAGAAGTTCCACGAGTCTAAAGAGGTGGCCGAGACCAGCATGTACAACATACTGGAGACTGACGTGAGTAGTACCTGTCTGTGGGTGGGGGTGTGGTCCTGTCCCCTGATAACATTCATAATGTCAATGGGAACACCCAGCTTATCATCAACCTTCATGTTTATGGTTTCATTATCAGTATTGTTGCTCTGGGAAAGAGACCAGGGCAATCAGTGCCACCTCAAGGTAATTTGTTCAGTAAACTTGGCTGGTTAAATCTACACTTCTCCACCATAACAAGAGTGTCACCTGCAGCATGAACCAACTTAGGTCAACATGAAATATCATCCTATGTACAATCTTAATCAGCTGAGCAGCTCCATAGCCTATGTTTACTATGGTTAGCCTGCCCTCCCTTGAGGATGTATGTAAATACAGTACTGCTTTCACTCACACCATTAAACAGATTATATATTAACCACAATGTGATACTGGGTATTCAGGGGAATGCCACTGTTACTCTTGTGTATCAAGGTAACCATGGGTTTGGTCCTTGTGCATGCTCGTATCTCGGTTTGTGTTCGAGTGTGTACTAGGGATGTGGCAAATGGGGGAAAAAATCGTAAAGTTTTAATCTTTACATATAGCCTACTAAATAATATATGTATGACATTTTTATTTATTTAGAATGGACCATTATCATGCACCTATCTCGAAACAGGGGCAGGGGAAAAAATACATGTAATATATGCACTTAAATAGCGAATGGAGGACCGCTTTTTCCGTGGTTCATTTTCATGCCAGCCAGGTATGCTATACTCCTGTTGTAAAGAGAAGCAATGTGCTTAATATTAGGAAAGTTGAGAAATAAATATAGTAGGCCTAGCCTATAGAAAGCTGATGTGATCCTCCTCTTTTTAAGAGGCCATCACTCTGTTTTCTCACGCAATTGCATAGCCTATAGAAATGTTGCACAACATGAGCTCATGGGCTCTCATTAAGTGTTTGATTAGATTTAGTCCCCTGTAGCTCAGTTGGTAGAGCATGCCACTTGCAACGCCAGGGTTGTGGGTTTGTTTCCCACGGGGGGCCAGTATGAAAATGTATGCCTCACTAACTGTAAGTCGCTCTGGATAAGAGCATCTGCTAAATGACTAAAATGTAACATTTTCGATTACATTTGCATTGATGTCAGTGATTAGAGGGACAATAGAGTGCTGAGTACCAGGCAGTTAGCACGTTTGATAGGCAACTAATGACCATCAGCAGCATCAGAGCTTGGAGAAGGCTAATTACCGTGACTAAATGGTCACGTGGAATTTGACTGCCTTCATGACACCCGGTGTGGCGGTAATACGGTCACTGCAACAGCCCTAGTCAAGACTCAGTATTTTTGGAACGGAGGAGACTGATTAGTTGCCGTACTTCCGAGAACATTAAAAAAAAAGCGTATTTCATAGCGAGCTAGCAAGGGACAGAGAGAGAGGGGTGGGGCATAGTATAGGCAAGTTGGCCTACAGGCAGACAGTCAGAACCGTGCATTAGGCCTTTCTATCGGCAATCAAAAGCTGGATCTCGCAATGGAATGCTGGATCTTGCAATTTCTTGACTTGCAATGTCTCACAACTTCAGTAAAGCAGGGCCTATCATCAATGGATAGGCTAGGATATTGAGATGAGAAAAACTTCGCTCTCACACAGTCACACACAGTATCTGCGCATGTACAACGGTTCACTTAACGCTATTCACAGCGTGTTAGCTAGGGCACCAAAACAGTGGCGAAGTTGAGCCTCACGCTTAAACACTCTTAAAGTGGAACTGACATTGTTTTAGTAACATGAAATCTGTTGATATACACCCCCAGGAAGAATCACACTTTCTTTCTTTTTTTTGGACAAACAAGCACTTAGATATGGTCATTTTCACGTTTTCAGAAATTATGTTTGGGAATGTAGGGAATGTTTGGGAATGACGTATACTAAGGCATTGGTGAAAATTCTATAGAAATATATAGTGGCAAAGCGGCCGTGCTTTTGGACAATTAATAGATACTGCAGTCTCGTCCAGGACCGGAGTTTACGCAGAGCGGTGCGCCATAGCCAATCAGAGCTACGGTATGCCTTTATGCAAATATGCCATTTGCCCCACTGGCTTGCCATCATTCATTCACTTTGAACTGGACTGTGTGTTTACAGGCAGGAGCAACAGCGCGACTTTAGATCATTAGAACGTATTCGCCAAAAGCCACAAAATACACCTGAATGGATTTCTGCAAATATGTAAATACCACGGGAGTCCTCTTACATTTGAGAACTTTAGTCGTATTGATCAAACAACCATGAAAAGGTAGGCTATCTCTCCCTCAGTTATGCACATCAGCAACAACAAGATCAACAACTAATGCTAGTCAGAGCGAGATGAGCTCAAATCTAACAAGGGAACATTAGATAAACTCTCAAACTTTGCACTGATAAAAGATGTGGAATAGTAGCCTGCTCATCCTTCTGCAGCTTGCCTGCCAATGCATGCTTGTCCCAAACCACGTTTTGACAACTGAATGGGAACTTGCCTGTCCGCCCATTTGATCAATACCAAATACATTTGATTGACAACCTAAGGGTGCGTTCATAAATTGCCTCCAGTATGTCAGAGTGAGTAAATTCAGAGCTTTGTCAGATTGTCTGTTCGTAAATTCAGAGCATTTCGCTCTCCTAGCATTCAGAGCGTACACTGCACGATTGACACTGGACGCTCTGGCCGAGGAGTAGGGTTGATCCGTGTGTTCCTCACAACGGCAGTCAAGCACCCAAGCTAACTGGCTAAAGTAGTCTAGCTTGCTGGCTACTTCCAGACACAAATGAGGGAAGTCCTCACTCTGACCATTTTACTCACCTTAGCAGAGCTGGTTAGGCTGTTTACGTGTTATCTAGAGCGTTTGTGACTAACTTTTTTTGGCTACGTTTACTGACACCGGTCATATTCAGCGGGTGTTGCGCGTTGATAAATTCATCAGTTATTCTGCGTACTGGCACACTCAGACGAGAGTGCTCTGAAATTGGAGTAGATAGCCAGAGTGAATTTATGAACACAAGAGATATGCTAACTGGATAAGTTGTTCGAGTTCAGCATAGCTAGCAAAGCAATTCACATTTTTTGCTAGCTAACCAAATGACACCTGCATCTCTAGCAGTACATCCCGAATGGAGGCAGCAAACAATGTACCAGGCCAGCTGTGATTTACAACCTGATAACAATATTTTTTGAACTACCAAGAAATGTATTGTTGAATTATATTCATCATGCATTGAACAGCATCCATCTATTCTGCCAACAATGCCTTACTGTATAAATATAACCTATTTCTAAAGACCTCTTTCATAAAGTTGGTTTTGTAGCACAACTGGAATTTGAGATTTTTGACTGATATTATGATTGTCTGTTTGTTTCATATCTGCAAAGTAGTTAAAACGCTGTCAGTTCCACTTTAAGGCACCAGCATGCTTCCCAACCGGAACGGTTGTGCAACATTTTGTCAAGGGTTTTATTCAGCTGTTCGTGCACACTATATGTTTTCTTGAGGCAAGCCGAAGTCGATAGTCGGAGTCTACGGCCCTTCGTCGGTGATTGATCAACAGTAGCGATTCTTCAATTAAGTGTTTGTCATTCAACGAGAGACGAATCGTTTTCATGCACATTTTTTTACTTGAGAAATACTGAACCAAACATCTTAGTTAGATGTAAAATTGCCTGACTAAGATGTCCTCAGCAAAAACGTCAAATTAAATGACAGATTCTTGAGTTATCATAGTCCCCTGTAGCTCAGTTGGTAGAGCATGGCGCTTGCAACGCCAGGGTTGTGGGTTCGTTTCCCACGGGGGGCCAGTATGAAAATGTATGCACTCACTAACTGTATGTCGCTCTGGATAAGAGCATCTGCTAAATGATGTAAATGTAATTAATTCTGACTATTTTGTGGAAGTGTATACTGGCTACAGCATCTCAAGATGGACAAACAGTACTATTGCCATTTATATATTTTTCAAGCAAAGGTCTTTTTAAGGGAGCATGCGAACACACTCGTTCGATTCGCCTAGCCGACTCGGCTATGCGCCAGCCAAACCGAAACATGCACAAGGCTTTAGTTGTTTGGGAAATTGACCCACTATGCTGTTTACTTTATGCATCGACGATATCGCTGTCTACCTTTAAATTACACAACTTTCCCCAGGCCTTTATAACCTATCATCTAGTTATAACACTGAAAATAATATGTTTTGTGATAACTGCACTGTGATTTTAATTTAGTGAAAGATAAAACGAGAAAAAAATAACATTGATCTTCGGTTAGGTATTTTTCTTAACGTTAAGGATCCCAATTTCGTTTAAACGTTCACACCCCTAGTGTGTACAGTAAGTAACCATATCCTGCTCTTTGTGTGTCTCTGTGCAGATAGAGCAGGTGAGCCAGCTGTCGTCTCTAGTGGAGTCCCAGCTGCAGTACCACAGACAGGCCACACAGATCCTGGACGAGCTCTCAGACAAACTCAGGGACAGGTAGGTACACACGTGTCTCTACTTCCACTGCCCATCATTCCTGTACAGTCACTTCAAGCTTATGTGTGCGGTGTCATGATACAGATACTGTAGGCCCACTCACTAATCCCAGCCCCGTGCCGAGCCCCGTGCCCTGCCCAGCCCAGCCCCCTCATACTGCCTAGTCTAGTCACAACAGCCCATCGCCATAATCTGTGTCAATGTGTTCTTCTGTGGATCTGCATGGTCTCATCCAAGGCCCTTAATCACAGACACACTGGTTGACCCAGGGGTTTAACTGTTAGCTGTAAAATATATCAGGAGCGTCAAGATAGCCATTCCCTTAGTTTCTTTTAGAATATTGTTATTATGAATGATGTATATTTGAGTACCCTTTCTAATATTGATTCTACTGATAACGGAGATGAACTGTAGTCTGTGGATCTGCCAGGCGGCTTGAACTATCTTTCTTCTCTTCAGGATGAACGAGGCCCAGAACCGTCCACGTCGCGAGTACACGCCTAAGCCCAAACCCATCTTTGACTTTGACAGCGACAACCAATCAACCAATGGTGGCTATACAACTGCAGTTGGCCCACCACCCTTCCGCAACTCTGGTAAGACAGTTGCACATGCTACCTACTGTGTATATCAGCTCATCGAAAAGGAATTTCTTTCAAATATTTCACTACTGCAGATTTTGAGATTCGCTCCCATACTTTGGAGGGTGGTATGAACGTGTGTGTCTGTCATAGGATGAGTTGGTTGTCAGTGTGTGTGTGCGCGTGCGTGTGTGTGTATGTGTGAGCATGCACATGTGAGTGAGAGAGGGGGAATGAACAGGAGGGGGTGCAGGCAGCTGTCAGCTGGTTGCCCTCTTCTCCTGTTGACCTTGTTCCTCTCTTCCTGTGACGTCATCAGAGTCACCCTTCCTCCACGCCAGATTGTCATTCCGGAAAACCAGACGTGAGTCAGACAGTGAGAGTGTGTTTGTTGGTCAGAGAGATGGCAGCCGAGCTACTTTTGTGAAATGGTAGATGCAATCCTATCAGTGAACTACATGTGTCAAATCAAAAAGCTCTAGAATGTAAGTTCTGTGATTGAAATAATCCATTACTTTGTACACAAGATATTTGAGAAACAGGTAATTTTATGAACTCATTCATTTGATTGGGTTCTTCATTGGGTTTGGTTGTTTCTCTGGTTGAAATGTTTACCAGCTATTTTTAGATACAAAGCCTAGAGCTTTTTGATTGACAGTTTAATGACCTGCACTGAATGCGGTGGCACTGACTGCCTCTGAAATGGCTCACACACAAACACATGCTGGTGTACCACCTCAGGCCATAGTCCTGTCACTACAGCCATTGGACTGAACCCACTTTCAGTTCAATCATTAAAAGTCCTGTATAGAAAGCTGGTGTAACTAACCTTATTCAGGTCTCCACTAGATTCACCATCATCAACCAGGTGAATAAATGGGTTGAATAATGATATAGTAGTGATATCAGGCCAAGTACAGTGGGGAAAAAAAGTATTTAATCAGCCACCAATTGTGCAAGTTCTCCCACTTAAAAAGATGAGAGAGGCCTGTAATTTTCATCATAGGTACACGTCAACTATGACAGACAAATTGAGAAATAAAAATCCTGAAAATCACATTGTAGGATTTTTAATGAATTTATTTGCAAATTGTGGTGGAAAATAAGTATTTGGTCACCTACAAACAAGCAAGATTTCTGGCTCTCACAGACCTGTAACTTCTTCTTTAAGAGGCTCCTCTGTCCTCCACTCGTTACCTGTATTAATGGCACCTGTTTGAACTTGTTATCAGTATAAAAGACACCTGTCCACAACCTCAAACAGTCACACTCCAAACTCCACTATGGCCAAGACCAAAGAGCTGACAAAGGACACCAGAAACAAAATTGTAGACCTGCACCAGGCTGGGAAGACTGCATCTGCAATAGGTAAGCAGCTTGGTTTGAAGAAATCAACTGTGGAAGCAATTATTAGGAAATGGAAGACATACAAGACCACTGATAATCTCCCTCGATCTGGGGCTCCACGCAAGATCTCACCCCGTGGGGTCAAAATGATCACAAGAATGGTGAGCAAAAATCCCTGAACCACACGGGGGGACCTAGTGAATGACCTGCAGAGAGCTGGGACCAAAGTAACAAAGCCTACCATCAGTAACACACTACGCCGCCAGGGACTCAAATCCTGCAGTGCAGACGTGTCCCCCTGCTTAAGCCAGTACATGTCCAGGCCCGTCTGAAGTTTGCTAGAGTGCATTTGGATGATCCAGAAGAGGATTGGGAGAATGTCATATGTCATATGGTCAGATGAAACCAAAATAGAACTTGTCGTGTTTGGAGGACAAAGAATGCTGAGTTGCATCCAAAGAACACCATACCTACTGTGAAGCATGGGGGTGGAAACATCATGCTTTGGGGCTGTTTTTCTGCAAAGGGACCAGGACGACTGATCCGTGTAAAGGAAAGAATGAATGGGGCCATGTATCATGTGATTTTGAGTGAAAACCTCCTTCCATCAGCAAGGGCATTGAAGATGAAACGTGGCTGGGTCTTTCAGCATGACAATGATCCCAAACACACCGCCCGGGCAACGAAGGAGTGGCTTTGTAAGAAGCATTTCAAGGTCCTGGAGTGGCCTAGCCAGTCTCCAGATCTCAACACCATAGAAAATCTTTGGAGGGAGTTGAAAGTCCGTGTTGCCCAGCGACAGCCCCAAAACATCACTGCTCTAGAGGAGATCTGCATGGAGGAATGGGCCAAAATACCAGCAACAGTGTGTGAAAACCTTGTGAAGACTTACAGAAAACGTTTGACCTGTGTCATTGCCAACAAAGGGTATATAACAAAGTATTGAGAAACTTTTGTTATTGACCAAATACTTATTTTCCACCATAATTTGCAAATAAATTCATAAAAGATCCTACAATGTGATTTTCTGGATTTTTTTTCCTCATTTTGTCTGTCATAGTTGACGTGTACCTATGATGAAAATTACAGGCCTCTCTCATCTTTTTAAGTGGGAGAACTTGCACAATTGGTGGCTGACTAAATACTTTTTTTCCCCACTGTATGTCCAAATAGTAACAACAACAACAAAATCTATACGTATTGACTCAAGACATTTCAGCTTTTACTTTTTAATTGATTTGTAAACATTTAGAAAAACGTAATTCCACTTTGACATTGTATGCAGTGACAAAAAAATCAACATTTAGATTTTAGACTTCATTTTCCACATTTTGTTGTGTTACAGCCTGAATTTAAAATGTATTGCATTTAGATTTTTTTGTCACTGTTCTACATACAATACCCCATAATGTCAAAGTGGAATTGTGTTTTTCGACATTTTTACAAATCAATTAAAAGCTGAAATGTCTTGAGTCAATACGTATTCAACCCCTTTGTTATGGCAAGCCTAAATAAGTTCAGGTGTAAAAATTTGCTTAACAAGTCACAAGTTGCATGGACTCACTCTGTTTGCAATGATAGTGTTAAACATAATTTTTTTATGACTACCTCATCTCTGTACCCCACACATACAATTATCTGCAAGGTCCCTCAGTCGAACAGTGAATTTCAAACACAGATTCAACCACAAAGACCAGGGAGGTTTTCCAATGCCTCGCAAAGAAGGGCACGTATTGGTAGATGTGATCCTGTTTGCAACAAGGTACTAAAGTAATACTGCAAAAAATGTGGCAAAGCAATTAACTTTTTGTCCTGAATACAAAGTGTTATGTTTGGGGCAAATCCAATGCAACAAATTACTGAGTACCACTCTCCATATTTTCAAGCATGGTGGTGGCTGCATCATGTTATGGGTATGCTTGTAATCGTTAAGGACTGGGGAGTTTTTCAGGATAAAAAATAAACGTAATGGAGCTAAGCACATTTGCAAAAATGTCTAAAAACATGTTTTCACTTTGCCATTATCGGTATTGTGTGTAGATGGGGGGGGGGGGGGGGGGATTTAACTATGAAATAACACATATGGAATCATGTAGTAACCCAAAGAGTGTTAAACAAATGAAAATATATTTTATATTTGAGATTCTTCAAATAGCCATCCTTTGCCTTTATGACAGCGTTGCACACTCTTGGCATTATCTCAACCAACTTCATGAGGTAGTCACCTGGAATGCATTTCAATTAACAGGTGTGCCTTGTTAAAAGTTAATTTGTGGAATTTCTTTCCTTCTTAATGCGTGTGAGCCAATCAGTTGTGTTGTGACAAGGTAGGGTGGGTATACAGAAGATAGCCCTATTTGGTAAAAGACCAAGTCCATATTATGGCAAGAACAGCGCAAATAAGCAAAGAGAAACGACAGTCCATCATTACTTTAAGACATGAAGGTCCGTCAATACGGAACATTTCAAGAACTTTGAAAGTTTCTTCAAGTGCAGTCGCAAAAACCATCAAGCGCTATGATGAAACTGGCTCTCATGAAGACCACCACAGGAATGGAAGACCCAGAGTTACCTCTGCTGCAGAGGATAAGTTCATTAGAGTTACCAGCCTCAGAAATTTCTGCCCAAATAAATGCTTCACAGAGTTCAAGTAACAGACACATCTCAACATCAACTGTTCAGAGGGGACTTTGTGAATCAGGCCTTCGTAGTCGAATTGCGGCAAAGAAACCACTACTAAAGGACACCAATAATAAGAAGAGACCTGCTTGGGCCAAGAAACACAAGCAATGGACATCAGACTGGTGGAAATTTGTCCTTTGGTCTGGAGTCCAAATTTGAGATTTTTGGTTCAAACCGCCGTGTCTTTGTGAGACGCGGTGTGGGTGAACGGATGATCTCCGCATGTGTAGTTCCCACCGTAAAGCATGGAGGAGGAGGTGTTATGGTGTGGGGGTGCTTTGCTGGTGACACTGTCTGATTTATGTAGAATTCAAGGCACACTTAACCAGCATGGCTACTGCAGCATTCTGCAGCAATATGCCACCCCAGCTGGTTTGGGCTTAGTGGGACTATCATTTGTTTTTCAACAGGACAATGACCCAACACACCTCCAGGCTGTATAAGGGCTATTTGACCAAGAAGGAGAGTGATGGAGTGCTGCATCAGATGACCTGGCCTCCACAATCCCCCGACCTCAACCTAATTGAGATGGTTTGGGATGAGTCAGAGTGAAGGAAAATCAGCCAACAAGTGCTCAGCATATGTTGGAACTCCTTCAAGCCTGTTGGAAAAGCATTCCAGGTGATTTCTGGTTGAGAGAATGCCAAGAGTGTGCAAAGCTGTCATCAAGGCAAATGGTGGCTATTTGAAGAATCTCAACTATAAAATATATTTTGATTTGTTTAACACTTTTTTGGTTACTACATGATTCCATATGTGTTATTTCATAGTTTTGATGTCTTCACTATTATTCTACAATGTAAAAAATAAAGAAAAACCCTTGAATGAGTAAGTACAGTGTTTTCGGGAAGTATTCAGACCCCTTCACTCTTTCCACATTTTGTTACGTTACAGCCTTATTCTAAAATTGATTAAATTGTTTTTTTCCCCTCATCAATCTACACACAATACCCCATAATGACAAAGCAAAAACTGGTTTTCGGAAATGTTTGCAAGTGTATACAAACCCCCCCCCCCCCCCCCCCACCCGGAAATATCACATTTAAAAGTTTTCAGACCCTTTAACTCAATACTTTGTTGAAGCACCTTTGGCAGCAATTACAGCCTCAAGTCTTCTTGGGTATGACGCTACAAGCTTGGCACACCTGGATTTGGGAAGTTACTCCCATTCTTCTCTGCAGATCCTCTCAAGCTCTGTCAGGTTCGATGGGGAGCGTTTCTGCACAGCTATTTTCAGGTCTCTCCAGAGATGTTCAAACGGGTTCAAGTCCAGGCTCTGGCTGGGCCACTCAAGTACATTCAGAGACTTGTCCCGAAGCCACTCATGTGTTGTCTTGGCTGTGTGCTTAGGGTCGTAGTCCTGTTGGAAGGTGAACCTTCGCCCCCAGTCTGAGGTCCTGAGCGCTCTTGAGCAGGTTTTCATCAAGGATCTCTCTGTAATTTGCTCCGTTCATCTTTGCCTCGATCTTGACTTGTCTCCCAGTCCCTGCCGCTGAAAAACATCCCAACAGCATGATGCTGCCACCACCATGCTTCACCGTAGGGATGGTGCCAGGTTTCCTCCAGAATTGATGCTTGGCATACAGGCCAAAGAGTTCAATCTTGGTTTCATCAGACCAGAGAATCTCTTTTCTCATGGTCTAAGAGTTGCCTTTTGGCAAACTCCAAGCGGGCTTTCATGTGCCTTTTACTGAGGAGTGGCTTCCGTCTGGCCTCTCCTACCATAAAGGCCTAATTGGTGGAGAGCTGCAGAGATTGTTGTGCTTCTGGAAGGTTATCCCATCTCCACAGAGGGACTCTAGAGCTCTGTTAGTGACCATCAGGTTCTTAGTCACCTCCCTGACCAAGGCCCTTCTCCCCCGATTGCTCAGTTTGGCCGGGCGGCCAGCTCTAGGAAGAGTCTTGGTGGTTCCAAACTTCTTCCATTTAAGAATGACGGAGGCCACTGTGATCTTGGTGACCTTCGATGTTGCAGAATTGTTTTGGTACCCTTCCCCAGATCTGTGCCTGGACACAATCCTGTCTCGGAGCTCTACTGACAATTCCTTCGACCTCATGGCTTGGTTTTTGCCATGACATGCACTGTCAACTGTGGGACCTTATATAGACAGGTGTGTGCCTTTTTCAAATAATGTCCAATCAATTGAATTTACCCCAGGTGGACTCCAATCAAGTAGTAGAAACATCTCAAGGATGATCAATGGAAACAGGATGCACCTGAGCTCAATTTCGAGTCTCATAGCAAAGGGTCTGAATACTTTTATGTAAATAAGGTATTTGTTTTATTTTTAATACATTTGCTAAGATTTCTAAAAACCTGTTTTTGCTTTGTCATTATGGGGTATTGTGTGTAGATTGCTGAGGAAATTGTTTTATTTAATCCATTTTAGAATAAGGCTCTAATGTAAAAAAAAAATGGAAAAAGTCAAGGGGTCTGAATACTTTCCGAAGGCACTGTATGTACCCATAAAACATTGTGATATACGATGCAATCAATCAATCAATCACATTTATTTATAAATCCCTTTTTACATCAGCAGATGTCACAAAGTGCTATACAGAAACCCATCCTAAAACCCCAATCAGCAAGCAATGCAGATGTAGAAGCACGGTGGCTAGGAAAAACTCCCTAGAAAGGCAGAAACCTAGAGAGGAACCAGGCTCTGAGGGGTCCCCTTCTGGCTGTGCTGGGTGGAGATTATAACAGTAGATGGCCATTAAGGACAGATTTTTCTCCAAGATGTTCAAACGTTCAAGATGACCAGCAGGGTCAAATAATAATCACAGTGGTTGTAGAGGTACTGACCTGTTGCAACATCAGTAGTAAATGTCACTTGGCTTTTCATAGCCGGGCATTTAGAGGTTGAAATAGCAGGTGCGGTAGAGAGAGACAGGGTTGAAAACATCAAGTCTGGGACAAGGTAGCACGTCCGGTGAACAGGTCAGGGTTCCATAGCCGCAGGCAAAAGAGTTGAAACTATCGCCCCTATTGTCCACCATCCACTCACCCCCCGCTAAGTGCAGGAAATGGCTAATCTTTTCTGATATGACTTTCTGGTGGAGGAACGGGTTTGCCTGTCTGTGTCTGTCTGTGTGATGGAGCAGTGACTGTCTGATGAGGAACGGGCTGTCTTACCATAGTGATCTAGTTTGTAGGCCTACGTCATGAGCTGGATAGAAGCAATCTACCGTCTTCAGAACTGGATAATAATAGCTTTATTTGCCTCGTGAAATAATAGAACAATAAATAATATTGTTTGTTAGATCTCTCATAAAGCTGTGATGGAGAATAGCCTAGGCTTAGGCTATAAACTTTCATTATTGTTATTTTTGAAAGCCACAACAACTTTAGGACAACACCTTCGTAGGCTAGAATATTTGGGAAATAAGCGACTGTTCATAACTAAAAAAAAATTGTTTTAAAGTTTTTTTGATAGGCCTAGTAGGAGGATAGGTTATTGGCCATTTGGTTTTCAACCTCGCATGGAGGAATTTTCCTAGCCCGCATGGATTATTTATTTCTTAATAAGCTTAAACTGTCATTAGATTTTTCTATAGGCTAATGAAATTGTTTCTCTCATTATTAGTCCTCTGGCTACCTTACCGTTTTTAGGCTATTCAAATAACTTTTTTGAGATGTAACTCTGTTACATTCATTGTTTGATCGAGAGAAATCCATGCATAAAACAACGAAGCGTAACCTTGAGCCATATTCATAGCCTATCGAATGGAGAGAGAAAGGAATCTAGGCTACGTTTTTTTTAAACAGCTAGACATAATATAGTTCTTTTTTTTAAAGTGTGTCTTGCCTAATGCCCATGCATCCGACAGAGAGCGAGAAACATTATTTTCTGACTGGACATTTTGCCCTGCTTTGGTGGAATTCTCCACTCTGTCTGGCCTACAGTCCTCTCTTGTGTTCTGTAGGCTATATAACATGTTGATTGAAGTAGGCTATAGCAAATAGGAATAGGCTAATTACTCGGAATGTCACTTGTGTCCTGCCCTGCTGTGCGCTGCGAGACTATACTGCGTGGCGCCAGTCAAGTTCAAATAGGCTAAACCATCGTCTGTCACAACACAATGTCGTCACCATTGACGATGGCTATCAATCATCGTCGATAGACGATGCTATCGTAATATCGCCCAACCCTACTGTAGTCCCTAACCCTTGCAGGCCCCAGCTCAGAACAACACGGGACTGTATGGGGGGCCAGGTCATCTTTCTAGCACTCAGTCACTTCTCACACTAACACTGTCTGATTCTGCAGTGTGTTTAATATCACAGCCCAGCCACACCTACTAATACTTAAACTACAGTGTGACCCATAAGCTAACAAACAGGGTGCGGTGTGAAAACCTAAAACCACAATCATGGTCTGACGCTCCAGCTCTTAGCCAGCAGAAGGAGGGTGGGACGGATGGACAGCGAGAGTGATGGGACTAGTCTATCACTGTCTGGTATGATGTACACTTTTTCAACCTTCTCTCTCCTTTCTCCTCTTTCTGTTGTTCAGTTTCAGAACAGCCGTGCTGTAAGGCCCTGTATGACTTTGACCCGGAGAACGAGGGAGAGCTGGGCTTCAAGGAGGGCGACATCATCACCCTGACCAATCAGATTGACGAGAACTGGTACGAAGGCATGCTGCACGGCCAATCAGGATTTTTCCCTCTCAACTACGTGGAGATCGTTGTCCCGCTGACACACTAAAGAGTGCTGTAGAGAGTACATAAGAGAGGGAGCGAAAGAGGGAGATGTAGAGATCAAGGGAACGAGAGAGGGAATGGAAGTGAGAGAGGGAATGAGGAGCCAGTTGAATCTGTGGGACAGATCCTAGAGGCTTCGTCCTCATCTTCACCATCATCGCCATCATCACAGACGTACCTGTACTCTTTGGCACTTTGTCATCTTCACATTTGAAGGAGGAAAATTGGAAGATGGTGGCTTCTCACATTCCAGTTCTGAGAAAAAGAGATTTGAATATGATCCCCCTGCCCTACAAGCAAAAACGGAAGACTGACATTCGGACACAGACATGAAGAACCGGACTCAACCAGTCAACCACAGATATCTCTATAGAAAAGAGAATTTCACATGAAATGTATCAAAATTGAAATGGTCACAATTTATTATTTAATGTAAAGTTACGTACCTGTAAGCAGCAGAAAACATTTACATCTGCAGTTTAGCTGGTTCTGACTGTAAAGCTGTACCACTTGTAAAGCCTTGTATTTTTTTCATTTTCGTAGTTTCATAACAAAACAGAAAATATATTTCACACATCCCACGTTTCTGTAAGTCCCACATTTTAGTATGGACTCTGCTGAATACTCGCCTTATTTACAAGGCAAGTATGTCAGACTGCAACTGCACAGCCTTTCAAATAGTGGATTTTGACTGGACTACGTCTCTGGAAGCCCCCTGCTGGCCAGGCTAACACAACCATCCTCCTCAGTAAACAACTACAGTAATGCCTTGTAGTAAGGATCCATTTACAGTCAGTAGATTTACAACACTATGTACATCCTGGATGCCTGAGCCACATGAGAGCATGAAGGGCCTCAGACATTGTTTTGTTTTGCTACGGTCTGCATTTGATTTGTTTTGGTTTCAGCCTCGTTTATTGTTTTTTAATGTACAGCTAAACTGTTAGATTGCACCTTGGACCTCCAATGAGATTGTTGATGTATGTGTGAGGGACTGTGTAAGTAATGTGTAGTTGTAGGCCTCTACTGAAAAGGTGTTCAAGCCCAGACAGTCAGAGACTGAAGCGTGGAGAAAACTAGACCCAAAATCAAACACTAACATGTATAAGAAAACATTTTCCCCAGGGGCTACTGGACATGTTGTGACGTTAGCAACATTCGAGGCCTGTGTGTTTTTCTGTCTGTCCATCTGTTCAATAGAGGAAACACAGCCAAAAATGCAAAATAAAATAAGAGTACATGGTGTGTAAACCATGATGTGATATGGTGAGGTGGGGGTTTTAGGTGTGTCATCATAGTCATAGTGCCTGTCTGTTCAGCTTGCCCCAGTACCTCCATAGACAACAACGCTGCTGGCGGTGTCTCCGTCTGTCTCCCACATAGTGCACATAAACGTTGGGACTCTTTTCAGATGCGTGTGTGTATGAGACTGTGAACTTCTTTAGGATCAGTAAATCCCATTCATTCACGTCTGTATTGAGTATTATTTAATTATTCGTTGGTTATCATACTCCTCCCCGGGTCTCGTAGTAGGAGGGGTTGGGTGTGTGCTGCTGGACAGGACTGCGTAGGGCGTCAAATACTGAATGAGGAAAAGACCGGGAAACTGAATAATAATATATAGTTCTTATTTTATTTGTGATGATGGTTCTGTTAGTATGCATCTTGGTAGCAGGGGCTTTTCCTATCAGAGCTTAGAGACCCTCCACGATTGATAGTTGTGGAGACGATATGATTGAGTCACATGCTGCAGTGCACTCTTTCATTCACATATTTCCAGGCTACTTTCATTGGTCATGAGTTTTAGCTACTCTTCTCTCTTCCAGCCTGCTCCCTCCATCCACCACTCTGCTATGTCTCTCACAACACCTTCTCTCTGGTGTTAGTGCTCTCCCATACGTTTACAGGCCTGGGTTCCATTCATTTCAATGACAGAGTGCAATGGTGGACTGATACAGAGCAACCTGGTGCTGACTGGCTCACACACCAATAAGAGTCCCAAACAAACACATGTAATAATTTCTAGTTAGGGGTGCTTCAGTGCCTTTGGGAAAGAAATGAGGGAAAGACTAATACAACCAACCAAAATAACCAAGCTACTTACTATGGTCATGAATTTCTGTACTAATGGTTCTGTTCATTTTCAGCCTTGGCACTTTGCTGTGTACAGACGTTTGTGCATGTGTACACTTGCTTTTGTGACACACTACACTTTTTAAAAAGGGTTATTTCTGTCTAATCCGTTGGAGAACCGAAATTATCATTTGAACTAAAAAAGATAATTCTGGCACTCAATAGTATTACTTTTTTACATACCTTTACCTTTTTTTTTTTTTTTTTTTTACATTAATCTTTGCATGTAGGTCTATCCAATAACTTGTAAATGTATGTATTTTAGTTTTCTTTTTACTTTTGGTATGTCATTTTAGTATGGTATGTCAAGTTTAACTGCAATATCTTGTCATGTATTATAAAAATATTTGTACCTGCTTTCTCGTTTCCCCCATTCTCCTGTCTTTGAGTAAATAAATAGAGAGGAAAAAAGCAATTTGCACTGTGTACAGACTGTTTTTGAAAATAATGTTTTGATCATAAATGTAAATAAACTATTACTGCTTGGGTGCCAAAATGTTAACGCATGTGAGGAGGTGGAAGCACCACTAATGATTATTTTTCATCTTTATGTTTTGTGTTTTTGCTTGAAATGTTCAATAGGTTGGTGGGACAAAAGGTGGCAGTGTAGTTATTTCCAAAGTACCATCAACACTTAACAGTGAGCAGACAGTAAAATACAGTATTTATTATAAAATACAATTGTCTTGTATATATTGCATATTATATTGTATATTGTTAACATTGTATTTTATTACAAATATTGTGCTAGTTTAGGATTTTACTTTTGATGATTCTATGGTTGTAAATGGTGTGCAATTCATTCAGTCTATAGCTAGGTTTCCATCCAATTGGTGACAGATTTTCATGCAAATATTCTTAAATCTGCATAAAGAAAATATGCGCACACCAGTGGTGCGTTTCCACCAAACTGACTTGTGCGTCATCTATAGTTTGGCAGGACATCCGAACCTACAAGAGAAGCAAGTATATATTTTTTATTCAAAAAGTAGCTGTTGGTATTGTCTTGCTAGGGCAATTTAATTTAAGCGCTGTATTTGACCTAGTAGCCTACTTAATCATTGCTGTTTGAACTGTCTTATTGCTCAGTACTTGACTGTCGTTGTGGATTTAGATTAGTTTCAGGCCTATTTGTGTAATTTGTGGGTGTGTTGTATTGTAGGGGGTGTTTACGTCACCTCTGCCAGGCAATCAGCAATCAGTGCTGGGAGGTGTGTCGTTCACCTCTGCTAGGTAATTAGTGCTAGTATTTCGGTCTCCCCCGTTTTTTCAGCGGTGTTGTCCCCGAAACAAAGACGTTCTGACGAGTTGTTCGAAGGAGGCTTCACACCACTCTTTCACCTGAGTCTGTTATCTAGTTATTTTCGGATTATCTCATTTTGCTCTTTTATAGCTTTGTCAACTGTGTTTTCTATACCAGTTCGCTCCTCTCCCTGCAGGTTTTACAGACGCTCCCCACCCCATGGCTGCAACCCATATAATTTAGTGTACCCTGTGCGCACAACCCATGTGGAACTCCCAGTCTCCGGAAGCGTTTGGAACTGCTGATCTGCGGTCAATAAGGCTGAGTTAATCTCAGCCTATGTTGCCTTTCAGTCCCTACACTTTTTGGCCCTGACTGAGACATGGATTACCCCAGAGAACACTGCTACTCCAGCTGCTCTTTCGTCATCTGACTGTTCTTTCATAGTCTGAGAGCATCCAGTCGTGGCGGTGGTGGCACAGGGCTACAAATTTATCCTAAATGGGGATTTTCTCTTTTCCCCATCTCTCACCTGTCTGTCCTAATTTGAATTCCATGCACTTGTCACTTGTCCACTTAATCTTAAAGGAATAATCCACTAAAAACCACAAATTCCTATGATTTACATTGCTAAATAACGCAAATTTGGGAGAACAGTATGTTGTGAAATGTTTGCATTTCGTTATAATATGTTAGGAAGCAACGTGAAAATTGTTGTGGAAATCTGCAGAACTCAAGTCGACTACAAAATCCGCAATGCTCTCTATAGAAAGGCTGGCTGGCTAGCTAGGTAGGTAGCTAGTTAGAAAATGTAGCTACACACAATAATGCCAGTTAATATCAGCATGTGAAGTAGTTGTAAAATCCAACAAACTGCACTGATGAATCAAACTGCACTATCAATTTAGGAATTTCAATCTCACCATGTTCAACCTGGTAGAGATCGCATTTCTAGCTCAAAACTGTCAGGTTGCTATGGCAATGTGCAAGGGCCCTGTGAGGAGAGAACCACTTTGTTTCATGGTAGTTGAAATTATATTAATCTGGCAGTGTACTGTGCACTTTGAGGACATTTTAACAAAATATGTACTTGACAATATAGACAGATTAATGTTCTAGACGAGCATGTCCATACCATCGATTGGTTTATTTGGCGATCTGGAGTGTGATGGGGGTATCAAAACTATCTCCAGTGACTAGAACCTTATCATGATGTGTCACATTTCATTTCTAGGATGGATTCAAACTATGGCCCGCGGGCCGGATCCAGACCATTTATTTTGGGTTAGAAAAACACTCCAGGCCACTCTTGAACGTCTAAAACTAGATATAAAGTATGTATAAATTATAATGTACCAATATATTTTCAAATAACTGCACTTTTTCTGGGGCGCAAATTGATTTTGACAAACAAATCGGTCCCCAAAACAATCTGTGCCGCCCTCCTTTGAATTTCGAAATCCCGATGTGGCCCTCGAGCCAAAAAGTTTACCCCTGCTCTACAACTCTACCTCACACAGGAAGCGGCGCAGATCCTAATTCAGGAACTTGTCATCTCCCGTCTAGACTACTGCAACTCTCTGTTGGCTGGGCTCACCTGTTTGTGCCATCAAACCCCTGCAATTTATCCAGAATGCCGCAGCCTGCCTGGTGTTCAACCTTCCTAAATTCTCCTATGTTACCCCACTCCTCCACACACTCCACTGTCTTCCAGTCGAAGATCGCATAATCTTCAAACTCCTGGTGCTTGTCTACGGAGCAGCAAGGATAACTGCCCCTCCTTACCTTCAGGCTCAAATCCTACATCCCAACCCGAGCACTCTGATCCGCCACCTCTGGTCTCTTGGCCCTCGCACCCCAGTCAAAGCTCTTCTCTGTCCTGGCACCCCAATGGTAGAACAAGCTTCCCCCTAAAGTCAGGACAGCGGGGTTCCTTCCCATTTTCCGAAAACATCAAACCCTGAAGAGTATCTTAAATAACTCTCAAAAAAGGTTGTGGAAATCGCTCTGTCATTTCCTGGTTCGTACAATTCTACACTGTTCACTCGATTTCAGTTTATGTGAGAAAACAAGCACTGAATATTGTAGGGAATCATTGTACCATCTAAATCGTTGTGAAAATATCATTTTAATAACAAAAAATATCAGTTTTATCAACTGGTGAACCCATAGCCACGGGACGTACAGTAGGGATGCTGAGGGTCCTGCAGCAGCCCCTCAAAAATCGGAATTAAAAAAAATTGTGCACTGGGCCTTTAATAGTCCTGTATTAGCGGACCAATATATCTGCAGCGCAGGCAAAAACTCGCCCCATTTTGACAACAGATGCCTCTCCGGCTGGAGAAATCAACAGGCGAATATCACAGCCAATCACAACACTGTCGGGTAAGTAATACTGTGAAACACTATCATTCCACTATTAGTGGCAGATATATTATGGACATTTTCTGAAATTGCAATGCAAAAATTCTACAACAATCCTTTTAAATAGAAAATGTGCCTACTTTGGTTTTGGCATGTGCGCTCTAGCCAACAGCATAGTGTCGTAGTAAATATATTATGTTATAGCTTGGTCTGACTAAAATCTTGTGCATAACCCATCTTGTGTTGGGCCTTGGGATTTAATACAATGCACAAAGACTTCTATCTTGTCGGCCTTATCAGCAGGTGGCTATGGACAACACCCACGCCATAGGTCTCTCAGCTCTCCCAAACTCACGAGTTATTGCTCTGAGGACATACACACACACACCCCCCACACACACACACATACACACACACACACACACACACATCATCATCGTTAAACATACACACACATACACACACACACATACACACACACACACACACACATACACACACATCATCATTGTTAAGCACACACACACAAAAAACCCCTTCTCTTAGGAACATCTGAAGACAGAGAACCCGACTCAGAGCCAATGCAATGGAGATGACCTCGACCAACTCATCAGGACCAATCGGAAGATCAGAACTACTAGAATCAACCTACTTTATTTTATTGTATAAAATGTCAGCACACAATGTTTTGGGCGCGCTCTCAGATATCTCCCTACGAGATTGACGAACGGGTCCGTGCACGCGATTTCAGATATCTTTACCTCTGAATAAACTGCCTTATATTATACAATTATCCACCTTGTCCAAAAGTCTCTACTTGGTCTCCGTTCTCCAGTAAACTTGTGATCATCAACAATAGCTAGGGTGCGAGTAAACTGTGATGGTAGGCTAGTCTACATGATGAGATTATTATGGATAATTTTTTTATGGATAAAAGCGAAAATATTTGTCAAACGTCAGTCCAGCATCGCTCATCGTTTTACCAGAATAAGACCCTCAATATTTATTGGAAAGGAGCATCAAACTCATCACCGTGCACTTTCACCAGCCTGTGAAGTTCATCATAATTTATTTCATCTGTAGCCTAATAACCTGCATGGTTTCCGGAGTTGTAGTGGGAGGACCCACACACCATATCATCGCGTGACTCCAAGTTTACTTCGATATAATGGTTATTATATCAATATTTGCGTATAAAGTCGTGTCCACCGCGATTTCTCGCGTAATCAATTTTACCAACACAAAAAGATCCCGCCATGTCGAACGAATAAATTATCTATCTGCATTTATTAAATTGTACTGAAACTTCCTGTTTCCATCACAGTTGTAGTGATTTTTTTTCTTATGCAATGACTTTACTAGCATAAAAACTGTAGATGGAAACATGGTTAGTGACTGCAAAAAAAACAAGAATCTACTACTACTACTACAGAAACACAGAAGTAGTTCCACTATGTGTTTTTAAACAAATCACATTTTATTGGTCACATACACATATTTAGCAGATGTTATTGCGGGTGTAGGGAAATGCTTGTGCTGTAAAGTTGCTTAGGAGCTAGAAGCAGAGCTGACATGTCTGTCAGCGCCATCTTGTTCTGGTGTACTCAGCAGGTTCAAGGCATTGTTCTCATATCAGTACTTCCACATGTCACAGACCACAGTTTCAATAAATATATCACAGGTAATAGAGAAGAGGAAGATCCTCATTTCCATGTCGACTTCTGTAAAAACAGTCTGACACCAAGCACTGGCAGCAGACGCTAGGGGACACATTCACAGCACACAAATCATAATGTTATACTGTACAAACATTGTCAGTGATACAGACCTCACAGTCAGAAAAGGCCATGGAGAGCAGTACACTCGCCCTCCGGACTCTGGAGTCACCATCTCCTCCTTCAGGGCAGTGCACATTCAGCTTACAGTACGTCTGAGGCCAGGACAGCAGTTGTAACACCACAGACAAAGGGCAGAAATGACAACCTATTCTCTGTGTAGAGCCTATTCCCTATATAGAGACCTACAAAAGTAGTGCACTACAGTATATGGGGAATAGGGTGTAATTTTGAGATTTTCATTTGAGGCCAGTGCATTATACACAAACTTGTTTCTCTTCCACCTCAGTGTGTGTTGATGAGTTGGTTGTAGACATGCTCCAGGATCTGAGAGTAGGCCTGGTTTTTGGGTGTGTGGCCGCTCAGAGAGCCCTGGGGGAGAGAGAGGGAGACAACAGGTGAGGAGGAAATCTCTGAGGGACAAATCCTAACTGGAGATAACATGCATGACTCGAACTTCACGCAAATGTATTGATGTCAATGAGAGATTTGTGATAATTTGGGTATCATGCGCAGATCACAAGTTAGCATCCGGCCCTAAGTGATTAACATGGTGTGGAATCTATGCTCCTTGTGTTACATAGCAGTTTCCTGTTGTAAATGGCTTATGTTTCACAGACCTTGATTTTGTCCATCATGGTGCGATCAGGACACCAGAACTGATGGAACTGCACCAGGTCAGGAGCTGCCCTGTAGAAGTCCACCAGCAGCATCTGTGGAACAATAATTGAATACAGTAAGAAGAACATAGTGACAAAATGGCCAATGGCCTACCATTTGAATTAATTTGCATAGGTATGGTTACTATGATGATAACTTAGTTTACAAACAGTACCATCTCATTCAGGATGTCACTGGTCAGGAAGTTATCTTGTACATAGGTCACCTCCACCACCACAGGGATGCCATAGTCATTGGGCCTTTGCTGTGGATGGAAGAATAGTGATAAGTTTGTGTTATAGACATTTACCTTATTTTAGAGGAATATGTTCTTATTCATAAAGGCATGTACTACCAGCAGGTTGGCATTTATTGTCATGAATCTTGACCCGGAGGCAGCTCTGAAAAGTGGACACTAGCTGGTAAAGCCACAAAGTAATAAAATCTGATTTTAAACCTAACCTTCACCCTAACCTTAACCACACCGCTAACCCTAATGCCTAATCCTAACCTTAAATGAAGACCAAAAAGCTAATTTTTGTTTTCATTAATTTTTACGATATAGCCCATTTTTACTTTGCAGCTGGCCCAGTTAGCGGAAATAGCTCAGTTCTGCCTCCAGGGCAAGATTCATGACAATAAACATCAACCTGCGTACTACAACTGCACTCACCTCAGGAGGTGGCACTACCCAGAACGGCGTTATAGTGGATGCCACACCCTGGTTCCCATGGTAATAGGGCCCTAGAAATCAGGGACACATTGGAATGTTAGCACAATGGCTGTTTTTTTAAATGTTATTTTTGAAAACGTTTTCTCCCATTGGTGCAAACTGATTGTGACCGTGGGTGATGGGTCACTGGGCTCAGAGCCCCAGGCCCAGGCCCCATGTCCAAGCCCAGTACTGACCACAGATGATGCCCAGGCAGGGCTGGAAGCCATTGCTGCTCCCCTGGAGCCTGAGCTGGTGGTCCATCTGGGAGTCGATGTCCTGCAGGGACGGCAGGGCGGGGCCCCGAGGATGACTGTGGTACCAGCCCACTAATGACAGACCTTGTATGAACAGATTCTGGCAGATCTGAAAGGTCATTGATAGAAGAGACAATTTGTGTTTCGCACAAACATGTATGATTGTATCATACTATGGAATTGGCGTGTTGATCCATGTCCTGATATTAGCAGTGTTACTAGGGCTTACCTCTTCCTCAACAGCAGAGGCCGAATCTCTGTCTGCCAATCGTGTGCGACAGGGAAATGCTCTTAAAACTGTCAGAACTGCAAGCAAAAGGGCACAACAACAGAGGTCATACATGTTGAAGATCGTTACTGTAATGCCAGAGCCTGGGGAGTGCAATGTCATGTTTCAGACATTGCTCACTGTCTCTGCTTTTAAAGGTAATACTAACGTTGTGTGTTAGTGTCCCATCGTCCTCCGAGGTAGCCCACCACCTCACTGGTGGTCAGGTGACAGTGGAAATCCTGAGGGCACAAGATCATACATCTGTCACTTTCCCCCAATACAACAGACTCAAACTGTAGCCTACACCCCCGGTTTTACATTTTTTATCTTACTACCACTGTACGACTCATGCTTACCATGAGAAGCATCACGTTGCTGGATACAGCCACATTGAAAGGCTGGAATCTGTTGATGGCTGAGAAAGCTGATAACTCCACCAATGTGTGTGGATCCCTGTTGATATACAGTATGTGTTTAAGTGTTGATGCTTACTTATATGCATTATTGAGACAGGCTGGGATGAGCACAATTATACCTTGCAGCATCCCTGGTACCCAGAGTGCAGTATCTGACAGGGATTATCTCTCTCTCTCCTCTCTTGGGCACAAGGCTGATATCTGTTTGAGGGAGCCCATTAGATACATCTTTCCCATATCACTCTCTAGCATAAAATAGTTTAAATTACATAATGCCATTTCTCCAGATTCTTGGTGTATTTAATATCTCACCATGCAGCTCAAGTTTGTTCTTCCTGTTCTTGTCATCTGTCGGCAATGGTGTCTTTCCCTCTTTCTCCTCCTCATCTCTCATCTCGTCATCTTCTACCTCGCTCACCAAGCTCTGACATCACAGGAAGAGGGAGGGTTTGAGATGCCATTATTCATACTAACAGTGTTCTACAGCGCTTCTCTCCCTCCCAATCTCCCTCTTTCAGCATCCCTTCCTTTTGATTCCTCTTTTCCTGTAGAGATGTTTGTTTCCGTATCAACAAACCTCCCTCGTTTTCTTCCACTACCCCTCTATTTTTCTCCTCCTCACCATGTCTGCGCTGGGCTGGTACTTCTGCAGCCAGCTGGTCTTGTACTGCACTAGTTTTTGGCCCCGGTAGCGCACTGAGGCCCACCCACAGCCCGACTTCTTAGCAGGGTTGACCAGGCGCTTGCAGTGTGTGGCCCAGGCACTGGGAGAGTTGAAGGTCTGCCCCGTCTCCACCCAGCGGATCTTCCCATCATTAAACAGGTCGCCTACAAACTTTTTACCCTAGGGAGGGAGGGAAGGATGCAACTTTAGGCTGGTGTTGGCGACAATGCAGTGGGTTAAAAAATGGAAGTATGGATATTGTTAGGCAAAGAAGACTACATGTTCTACAATGTAAAGTGTTCTGAGATCTAGTGAGACACATTATACATTATATAGTGCTTATAAACCATTTTTTAGATCTATTATATGTTATTACCAGGTATTGTACCAGTTATTATATATTTTAAACATGGTACACTACATGACCAAAAGTATGTGGACACCCCTTCAAATTAGTGGATTCAGCTATTTCAGCCTCACCTGTTGCTGACAGGTATATAAAATCGAGCACACAACCATGCAATCTCCATAGACAAACATTGGCAGTAGAATGGCCTTACTGAAGAGCTCAGTGACTTTCAACGTGGCGCTGTCATAGGATGCCACCTTTCCAACAAGTCAGTTAGTCTACTTTCTGCCCTGCTAGAGCTGCCCCGGTCAACTGTATGTGCTGTTATTGTGAAGTGGAAACATCTAGGAGCTGTAACGGCTCAGCCGCGAAGTGGTAGGACACACAAGCTTACAGAACGGGACGGCCGAGTGCTGTAGCGCGTAAAAATCTTCTGTCCTCAGTTGCAACACTCACTACCGAGTTCCAAACTGCCTCTGGAAGTAACGTCAGCATAATAACTGTTTGTCGGGAGCTTCATGAAATGGTTTCCATGGCCGAGCAGCCGCACACAAGCCTAAAATCACCATGCGCAATGCCAAGCGTCGGCTGCAGTGGCATAAAGCTTGCCACCATTGGACTCTGGAGCAGTGGAAACGCGTTCTCTGGAGTGATGAATCACGCTTCAACACCTAGCAGTCCGATGGACGAATCTGGGTTTGGCGGATGCCAGAAGAACGCTACATGCCCGAATGCATAGTGCCAACTGTAAAGTTTGGTGGAGGATAAATAATGGTCTGGACCTGTTTTTCATGGTTCGGGCTAGGCCCCTTAGTTCCAGTGAAGGGAAATCTTAACGCTACAGAATACAATGACATTCTAGACGAGTCTGTGCTTCCAACTTTGTGGCAACAGTTTAGGGAAGGCCCTTTCCTGTTTTAGAATGACAATGCCCCTGTGCACAAAGCGAGGTCCATATAGAAGTGGTTTGTCGAGATCGGTGTGAAAGTACTTGAGTGGCCTGCACAGAGCCCTGCCTCAACCCCATCGAACACCTTTGGGATGAATTGGAACACCGACTGCGAGCCAGGTCTAATCGCCCAACATCAGTGCCCGACCTCACTAATGCTCTTGTGACTGAATGGAAGCAAGCCCCGCAGCAATGTTCCAACATTTAGTGGAAAGCCTTCCCAGAAGAGTGGAGGCCATTATAGCAGCAAAGGGGGACCAACTCCATATTAATGCCCATGATTTTCGAATGAGAAGTTTGACGAGCACGTGTCCACATTCTTTTGGCCATATAGTGTATTTGTGTATGGACATGTATTATAATAATCTGTTACAGGTACATTACCAGGTAGTGTATGGACATGTATTATAATAATCTGTTACAGGTGCATTACAGGTAGTGTATGGACATGTATTATAATAATCTGTTACAGGTGCATTACCAGGTAGTGTATGGACATGTATTATAATAATCTGTTACAGGTGCATTACCAGGTAGTGTATGGACATGTATTATAATAATCTGTTACAGGTGCATTACCAGGTAGTGTATGGACATGTATTATAATAACCTGTTACAGGTGCATTACCAGGTAGTGTATGGACATGTATTATAATAATCTGTTACAGGTGCATTACCAGGTAGTGTATGGACATGTATTATAATAATCTGTTACAGGTGCATTACCAGGTAGTGTATGGACATGTATTATAATAATCTGTTACAGGTGCATTACAGGTAGTGTATGGACATGTATTATAATAATCTGTTACAGGTGCATTACAGGTAGTGTATGGACATGTATTATAATAATCTGTTACAGGTGCATTACAGGTAGTGTATGGACATGTATTATAATAATCTGTTACAGGTGCATTACAGGTAGTGTATGGACATGTATTATAATAATCTGTTACAGGTGCATTACCAGGTAGTGTATGGACAGAACTCCATCCCCAGGCTCCACAAGGCTGTCCTTCAGCAGCACTCTCAGAGTGATGCCTCTCCTCGTCAGCAGGGAACCACGCCCCGAGAGGGTCATCAGGTCTGACTCCTCTCCTCCACTCAGCTCCTCCTCATCTTCCTCTCCTCCCTCCTCCACCACCTGTGGAGACAAGGGTGGCTCCGAGCCTGTGAACACAGACACACACACACACATTTTATGCATGATGCATTTGTAAGCCATTCAATAGAAAGGTGATCTCTTAGAGAGAGGCACCACTCTTATTACAATGTCATAAACACATGTCCAAGTTAAAACGTAAGGTGCCATGACCTTGACATGAAGTGAGGAACAAAAATATTGTAATTAATCCAAAAAAATAAGTCCAACAAATGATTCCCTCTGAACTTGTTATAGGGGTCATGACATCTTTGAGGTCAAGAAGTCACCCACTGACCCACATAAATCACTGTCACCGTTGAAATGTTGTAATAATCTGTAGGACATTACAAGTACAGTTGTTTGATGTAGCTAATTTGTCACTTTTTATCATTTGTGATAGCCCTAATTAACGGTGGGGCCTTTGTGAGACACCGTTCTTTTATATGGTTAGTAAGAAACAAGAAACGCAGAAGACATTCCATATAGGGACAAAATAGTAGCCTACTGATTTGATCTCATTTGCTATTTTATTAATTACTACTATTACATTTTGATTAAATATGGATGCGCGATGTTGTTTTTTCTTGGCCATTGGTTATTCATCCGCAACACGAGGCCTGCTCCTCGAGATGAATTTCACCCAGTATTTTTATTAAAATAACTCTTATCATTCTCACCCATTTCTCTGAAAGCGTTGGAGAACGGCTAGAGGTTTTCTTTTCGGCGCACTTTTGAGCAATGCTCAGAAGGAGTTCAATAAACACACTTCGCCACACTGGCTGGTGAGCTATTATGCAAAAACATAAAATGAAGGCGTCTGCAGTGTGGTGTCCTTGTGTTGTTTTAATTTCAATTCCTCCCGTTTCTTTCTCCCTCACTCCGGTCCTTGTCACTCTTCCCGTAAACTAAAGCGATCCTATAGGTTATATCTAATCGCAAACTATTTTCTGTTCAGTAGCTATCATACATAGTTTGTTATAGTCAAAACATATATTTATCTATACATTAGTAACTACATGGTATTAAATCAGATCATCATGTTATCAATTCCTGCTTCCGGAAAGATAGTGTCGCTCCGTGCTTTGAGCCAGCCGCTATGTGGCCAGTCTGCCCATTATATTTTGCTTCTAGCAAAAATAAAATATTAAAAACATTTAATTTCTGTCATTTATAAATACGTCCCTCAACTAGCCAAAGAGACAGTTACAATCAAACTTATGGATAATCAAAACCTCATCCCTAGCCCTCACTTTCCCTATATTTATCCACCACTAGAGAATCTCCTCCTCTTCCAGACACACGCACCCCCTCGCCTATTTCCTCCTTGCGATGTTCCTTCAGCTCTAAAAGGAGAAAATTAACGAAACAAATCCGATGGAGGGCAGCAAAACCACCTACAACTAAACCCTGACTGTGACAATAGGCCTAGACTACTTACTGGCACCATAAATTCGGTTTAGGCCTATTACATTTCCAAATTCCAACCCTTTGACTGGGTGTAGAAAGTGGGAATACCCTGCATGGATGGCTTTTTAGCAGAGCTTGGTCAATAAGTAGCCTAATTATTAAAACATCAACTATCGTGAGAAACTGATTTTTTATTAACGTAGTTCCCGCACTCACAAACTTTTTGTTAAAATGTCAGAACGCCTACTTACCTGGAAAATGGGTATGGCCCAATATGTTAAATGGACCAATGAGTGTTCAGCCTGCTGTGGGCGTGTTTGGCGACAGACACATGCCTCGAGTCGAGTGTCACCTGAAGTCGCCTGCCTACTACAGTTCAACTGAGAGTGCAATTACTAGCAAAAATAGTTTCCGGTCGATAGGAATGTCAGATGATACTTGAGCACAAAACAAAAGCTTTTTCAAATTTCACCTGGACTACTAACCAAACCTCATGGTGCTACTCTGACTCTAGGACTGAAAATATATATTTACAATTTCTCACTTTTTTTGAAGCCATTAGGTATTGTCACTTAATAACCAGAAGAGCACTTAATAACTATTGTCCCCGTGCGTGAACTCTGCGTCCGAGAGCGCGCCACTGATGGCGACCACCAAGCGAGCCAGACGACGGCGCAACCAGCTTCCACAGTGCTACTACGAAGGATACCTGGAGAAGAGATCATCCAACGACACGGTATAAGGATTTTGCTACTTCATGTCGTAATGTGATAGATACATTTCGTCTATGTTTGGCCTGTTTGTTGTCAGTAGCGGTGCGTGGGTAAAATCACTGGGGTAATTGCGTTTGCTCTATACCCTTTTAGTTCATACGCATTGCCACCGTGATATATAGGCAGGGTCGGATTAATAAATCAAAATTGTAGAACACAGTGACTCGCCTAATGATGAAGATGAAGCCATAGGCTACTCACGGTGATGGTCGATGCGCTCATCGTGACAATAGACTATCTCAAAATGAACTACTTTGATAAAAAAAAAAAAGTGCTGCTGTTAGCTACAAATAGGAGGTTGTTGAGGATTTTTGGTTCTACGGACAGATTAGTCTTCTCTTTTCAGCAGTAGGCATTTGCTTTTCAAACTGTATGTTTTTCCCGCGATTGTATTTTGAAATCTGCAAAAGGCAAACTGACAGCTGCAACCAACAATTGAAATATAATCCATAGATGGCAGAACTGGCATTAATTGCTAGTGTGACCATCATGGCGCGCATGCTACCCAAACAGCAGCCTTATACAGCATACCGGTAACTGCCCAAATAAAGGAAACACTTGAGTAAACAAGAAATACAACATATATGTTATGGTGTGGGGTGCATTTTCCTGGCATGGTTTAGGTCCACTTATAATAATCTATGCCAAGGCGCATTGACACTGTTCTGGCACCCTTTTAAGACGCTTTATGTTGGTATTTCCTTCATTTTGGCAGATACCTGTATGTGCTTCTGATAAAACTTAATCCACATGTATTGTTTTATAAACGATTGCTCCTCTGTGGCTAAATTATGCTCTCTGGTTTATTTTGAAAATTGAGAGTGGGCTCCTGTGGTTGCATAAATAAAAAAATAATTGTATTTATATATTTATTTGCCTCTTGAGCAGCCTATGGGCTTGGGCCCAGCCCCTGACTCACACATTGACCAGTCACATTTATTTATTATGCAGTTTATCCTTTTTTGTATTTATTAATAAGTTACCCACACTACCTAAATAAATAAATAATAATTGGTCATTTAGCAGACGCTCTTATCCAGAGCGACTTACAGGAGCAATTAGGGTTAAGTGCCTTGCTCAAGGGCACATTGACAGATTTTTCACCTAGTCGGCTCGGGGATTAGAACCAGCGACCTTTCGGTTACTGGCACAACGCTCTTAACCACTAAGCTACCTCCTCTCCCCAATCTGATAATTAGCAGAGCAGAAGCAGGCTGTCTATGCTGAGTCTTCATTTGGTTTGTGGTTGCAGTGAAAAAATAGAAAATATACACTACATATATAATATATACCAGTGGAGGCTGGTGACTTGAAAAATTGAGGAGGTTGGGAGAACCACGGTATAGGCGCAGAACGCACAGAGATGACAAAGTGTGTTTCAGAAATCGTCAAAGACTAATTATTTTAACCTAAAGCATTTAATAAAGATATTTATAGGACAATATTATGGGGAATGAGAGGGCTTCTTACAGTGTTGGAAAGGGATCACAGCAGTGATTGAATGAGGTTATGAGGCATGAGATGAGGTGTTCAGAGGCTTGACCAGTGCAGGACAGGATTTGACTGGGAAGACAAAAAACAATAACACAACACACTACACAGTTAGACAAAAGAGCTAAGAATGAGTTAGTCCAAGCAAGCAGTAAAATCATTGATGTGTAATAATGTGTTTGTGTATGTGATTGACTCTACATAAAGTAATGAGAGAAAATTGATAGGGGTACTCACAGTGCTTGGAGGGGAAACATTCAATGTGCCAGTGGATGAGCAGGCACATGAGACGAGGTTTCAGTTCATGTCAGGAGAAAGTTGACAATGGTAGTGGAGTAGTCATCACCTCTTAATCAGGGAACAGGAGGGGACTCAAATAGCAGATACATTCCATTACAGCTGCGCCATCGTAGGTTTGGACAACGTGTTTCTCTATGAAGTTAAACTCGGACATCTCAATATTCATAAAGTCAAACACAGACTGCGCATCTCGCCCACTTGACACATCAAAGTAGCCCAAGAAACGTTCCTGAATAAAGCCCTGATCATCCACATACCTGACGATAACTGACAACTGCAAGCAGACTGGTGGCACCATAGGTCCCAGAGCGGTGGGGCAATTTTTACCCCCTGGGGCCTGGAGTTTGTCCTTATACAGTGGGGGAAAAAAGTATTTAGTCAGCCACCAATGGTGCAAGTTCTCCCACTTAAAAAGATGAGAGAGGCATGTCATTTTCATCATAGGTACACGTCAACTATGACAGACAAAATGAGAAGAAAAAAAATCCAGAAAATCACATTGTAGGATTTTTAATGAATTTATTTGCAAATTATGGTGGAAAATAAGTATTTGGTCACCTACAAACAAGCAAGATTTCTGGCTCTCACAGACCTGTAACTTCTTCTTTAAGAGGCTCCTCTGTCCTCCACTCGTTACCTGTATTAATGGCACCTGTTTCAACTTGTTATCAGTATAAAAGACACCTGTCCACAACCTCAAATAGTCACACTCCAAACTCCACTATGGCCAAGACCAAAGAGCTGTCAAAGGACACCAGAAACAAAATTGTAGACCTGCACCAGGCTGGGAAGACTGAATCTGCAATAGGTAAGCAGCTTGGTTTGAAGAAATCAACTGTGGGAGCAATTATTAGGAAATGGAAGACATACAAGACCACTGATAATCTCCCTCGATCTGGGGCTCCACACAAGATCTCACCCCGTGGGGTCAAAATGATCACAAGAACGGTGAGCAAAAATCCCAGACCCACACGGGGGGACCTAGTGAATGACCTGCAGAGAGCTGGGACCAAAGTAACAAAGCCTACCATCAGTAACACACTACGCCACCAGGGACTCAAATCCTGCAGTGCCAGACGTGTCCCCCTGCTTAAGCCAGTACATGTCCAGGCCCGTCTGAAGTTTGCTAGAGTGCATTTGGATGATCCAGAAGAGGATTGGGAGAATGTCATATGGTCAGATGAAACCAAAATATAACTTTTTGGTAAAAACTCAACTCGTCGTGTTTGGAGGACAAAGAATGCTGAGTTGCATCCAAAGAACACCATACCTACTGTGAAGCATGGGGGTGGAAACATCATGCTTTGGGGCTGTTTTTCTGCAAAGGGACCAGGACGACTGATCCGTGTAAAGGAAAGAATGAATGGGGCCATGTATCGTGAGATTTTGAGTGAAAACCTCCTTCCATCAGCAAGGGCATTGAAGATGAAACGTGGCTGGGTCTTTCAGCATGACAATGATCCCAAATACACCGCCCGGGCAACGAAGGAGTGGCTTCGTAAGAAGCATTTCAAGGTCCTGGAGTGGCCTAGCCAGTCTCCAGATCTCAACCCCATAGAAAATGTTTGGAGGGAGTTGAAAGTCCGTGTTGCCCAGCGACAGCCCCAAAACATCACTGCTCTAGAGGAGATCTGCATTGAGGAATGGGCCAAAATACCAGCAACAGTGTGTGAAAACCTTGTGAAGACTTACAGAAAACGTTTGACCTGTGTCATTGCCAACAAAGGGTATATAACAAAGTATTGAGAAACTTTTGTTATTTTACATTTACATTACATTTACGTCATTTAGCAGACGCTCTTATCCAGAGCGACTTACAAATAGGTGCATTCACCTTATAGCCAGTGGGATAACCACTTTACAATTAGTTTTTTTTTTTTTTTTGGGGGGGGGGGGGGGGGGGTTGGAGTAAAGGGGGGGGGGGGGGGGGGTAGAAGGATTACTTTATCCTATCCCAGGTATTCCTTAAAGAGGTGGGGTTTCAAATGTCTCCGGAAGGTGGTGAGTGACTCCGCTGTCCTGGCGTCGTGAGGGAGCTTGTTCCACCATTGGGGTGCCAGAGCAGCGAACAGTTTTGACTGGGCTGAGCGGGAACTATGCTTCCGCAGAGGTAGGGGAGCCAGCAGGCCAGAGGTGGATGAACGCAGTGCCCTCGTTTGGGTGTAGGGACTGATCAGAGCCTGAAGGTACGGAGGTGCCGTTCCCCTCACAGCTCCGTAGGCAAGCACCATGGTCTTGTAGCAGATGCGAGCTTCAACTGGAAGCCAGTGGAGTGTGCGGAGGAGCGGGGTGACGTGAGAGAACTTGGGAAGGTTGAACACCAGACGGGCTGCGGCATTCTGGATGAGTTGTAGGGGTTTAATGGCACAGGCAGGGAGCCCAGCCAACAGCGAGTTGCAGTAATCCAGACAGGAGATGACAAATGCCTGGATTAGGACCTGTGCCACTTCCTGTGTAAGGCAGGGTCGTACTCTCCGAATGTTGTAGAGCATGAACCTACAGGATCGGGTCACCGCCTTGATGTTAGCGGAGAACGACAGGGTGTTGTCCAGGGTCACGCCAAGGCTCTTCGCACTCTGGGAGGAGGACACAACGGAGTTGTCAACCGTGATGGCGAGATCATGGAACGGGCAGTCCTTCCACGGGAGGAAGAGCAGCTCCGTCTTGCCGAGGTTCAGCTTGAGGTGGTGATCCGTCATCCATACTGATATGTCTGCCAGACATTCAGAGATGCGATTCGCCACCTGGTTATCAGAAGGGGGAAAGGAGAAGATTAGTTGTGTGTCGTCAGCGTAGCAATGATAGGAGAGGCCATGTGAGGATATGACAGTGCCAAGTGACTTGGTGTATAGCGAGAATAGGAGAGGGCCTAGAACTGAGCCCTGGGGGACACCAGTGGTGAGAGCACGTGGTGCGGAGACAGCTTCTCGCCACGCCACTTGGTAGGAGCGACCGGTCAGGTAGGACGCAATCCAAGAGTGAGCCGCGCCGGAGATGCCCAGCTCGGAGAGGGTGGAGAGGAGGATCTGATGGTTCACAGTATCAAAGGCAGCAGACAGGTCTAGAAGGACAAGAGCAGAGGAGAGAGAGTTAGCTTTAGCAGTGCGGAGAGCCTCCGTGACACAGAGAAGAGCAGTCTCAGTTGAATGACCAGTCTTGAAACCTGACTGGTTTGGATCAAGAAGGTCATTCTGAGAGAGATAGCAAGAGAGTTGGCTAAAGACGGCACGCTCAATAGTTTTGGAGAGAAAAGAAAGAAGGGATACTGGTCTGTAGTTGTTGACATCAGAGGGATCGAGTGTTGGTTTTTTGAGAAGGGGTGCAACTCTCGCTCCCTTGAAGACGGAAGGGACATAGCCAGCGGTCAAGGATGAGTTGATCAGCGAGGTGAGGTAAGGGAGAAGGTCACCGGAGATGGTCTGGAGAAGAGAGGAGGGGATAGGGTCAAGCGGGCAGGTTGTTGGGCGGCCTGCCGTCAAAAGTCGCAAGATTTTATCTGGAGAGAGAGGGGAGAAAGAAGTCAAAGCATAGGGTAGTTATTGACCAAATACTTATTTTCCACCATAATTTGCAAATAAATTCATTAAAAATCCTACAATGTGATTTTCTGGAGAAAGAAAATCTAATTTTGTCTGTCATAGTTGATGTGTACCTATGATGAAAATTACAGGCCTCTCTCATCTTTTTAAGTGGGAGAACTTGCACAATTGGTGGCTGACTAAATACTTTTTTTCCCCACTGTATGTTAACCTAACTAGGGAAACTATGGACCCTATAAGGTATGACAGTGATTCATCAGTTGTAAAAAGGTTTTATATGGGCTATGATGGGACCAGTTTTTCCTAATCAGGTCACATGGTTTTAAAAAACTCCTGAAAAAAACTCCCGGCCCTGGGGGGGGGTGAAAACCCTGTCAAACTGCAGCTACCTTATATTGGTTCATATAAATTATATTTAGACTAGATTAGGAGGAGGATTTCCTCTACCCAGACACATAGACAACAACTGATAGACAATAGAACTCACAGGGCTGAGCTTGCTTTATGCATGTTTGCATCATGCAGGCCTATGCAACTATAGCCCTTATAAAACATTTACTCACATCTGTCATCAATATTATGTTGATTGATTAATTCCAGTTAATCATTTTGGATTTTAAAAAAAACGTATAGGCAGCCTAGCCAGCCCAATTTTGAATATAAACTAAATTTGATCACATTCACATTTTCTCCTGACACACAAATGGACTATAAATACATAACGTTACCAATTAGTTACCCTGACCAGATGGACTGGACGCATAGGCTGTATGCAGCTGCTCTTATTAGTAGCCTACAGTTGATCAGACTGAAAAATAGTCTCGTTTTCATCCCACACAGCATGTCAGATCTCTCATGTTTAAGTGTAGCCTAAGCTGCTGCAACATTTATGTCATGCGTTTTTGCTTGTGTCTGTCCGGAGTGATTATGTGTTATCATCTTTGCTAAATAAATACCGGAGGAAAGTGGAAAGCCTACTTGGGCGTTCGCAAAAAAATATGCTGTGTCAACCTCTCTCTTTAATCTAACTTTTAATGGATGATGCGATGGAAGTTTTCGACATCCCAGAAAAGACAGTCGAAAGTTTGATATGTTCAGCAAGTAAAGCATCGTAACGTGCAATTACCTCTGCAAGCTCCTTGTAGTTGCCCTTGTTTGCGGAACTTTCCCCCTCATCGTGTCCTCCAAAAATGCAGTGGTGTTGATAAGCCGCTTGAGAACATCCCTGTTGATTCTTACTTTCTCGTTGTGTTGCGCAGTTTGAATACGCAGACCTTCGTCATAATCGATGCAGCTTTTTCCCAGCAGCTTGAATATGATGTGGGCATTTATATTCTCCCTGCTTTTGTTTTTCCATTTAGCTGAACGATCAATGTTCTTCAGGTCACTGTACCGACGTTTCGACTAAGGCTCAGACTTTCCAAAAAGCAGGCAAGGCCAGCAATACTGGCGGCTTGATGAACGGCTCCCTGTTAACCAGCTATACTTTTGATACCAGTTGGTATTGAACCCCAGGGGTTCTTCAACAAAAAGTCCACAACATATTCGGCAGCCATTCTGGCGGAGAAAACTGCACACTCGAGCTGGTAGCTAGCTAGCTACTGAAGATAGTAAGGCAAATTTAAATATATTGTACTAACTGGACACAAAAATAAAGTTCTAAAACCAAGAAAACAATTTAGAATATACCTCCTCAGTCTCCTGTAATTTGAATTGAATAATATCCCAAAAATGCTCAACTATCACTCTTCACTCTTCATCTCTATCCAACATTGTCACCAAGCTTCTCAACACATACAACCCCCATAATACTCTGTGGCACAATCCCAATACAACAAGCTAGGTTCATTCTCTGGTCCTAATTCTATGATTGGATGGACAACATGTCAGTTCATACTACAAAAGCTTTGATTGGTTGGAGGACGTCCTCCGGAAGTGGTCATAATTACCATGCATGTCTATGGAAGGTGGTGAGGCCTACGAGCCTCCTAGGTTTTGTTTTGAAGTCAATGTAGCCAGAGGAGGACGGAAACTAGCTGTCCTCTGGCTACACCATGGTGCTACCCCAGACAGTGCTGTTGAAGTTACTGTAGACCTTCATTGCAAAACTATTTTTATTTTTATGAAATTTCACTGCAGAGGATGGTCCTCCCCTTCCTCCTCTGAGGAGCCGCCGCTGATATATACTGTATATATTATTTATGTATTTATTTTTCACTGCCTCTTGGGCCCCCCACGGGCCAGGGCCCAGGGGCTTCAGCCCCGGTAAACCCCTGCATTAATCTGGCCCTGTATATAGGCCTAAGGCCGAGACAATAAGAAGAGACCATGGCATAATCAATTCAATCACACCTTTGTTTCATCACAAAACCGGACAGCAACATCTGTCCGATGAAGTCCACAAAGCATTTTGCATGTAAAAAACAGTTACATGACCTACAGCATGGTCAAGCAAGTTAATGTTCTGGGTTGCCTCTGAGAATAACATTGACGTATACACTGATACAGTAACTGAGTTCATCAGGAAGTGTATAAGGGATGTTGTTCCCACTGTGATGATTAAAACCTATCCAAATCAAAAACTGTGGGTAGATGGCAGCATTCCCGCAAAACTGAAAGTGCAAACCACCACATTTAACCACGACAAGGTGACTGGGATATGATCGAATACAAACAGTCCAGTTATGTCCTCCGTTAAGGGAAGCAAACAGGCAAAACGTCAGTACAGAGACAAAGGGGAGTCGCAATTCAACGGCTCAGACACGAGACGTATGTGGCAGGGATTCCAGACAATCACGGATTATAAAGGGAAAACCAGCCACGTCGCGGACACAGACGTCTTGCTCCTGGACAAGCTAAACACCTTCTTCCCCTGCTTTGACAATAACACAGTGCCACCGACATGGGCCGCTCCTGAGGACTGTGAGCTCTCGTTCTCTGTGGCTGACGTAAGTAAGACATTTAAGCGTGTTAACCCTCGCAAGGCTGCCGGCCCAGTCGGCATCCCCAACCACGTCCTCAGAGCATGCGCAGACCAGTTGGCTGGAGTGTTTACCGACATATTCAATTTCTCCCTATCCCAGTCTGCTGTCCCCACTTGCTTCAAGATGTCCACCGTTGTTCCTGTACCCAAGAAAGCGAAGGTAACTGAACTAAATGACTATCGCCCTGTAGCACTCACTTCTGTGATCATGAAGTGCTTTGAGAGGCTAGTTAAGGATCATATCACCTCCACCTTACCCGACACCCTAGACCCACTGCAATTCGCATACCACCCGAATAGATCCACGGATGATGCAATCACCATCGCACTGCACACTGCCCTATCCCATCTGGACAAGAGGAATACCTATGTAAGAATGCTGTTCATTGACTAAAGCTCAGCCTTCAACACCGTAGTACCCCGCCCTGTGCAACTGGGTCCTGGACTTCCTGATGGGTCGCTCCCAGGTGGTGAAGGTAGGCAACAACACCTCCACTACGCTGATCCTCAACACAGGGGCCCCACAAGGGGGCGTGCTCAGCCCCCTCCTGTACTCACTGTTTACCCATGACTGCGTGGCCAAACACGCCTACAACTCAATCACCAAAATTTGCAGACGACACAGTAATAGGCCTGATTACCAACAATGACGAGACAACCTACAGGCAGGATATAAGGGCCCTGGCGGAGTAGTGCAAGGAAAATAACCTCTCCTTCAACATCAACAAAACAAAGGAGCCGATTGTGGACTTGAGGAGACAGCAGAGGGAGCACGCCCCCATCCACATCGACGGTGCCGCAGTGGAGAAGGTGAAAAGCTTCTCGTGTACACATCACTGACAGTCTGAAATGGTCCACCCACACATTTAGTGTGGTGAAAAACCTAAATTGGGAGCATCCTGTCGGGCTGTATCACCGCCTGGTAAAGCAAATGCACCGTCCGCAACCGCAGGGCTCTCAAGAGGGTTGTGCGGTCAACTCAACGTATCACCGGGAGCACACTGCGTGCCCTTCAGGACATCTACAGCACCCGGTGTCATAGGAAGGCCAAGAAGATCATCAAGGACCTCAGCCAGTCGAGCCATGACCTGTTCACCCCGCTATCATCCAGAAGTCGAGGTCAGTACAGGTGCATTAAAGCTGGGACCGAGAGACTGAAAAACAGCTTCTATCTCAAGGACATCAGACTGTTAAATAGCCATCACTAGCCAGCCTCCACCCAGTACCCTGCCATGAACTTAGTCACTGTCACTAGCCGGCTACCACCCTGTTACTCATCCCTGCACCTTAGAAGCTGCTTCCCTATGTGCATAGACATGGAACACTGGTCACTTTAATAATGTTTACATACTGTTTTACTCATTTCATATGTGTACAGTACATTCGGAAATTGTTCAGACCCCTTGACTTTTTCCACATTTGGTTACGTTACAGCCTTATTCTAAAATGTATTAAATAAAAAAATTTCCTCATCTATCTACACACAATACCCCATAATGACAAACCAAAAACAGGTTTTTAGCATTTTTAGCAAATGTATAAAAAATAAAAAACAGATACCTTATTTACATAAGTATTCAGACCCTTTGCTATGACACTCGAAATTAAGCTCAGGTGCATCCTGTTTCCATTGATCATCCTTGAGATGTTTCTACAACTTGATTGGAGTCCACCTGTGGTAAATTCAATTGAATGGACATAATTTGGAAAGGCACACACCTGTCTATATAAGGTCCCACAGTTGACAGTGCATGTCAGAGCAAAAACCAAGCTATGAGGCCGAAGGAATTGTCCTTAGAGCTCCGAGACAGGATTGTGTCGAGGCACAGATCTGGGGAAGGGTACCAAAAAATGTCTGCAGCATTGAAGGTCCCCAAGAACACAGTGGCCTCCATCATTCTTAAATGGAAGAAGTTTGGAACCGCCAAGACTCTTCCTAGAGCTGGCCTCCCGGCCAAACTGAGTAATCGGGGGAGAAGGGCCTTGGTCAGGGAGGTGACCAAGAACACGATGGTCACTCTGACAGAGCTCCAGAGTTCCTTTGTGGAGATGGGAGAACTTTGCAGAAGGACAACCATCTCTGCAGCACTCCACCAATCAGGCCTTTATGGTTGAGTGGCCAGACGGAAGCCACTGATCAGTAAAATGCACATGACAGCCCACTTGGAGTTTGCCAAAAGGCACCTAAAGGACTCTCAGACCATGAGAGACATGATTCTCTGGTTTGATGAAACCAAGATTGAACTCTTTGGCGTGAATGCCAAGCGTCACGTCTGGAGGAAACCTTGCACCATCCCTACAGTGAAGCATAGTGGTGGCAGCATCATGCTGTGGGGATGTTTTTCAGTGGCAAGGACTGGGAGACTAGTCAGGATCAAGGGAAAGATGAACGGAGCAAAGTACAGAAAGATCCTTGATGAAAACCTGCTCCAGAGTGCTCAGGACCTCAGACTGGGGGCGAAGGTTCACCTTCCAACAGGACAACGACCCTAAGCACACAGGCAAGACAACGCAGGAGTGGCTTCGGGTCAAGTCTCGGAATGTACTTTAGTGACCCAGCCAGAGGCCGGACTTGAACCTGATCCAACATCTCTGGAGAGACCTGAAAATAGTTGTGCAGTGACGCTCCCCATCCAACCTGACAGAGCTTGAGAGGATCTGCAGAGAAGAATGGGAGAAACTCCCCAAATACAGGTGTGCCAAGCTTGTAGCATCATACCCAAAAAGACTTGAGGCTGTAATCGCTGCCAATGATGCTTCAACAAAGTACTGAGTAAAGGGTCTGAATACTTATGTAAATGTCATATTTCAGTTTTTTATTTTTAATACATTTGCTATAATGTCTAAACCTGTTTTTGCATTGTCATTATGGGGTATTGTGTGTATATTGATGAGAGAAAAAACAAAACAATTTAATCAATTATAGAATAAGGCTGTAACGTAACAAAATGTGGAAAAAGTCATATATATATACACTACCTTTCAATAGTTTGGGGTCACTCAGGAATTTCTTTGTTTTCGAAAGAAAAACATTTTTTTTGTCCATTAAAATAACATCAAATTGACCAGAAATACAATGTAGACATTGTTAATGTTGTAAATGGCTATTGTAGCTGGAAACGGCAGATTTTTAATGGAATATCTACATAGGCGTACCGAGGCCCATTATCAGTAACCATCAGTCCTGTGTTCCAATGGCACGTTGTCTTTGCTAATCCAAGTTTATCATTTTAAAAGGCTAATTGATCATTAGAAAACCCTTTTGCAATTATGTTAGCACAGCTGAAAACTGTTGTGCTGATTAAAGAAGCAATAAAACTGGCCTTCTTGAGACTAGTTGAGGATCTGGAGCATCAGCAATCGTGGGTTCGATTACAGGCTCAAAATGGCCAGAAACAAATAACTTTCTTCTGAAACTCGTCACTCTATTCTTGTTCTGAGAAATGAAGGCTATTCCATGTGAGAAATTGCCAAGAAACTGAAGATCTCGTACAACGCTGTGTATTACTCGTCCTAATATTTCGTTAGATATTACTACACTGTTAGAGCTAGGAACACAAGCATTTCGCTACACCCGCAATAACATCTGCTAAACGTGTATGAGACCAATAAAATTTGATTTGATTTGAATGTTTCCAACATTTTCGGACTACTAAACAACCATTCATTTAGAACCACAGAGTTACCGCAAGTGGAAAAGAAAACAGGAGCTGCCTCCACTATTCCAGCACCATTTCAACTTCAACATTTCAACATCATCAAATCACCTGTGCTTAGTTTAATACAGTGACAACTAAAAGATACCAAAAACAATTTAGTCCAATCAATGTAAGCATAATATGATGTGGCTGTCCATGGTACTGATTTGTGTGTGTGTGCGTGCAAGTATAAAAAACATGACTCACCCTACTTCTAGAAAAACGGCAATGAGATCCTCCTCTCTTTCATGTTGCTTAAATGGTATATGACTGTCATACATTTACATTACATTTTACATTTTAGTCATTTAGCAGACGCTCTTATCCAGAGCGACTTACAGTTAGCACATACATTATTTTTTTTATCGAACCCACAACCCTGGCGTTGCAAACGCCATGCTCTACCAACTGAGCTACATCCCCTGCCGGCCATTCCCTCCCCTAACCATACAGTACATGCTTTTAGTTTTTCTTGTCCTAGGCTACCTGGCTAAAATGCTTGCTTGCTAGCAATGATGCGCCAGGGCAGCTAGTTAACATTAGCCTACTACATCTTGCTACATATTGAACTTCCATCGTCCCAGGCCAGGAGCACAATGTATGAATTTATGGTTGGATCAGAATCGCCTTTATAGCCATTGGCCAAAACTGAGAATGAAGTAAAACCAGTCCAAATCCCTATCTCCATCGATGGCTAATTTAGGAAATTTTAGCTAGCTAGCTAGCCACCAGAGGACAACACAACGAGATGCAACAATTTACATTTTTTCTCTAAATTACATTCTGCTTTTGATGTGATGTGATTGGTGTGAAGTCAAATCCAAACTGGCTTTCCTTGACACTTTTTTCTGGTGCGCCAGGACCAATCACAGTGGAGCTCACTCAGTTTTAGCTCAACGCTGATTGGCTATTATTTTGTTTATTTTTTATCAAGGGAGGCCAAATGCTCGCTGGCTTCCCTTGCATTCAATGCTACAGGTGGCAGCAATATCATTCTCTTTTTGACCAGACAGCATCAGATAGATGGGCTACACAGAGACAGAGGGGCGCTGTTTCGCTCACTCAGATGCTTTCTCCGGTGAGATACATTCAGCCTCTTGCGAATTGAAGGAAAATAATGTTTTTTCTTGGTGAATTGTTTTGGGAAACCTGACTTCCTTTGGCATCCATGAGTACACGCCACTGTTTGTTGTTTTATTCAACACAATATGGCTCTATCTGTTCTACAGGTAGACCTACACAAATGTGTCTTAATCATTTCATTTTGTTAATCAAAACTATAAGTAACCATACTTTGCATGTATGATGATTTTAGGTGTTATAAGCATTTATGACCCTTTTATAATGTCTTATTAAAAGGCTTATAGTGTGTTACAGTGGGGGGAAAAAAATATTTAGTCAGCCACCAATTGTGCAAGTTCTCCCACTTAAAAAGATGAGAGAGGCCTGTAATTTTCATCATAGGTACACATCAACTATGACAGACAAAATTAGATTTTTTTTCTCCAGAAAATCACATTGTAGGATTTTTAATGAATTTATTTGCAAATTATGGTGGAAAATAAGTATTTGGTCAATAACTACCCTATGCTTTGACTTCTTTCTCCCCTCTCTCTCCAGATAAAATCTTCCGACTTGTGACGGCAGGCCGCCCAACAACCTGCCCGCTTGACCCTATCCCCTCCTCTCTTCTCCAGACCATCTCCGGTGACCTTCTCCCTTACCTCACCTCGCTGATCAACTCATCCTTGACCGCTGGCTATGTCCCTTCCGTCTTCAAGAGAGCGAGAGTTGCACCCCTTCTCAAAAAACCAACACTCGATCCCTCTGATGTCAACAACTACAGACCAGTATCCCTTCTTTCTTTTCTCTCCAAAACTATTGAGCGTGCCGTCTTTAGCCAACTCTCTTGCTATCTCTCTCAGAATGACCTTCTTGATCCAAACCAGTCAGGTTTCAAGACTGGTCATTCAACTGAGACTGCTCTTCTCTGTGTCACGGAGGCTCTCCGCACTGCTAAAGCTAACTCTCTCTCCTCTGCTCTTGTCCTTCTAGACCTGTCTGCTGCCTTTGATACTGTGAACCATCAGATCCTCCTCTCCACCCTCTCCGAGCTGGGCATCTCCGGCGCGGCTCACTCTTGGATTGCGTCCTACCTGACTGGTCGCTCCTATCAAGTGGCGTGGCGAGAAGCTGTCTCCGCACCACGTGCTCTCACCACTGGTGTCCCCCAGGGCTCAGTTCTAGGCCCTCTCCTATTCTCGCTATACACCAAGTCACTTGGCACTGTCATATCCTCACATGGCCTCTCCTATCATTGCTACGCTGACGACACACAACTAATTTTCTCCTTTCCCCCTTCTGATAACCAGGTGGCGAATCGCGTGTGTTTGGGATCATTGTCATGCTGAAAGACCCAGCCACGTTTCATCTTCAATGCCCTTGCTGATGGAAGGAGGTTTTCACTCAAAATCTCACGATACATGGCCCCATTCATTCTTTCCTTTACACGGATCAGTCGTCCTGGTCCCTTTGCAGAAAAACAGCCCCAAAGCATGATGTTTCCACCCCCATGCTTCACAGTAGGTATGGTGTTCTTTGGATGCAACTCAGCATTCTTTGTCCTCCAAACACGACGAGTTGAGTTTTTACCAAAAGGTTATATTTTGGTTTCATCTGACCATATGACATTCTCCCAATCCTCTTCTGGATCATCCAAATGCACTCTAGCAAACTTCAGACAGACCTGGACATGTACTGGCTTAAGCAGGGGGACACGTCTGGCACTGCAGGATTTGAGTCCCTGGCGGCGTAGTGTGTTACTGATGGTAGGCTTTGTTACTTTGGTCCCAGCTCTGCAGGTCATTCACTAGGTCCCCCCGTGTGGTTCTGGGATTTTTGCTCACCGTTCTTGTGATCATTTTGACCCCACGGGGTGAGATCTTGCGTGGAGCCCCAGATCGAGGGAGATTATCAGTGGTCTTGTATGTCTTCCATTTCCTAATAATTGCTCCCACAGTTGATTTCTTCAAACCAAGCTGCTTACCTATTGCATATTCAGTCTTCCCAGCCTGGTGCAGGTCTACAATTTTGTTTCTGGTGTCCTTTGACAGCTCTTTGGTCTTGGCCATAGTGGAGTTTGGAGTGTGACTGTTTGAGGTTGTGGACAGGTGTCGTTTATACTGATAACAAGTTCAAACAGGTGCCATTAATACAGGTAACGAGTGGAGGACAGAGGAGCCTCTTAAAGAAGAAGTTACAGGTCTGTGAGAGCCAGAAATCTTGCTTGTTTGTAGGTGACCAAATACTTATTTTCCACCATAATTTGCAACTAAATTCATTAAAAATCCTACAATGTGATTTTCTGGGGAAAAAAATCTCAATTTGTCTGTCATTGTTGACGTGTACCTATGATGAAAATTACAGGCCTCTCTCATATTTTTAAGTGGGAGAACTTGCACAATTGGTGGCTGACTAAATACTTTTTTCCCCCACTGTATGTCTTTATCTCTATGTAGGAACTTTTTTAAATGACACAAAATGGCTGTTATTTAGTCAGGATCATTATGAGATCATAATAACACATTATAAGGGGGGTCATGCTTACAACAAGTCTTGCCCATAATAGGGAATGCGTTGTTTTTTATTCCGGGCAGTTGTATCAATGAGCCATTGTTATGAGGAGCAGGTTGAGGGATCAGTTATTTGTTGTTGACTGTGTAGAAGAAGGGCTGTTCCAGATAAGTTATTAACATCTCATTAATGTGTGGAATGAGCCTGGGCCACTACTTGAGCTGGAAGCTCACAGAATTTCCTGTACTTGTGCTGACGTTGTTTCCAGAGGCAGTTTGGAACTCAGTAGTGAGTGTTGCAAAAAAAATATATACAACCTTACTGTGAAAATGCTTACTTACAAGCCCTTAACCAACAATGCAGTTTTAAGAAAATAGAGTTAAGAAAATATTTACTAAATAAACTAAAGTAACAAATAAAAAAAGTAAAATAACAATAACGAGGCTATATGGGTTACCGGTACCGAGTCAATGTGCAGGGGTACAGGTTAGTCATTTATATACTGCCACTCTGCTAATCATCAGATGGGGGGGAGGAGAGGAGGTAGGGGGCCCACGTGGGTAACTGGGGGTTCCACGTGGGTAACTGGGGGGCCCTGCCTTGATTGGGTAACTGATTAATAAAACATTTATATAAACTGCATAGTAAATAAATGTGAGTGGTGCTGGGGCCCAAGAGGCAAAAAACATACAAATACAAATGATGTATTTCTTTATTATTATAATTTTTTATCCAACCACAGGAGCCCGCTCTCAATGTTCAAAATACACCAGAGAGCATCATTTAGCCACAGAGGATACATAGTTTATAAAATATAACTGTGTTTTATCACAAGTACATACAGGTATCTGCCAAAATAAAGGAAACACCAACATAAAGTGTCTTAGAACAGCGCCGGAAGAAGATGGCTGCCGTTTTACAGCCCTCTAACCAATTGTACTATTATGTGTGTTTTTCCGCGTTATTTGTAATTTATTTTGTACATAATGTTTCTGCCATTGTCTCTTATAACCAAAGAGAGCTTCTGGATATCAGGACAGCGATTACTCACCTCGTATTGGACGAAGACTTTTTCTTCAACGAGGCGTTCGCGAAGGATATTCTACAGACACCCAACAAGGCCCAGATCCCCGTCATTCGCGTGAGGAAGAGACGGAGATATCGTGGACGCAGATCCGGGTGCCTTGTAAGGATCCGACGGCGAACGAGTAAACTGCCTCTCCCATCAATCCTATTAGCCAACGTTCAATCTTTTGAGAATAAAATTGACGATTTAAGATTACGGTTATCCTACCAACGGGACATTAAAAACTGTAATATCTTATGTTTCACGGAGTCGTGGCTGAACGACAACAATGACAACATTCAGCTAGCAGGCTATACGCTACATCGGCAGGACAGAACGGCAGACTCTGGTAAGACAAGGGGCGGCGGTCTGTGTATATTTGTAAACAACAGCTGGTGCACAAAATCAAATACTAAGGAAGTCTCAAGGTTTTGCTCGCCTGAGGTAGAGTATCTTATGATAAGCTGTAGACCACACTATTTACCAAGAGAGTTTTCATCTATATTTTTCATAGCTGTCTATTTACCACCACAAACCAATGCTGGCATTAAGATTGCACTGAATGAGTTGTACAAGGCCATTAATCAACAGGAAAACGCTCATCCAGATGCAGCGCTCCTAGTAGCCGGGGACTTTAATGCAGGGAAACTTAAATCCGTTCTACCTCATTTCTACCAGCATGTTAAATGTGCAACCAGAGGGGAAAAAACTCTAGACCACCTTTACTCCACACACAGAGACGCATACAAAGCTCTCCCTCGCCCTCCATTTGGCAAATCTGACCATAACTCTATCCTCCTGATTCCTGCTTATAAGCAAAAACTGAAGCAGGAAGCACCAGTGATTCGGCTAATAAAAAAAGTGGTCAGATGACGCAGATGCTAAGCTACAGGACTGTTTTGCTAGCACAGACTGGAACATGTTCCGGGATTCTTCAGACAGCATTGAGGAGTACACCACATCAGTCACTGGCTTCATCAATAAGTGCATCGATGATGTCGTCCCCACAGTGACCGTACGTACATACCCCAACCAGAAGCCATGGATTACAGGAAACATCCGCACTGAGCTAAAGGGTAGAGCTGCCGCTTTCAAGGAACGGGACTCTAACCCGGACGCTTATAAGAAATCCCGCTATGACCTCCGACGAACCATCAAACAGGCAAAGAGTCAATACAGGTCTAAGATTGAATCATACTACACTGGCTCTGACGCTCGTCGGATGTGGCAGGGCTTGAAAACTATTACAGACTACAAAGGGAAGCACAGCCGCGAGCTGCCCAGTGACACAAGCCTACCAGACGAGCTAAACCACTTCTATGCTCGCTTCGAGGCAAGCAACACTGAAGCATGCATGAGAGCACCAGCTGTTCCGGACGACTATGTGATCACGCTCTCCGTAGCCAATGTGAGTAAGACTTTTAAGCAGGTCAACATTCACAAGGCCGCAGGGCCAGACGGATTACCAGGACGTGTACTCCGGGCATGTGCTGACCAACTGGCAAGTGTCTTCACTGACATTTTCAACATGTCCCTGACTGAGTCTGTAATACCAACATGTTTCAAGCAGACCACCATAGTCCCCGTGCCCAAGAACTCTAAGATAACCTGCCTAAATGACTACCGACCCGTAGCACTGACGTCTGTAGCCATGAAGTGCTTTGAAAGACTGGTCATGGCTCACATCAACAGCATAATCCCAGAAACCCTAGACCCACTCCAATTTGCATACCGCCCCAACAGATCCACAGATGATGCAATCTCTATCGCACTCCACACTGCCCTTTCCCACCTGGACAAGAGGAACACCTACGTGAGAATGCTATTCATTGACTACAGCTCAGCATTCAACACCATAGTGCCCTCTAAGCTCATCACTAAGCTAAGGATCCTGGGACTAAACACCTCCCCCTGCAACTGGATCCTGGACTTCCTGACGGGCCGCCCCCAGGTGGTAAGGGTAGGTAACAACACATCTGCCACACTGATCCTTAACACGGGGGCCCCTCAGGGGTGCGTGCTCAGTCCCCTCCTGTACTCTCTGTTCACCCATGACTGCATGGCCAGGCACGACTCCAACACCATCATTAAGTTTGCCGACGACACAACAGTGGTAGGCCTGATCACAGACAACGATGAGACAGCCTATAGGGAGGAGGTCAGAGATCTGGCCGTGTGGTGCCAGGACAACAACCTCTCCCTCAACGTGACCAAGACAAAGGAGATGATTGTGGACTACAGGAAAAAAAAGAGGACTGAGCACGCCCCCATTCTCATCGACGGGGCTGTAGTGGAACAGGTTGAGAGCTTCAAGTTCTTTGGTGTCCACATCACCAACGAACTATCATGGTCCAAACACACCAAGACAGTCGTGAAGAGGGCACGACAAAGCCTATTCCCCCTCAGGAGACTAAAAAGATTTGGCATGGGTCCTCAGATCCTCAAAAAATTCTACAGCTGCACCATCGAGAGCATCCTGACTGGTTGCATCACCGCCTGGTATGGCAACTGCTTGGCCTCTGACCGCAAGGCACTACAGAGGGTAGTGCGTACGGCCCAGTACATCACTGGGGCAAAGCTCCCTGCCATCCAGGACCTCTATACCAGGCGGTGTCAGAGGAAGGCCCTCAAAATTGTCAAAGACTCCAGCCACCCTAGTCATAGACTGTTCTCTCTGCTACCGCACGGCAAGCGGTACCGGAGTGCCAAGTCTAGGTCCAAAAGACTTCTCAACAGCTTCTACCCCCAAGCCATAAGACTCCTGAACAGCTAATCATGGCAACCCGGACTATTTGCACTGCCCCCCCACCCCATCCTTTTTACGCTGCTGCTACTCTGTTAAGTATTTATGCATAGTCACTTTAACTCTACCCACATGTACATATTACCTCAACTACCTCAACTAGCCGGTGCCCCCGCACATTGACTATGCAACGGTACCCCCCTGTATATATAGCCTCCCTACTGTCACTTTATTTTACTGTATATATAGCCTCCCTACTGTCACTTTATTTGACTTCTGCTCTTTTTTTTCTCAACACTTTTTTGTTGTTGTTTTATTCTTACTTTTTTTGTTTAAAATAAATGCACTGTTGGTTAAGGGCTGTAAGTAAGCATTTCACTGTAATGTCTGCACCTGTTGTATTCGGCGCATGTGACCAATAAAATTTGATTTGATTTGATTTGATTAAAAAGGTGTTGCGCCACCACAAGCTGCCAGAACAGCTTCAATACGCCTTGGCATAGATTCTACAAGTGGACCTAAACCATGCCAGGAAAATGCACCCCACACCACATCTTTTGACGAGTTTCTCTGGTATCGAGTACTTCAGGATGTAAGAGAATAGTTAAACACTTAGATGGAGAGTTGGTTCATAGTATTTAATATTACAGTACTGGATTCGTATGACAAGCGGTACGGGCGTAGCCTATTGTCATCCGAATGATAGGCATACAAAATCTCTCAGTTTATATATGGCTTTGCAAGCTAATTCCATCCAACAGTTGCCAACCATTATTGAGTGTCACTCATCACCTACAATAGGATCCCCCTACATGGTATTGTGTTGCACCCTAGCCAGGATATTCCATCACATACTCCTTCTAAGATTAGCACAAGTGGCCCCCAAGCTATCTTGGCATGCAGACCTTCTGGCACCCACCAGTGACAGAAATAATACATGGAATTTCCTCCTCCTCTCACTCCCATACAGCTCAGGAGATCGAAGACATTAACAAATACTGTATAAAAAATGTCATATCAATAACATATACTTTGTATCCCTTGTTTACTCAAGTCTTTCCTTTATTTTGGCAGTTACTGGTTTGCCTACAGTCTGGAAGGCCACAGTTTGGGAAGCATGGGTGCCATAGTCATATAATCTTACTATTTTGCTAACTTTTTTATTTACCGTTAAGTGTGTCTACATGACGTTATTTATTCTTGGGATATCATTTTTCAACAGAAAATTTTCAAAAACCACTGGAGGACATCTTTAAGATTAGAGCAGGCTGGTTTGACAGATTAGATAGAGATATTGACCAACCTTTATTCTCTTCTTCTTTGCAGTATTGTCCTATTTTAGAATAGGGCTTCAGACATGAGTTAAGTGTTGAGGTTCAGCTCTGGGTCATTGATTATGGTGATAGTATGTGGTTGTTTTATCAACAGAAGAAGCTGAAAGACAAATATGTTATTTACCACCATTTCATTTACACATCACCAAATCTTTCCCAGTTTGTACTTTTTAGTTGCAGGATACAACTGTCACTAAGGTAGGCTTGATGGGAACTAGACATGAATCAGTCAGTTCAACAGGATTTGCATGAATTACACTGGGCAATAAATTCTCGACAATAATCGAATGTGCCACTTTGTGCTGAAAGCCACATGCCTACCTCCATTACATTTACATTTGAGTAAATCCAGAGCGACTTCCAATTAGTGCATTTATCTTAAGATGGTTAGGTGAGACGACAACATATCACAATCGTAGTAAGTACATTTTCCCTCAACAAAGTATTGTTGTGGAAAATAACCACCATACTTTATTACAAACCAGGACACACACCTTGTCTACTAGCCTGCTTGTCTTATTTACCTTATCTAGAATCACATTGCATGCATGCTTATTTCTCATTCCAACCAAAAACTCTGTACTTATGCTAAATTTGGTCCTTATTCTGGAGAGAACCCTTCCGTACCCCACCCTCAGATTCAGCTTGATCGAAACACACAGCTCAAGTAAGAACGCCGCTTACCTTTGTTTAAACAGTGGCCACTGAATTTGTGTGATTCGTCAAAACCTCCTCCGATGGCAAAGCACTCAAGGATCTCTATAACCAATCACGTCGGGGTCACCAATTATGTTGTGGAAAATAACCACCATACTTTATTACAAATACGGTCTTACAGAGTTTTTGTTGCATCAAGAAATGACTTTATTAAAGTTTTCAACAAAGCCGATACCCGTCTGCAGAGGGGCACACATCCTTAAGGTCTCAATCCATCTTATATCGTCCTCTTCAGTTTTCCCGCTCTTTTATTGCTCCGCCCACTTCCTTTGTCCCTGAGGACGGCTGAACTATTACTCCAACCAATCACCCGCTCCCCTGTCTTGCACACACACTCATGTTTAATTTAAACATGACAAGGCCCTAAATTACACAAACCTCACCCCCTCATGCTGTAATCAATCAAGAAAATACCAAGGAGACAAAGGTCTAGCCCAAACTCTATTCAACCCTGGTGCCGCTCCCTTCACTGTGTTTGGAGAGAGAGACAAAACAAACGGCCCAATTCAGTTAGCAACAAAGAATGTTAACTATATGTTCATGATTAACTCAATTTTATCTGATAATCCATAAAAAATACACATCAGTATTTATCAGCAAAGTCAGTGCCAGTAGGAATAGATAAGTGCATGTTTTATTTTTGTGGAAAAGTGTAGACTGATGGCTCAAATGACACACATTTTTCTTACTGAGAAACATACTGTGATTTCTGTAACTCATTGAAACTAGCAAACCAGTTCAGTCAGCTCCAATGATTACTGTCAACACTCTTTATAATGTCAGTAGTCCAGCTGTTACACAACAGTCTGACATAAACTGGAATTCACTATCCATAGTTCATCTGATGCAGTATTCTTGTAAATTGCCATTGTCTTGGGTATCCTTCACCATCTCTTTGCCAACAAGTCTTAAATCTGTCTGTTTGTCTGTCCAGGCATCTCGGAGACTATGGACATGCTTGTGTGGGAACACTCTTTTCTTCTTCAACAACACTAAAGACAACGATGTGAGTTACCTGAATGTAATGGGCAATAGAAGGGGGCTATGATGGGACAGTGGTACATTAAATAGAGGAAAGAACAGTGGTCAATGTATTGCGGTTGCGGACAATCCAATATGTCACCTACTCCTGCGTATGTGTTTTTAATAGTATGTGGAAAAACTGGACCTCATTGACGTCATCTCCTTGACGGATGACTGCAATCGAGACAGAAACCTGGAGGCAGCAAGACTCATCCTACACATGAAGGATGGGGAGATCAAAATCACTGTAAGGACATAGGGGACTGTTTTCATCTTCTTTTTGCAACATTACTGTGTTTAATCGTTTTAATAGTTTCCCTGCCTCCCTCCCTTTCTCTACAGGCCCCAAGTCTAGAGGCTCGAGAACTATGGAAAGGTTTCATCTATTCTGTAGTTGAGGTTAGTGAATCATGATACAGTTCATTCACATAGGCTCAGTAGGCTGTTTTTTCCTGGTAATACCTGGTCAGTAAACTGAGAATAATACCTTTATCTCTGCCCTGATTATCAACATACCACGATATCAAAAGTGAATTATGCTATCACAAATGGACTTTTCCTTTCTTGGCAGTGATTACGATAACACCTTTCAAGTCACTGTTTTATGATTGCATAAGACTTGAAAACTTAAGCGTGACCTCTCTCCTTCCTCTTCCTGTTTTCTACCCTTTATTCACGTTCCCACCTTCGCTGTTGTCTTGGCTCATTTTTTTTCTCTCTCTCCCTCTGCATTCACAGACAGTATAATATCAGTGTTTATTGGCATTGTATAATTATATATGTGGGGAATTTGATAGGATTATACCACATAGCTTAGCCAATACTGTTTCAGAAATTATGTGTTTCATGGCTTTTGGTTTAAATGACGGTATTAAACAGTCCCTGTGTGTCTCTACCTCCAGCTGTCAGTGCCCAGCTCACTTAACCTGCTGCCAGGCCAGATCCACATGATGAGGGAGACAGTGGAGACAGAGAGGGAGAGACAGAACAACCTGTCCCTTACCCTTGCTGCAGCATCCAGCTCCAACCTCGTAGAGGACATGCCTGCGTAAGCGTACACTAAACTAATGGATTTTGCCTAACTCTGTATAGGCATATCTAGACCTTTGATTTCCAGTGTTCAGATGTGTTACAGTGGGGAGAACAATTATTTGATACACTGCCGATTTTGCAGGTTTTTCTACTTACAAAGAATGTAGAGGTCTGTAATTTTTATCATAGGTACACTTCAACTGTGAGAGACGGAATCTAAAACAAAAATCCAGAAAATCACATTGTATGATTTTTAAGTAATTAATTTGCATTTTATTGCATGACATAAGTATTTGATACATCAGAAAAGCAGAACTTAATATTTGGTACAGAAACCTTTGTTTGCAATTACAGAGATCATACGTTTTCTGTGGGTCTTGACCAGGTTTGCACACACTGCAGCAGGGATTTTGGCCCACTCCTCCGTACAGACCTTCTCCAGATCCTTCAGGTTTCGGGGCTGTCGCTGGGCAATACGGACTTTCAGCTCCCTCCAAAGATTTTATATTGGGTTCAGGTCTGGAGACTGGCTAGGCCACTCCAGGACCTTGAGATGCTTCTTACGGAGACACTCCTTAGTTGCCCTGGCTGTGTGTTTCGGGTCATTGTCATGCTGGAAGACCCAGCCACGACCCATCTTCAATGCTCTTACTGAGGGAAGGAGGTTGTTGGCCAAGATCTCGCGATACATGGCCCCATCCATCCTCCCCTCAATACGGTGCAGTCATTCTGTCCCCTTTGCAGAAAAGCATCCCCAAAGAATTATGTTTCCACCTCCATGCTTCACGGTTGGGATGGTGTTCTTGGGGTTGTACTCATCCTTCTTCTTCCTCCAAACACGGCGAGTGGAGTTTAGACCAAAAAGCTATATTTTTGTCTCATCAGACCACATTACCTTCTCCCATTCCTCCTCTGGGTCATCCAGATGGTCATTGGCAAACTTCAGACGGGCCTGGACATGCGCTGGCTTGAGCAGGGGGACCTTGCGTGCGCTGCAGGATCCATGACGGCGTAGTGTGTTACTAATGGTTTTCTTTGAAACTGTGGTCCCAGCTCTCTTCAGGTCATTGACCAGGTCCTGCCGTGTAGTTCTGGGCTGATCCTTCACCTTCCTCATGATCATTGATGCCCCTTGAGGTGAGATCTTGCATGGAGCCCCAGACCGAGGGTGATTGACCGTCATCTTGAACTTCTTCCATTTTCTAATTATTGCGCCAACAGTTGTTGCCTTCTCACCAAGCTGCTTGCCTATTGTCCTGTAGCCCATCCCAGCCTTGTGCAGGTCTACAATTTTATACCTGATGTCCTTACACAGCTCTCTGGTCTTGGCCATTGTGGAGAGGTTGGAGTCTGTTTGATTGAGTGTGTGGACAGGTGTCTTTTATACAGGTAACGAGTTCAAACAGGTGCAGTTAATACAGGTAATGAGTGGAGAACAGGAGGGCTTCTTAAAGAAAAACTAACAGGTCTGTGAGAGCCGGAATTCTTACTGGTTGGTAGGTGATCAAATACTTATGTCATGCAATAAAATGCAAATGAATTACTTAAAAATCATACAATGTGATTTTCTGGATTTTGGTTTTAGATTCCGTCTCTCACAGTTGAAGTGTACCGATGATAAAATGATGTTCTGTGTGCAGGTGTTACCAGCCTGTGTCTCGTACCGAGGCAGAGATTATGTTGGAGAGACACTCTGACCGTGGGAACCTGCTGCTGCGGCCTAGCAGGGATGGAGCCTCATTGGCTGTCACCACTCGACAGGACCTCAATGGGTACGCCCCCCCACAATTCCTGACAATTACATTTGCAGTACAATCAAAGAAAATGCACGTCACATGATAATTTGATGAATGATAGGCCACACATGCTGAATCACATGAAGGCAAGTCCATACTTATTTGTTCATGTGACAGATAGATTAGAGACCAGTAGATAGATGGATTATTACTTAGAATTCATTAATGTGCCACTCCTTGATAAGATATCTCTCTCCGGTCAGGTCTGTATTCAGACACTATCGCGTGGCTAGGAAACATGACGGAGGATACACCTTCGATGTAGAGACTCCAGTGAGTATTTCAAAGGGATTCCTGCTTCCTCCTTCCTGAATACACATGCTTGTCCACTGCCACACACAACACTTTAACGCAATACTTTAATAGAACATAAAAGAATCGATTTAAAGTTATTTTCTTTTTTGCACTTTTCCTCATTCTAAACTTATGAAAGTGAATTCTCGTTATGACCCTAGAGAGGCATTGAACCTCAGGTTAACCCAATGTGAGGGAGTGATAAGGGAGACTTTGATGAAATATTCCACAGGTACTCACAGGACAATAAACCACAACAGATTGGCTTTGCCTGCCCCTGTTTTCTCCTGATTTACAGACAACTCAATCAACATGATATATCTTACCTTTATTGGTGCTTTCTGAAATGATGAGCGGGATAAGGCCTTAGTTCTGCTTGAGCTGATCTCTGAGCATTTAACTCAGATTGATTGCTGGTACAGTGTGTAGTAAAAGTTTCTCTAAATGGTCATATTGATACGGTCTCTTTTCAGCCATGGGCTGCGCTCACACAGGCAGACCAATTCTGATATTTTTTCCACTAATTGGCCTTTTGACTAATCACATCAGATCTTTTCACAGCAGATCTTTTTCAGAGCTGATCTGATTGGTCAAAAGACCAATTAGTGAAAAAAAGATCAGAATTCGGCTGCCTGTCTAAATGCAGCCATATTGACAGTCTGTTTTCAGCTGTGGTGTATGCAGTTTGTTAATGATAATGGTTCTGCCTGTAGATCCCCTGTGCCACACTGCATGGTGTCATCAACTGTCTTGTGGAGAAGACGAATGGAGCTCTGACACCCTTCATTATGGAGGGACCCTATGAAGGGAGCATCAGTAAGAAAGAGCACATACACACCATTTACTACCATCTATTTTCTCGCTCTCTCTCTAATTCTCAGTTTTTCCCTGTGTTTCTGTTAATTGTCCATCTTGAGTTAAATATGGCTCTGGCTTATCAGTCATGTTGGTCATAACATTTATACCCACTGTCTATGCAGCGTTTGTTCAGGCAAATGAGGAGAGTGGAGAGAATAGTCTGCAGTGTGCCCCCATTACTCCCATCCCCCCTGTGCTAGTCCCTGCCCTCCCTCCCAAACCAGGTATACATTCCTCCCTTACTGGGACCTCCTTGACCCTGTTAACAAACACACACACCTTTACAATGTCGCCACGTGCACTTGACCATGCTGGCTTTATGTCAAGAATATAATCTCTAACCAATTTTTCGCCTATACAGTGCCTTGCAAAAGTATTCATCCCCCTTGCCGTTTTTCCTATTTTGTTGCATTACAACCTGTAATTTATGGATTTTTATTTGGATTTCATGTAATGGACATACACAAAATAGTCGAAATTGCTTAAGTGAAATGAACTTGTTTCAAAAAATTATACAAAATAAATAACGGAAAAGTGGTGTGTGCGTATGTATTCACCTCCTTTGCTATGAAGCCCCTAAATAAGATCTGGTGTAACCAATTACCTTCAGAAGTCACATAATAAGTTAAATTAGTTGGTAGAGCATGGCGTTTGCAACGCCAGGGTTGTGGGTTCGTTTCCCACAGGGGGCCAGTATGAAAATGTATGCACTCACTAACTGTAAGTCGCTCTGGATAAGAGCGTCTGCTAAATGACTAAAATGTCAATGTAAATAAAGTCCACCTGTGTGCAATCTAAGTTTCACATAATCTGTCACATGATCTCAGTATATATACACCTGTTCTGAAAGCCCAAGAGTCTGCAACACCACTAAGGGGCACCACCAAGCAAGCGGCACCATGAAGACCAAGGAGGTCTCCAAACAGGTCAGGGACAAAGTTGTGGAGAAGTACAGATCAGGGTTGGGTTATAAAAAAATATCAGAAACTTTGAACATCCCACGGAGCACCATTAAATCCATTATTTAAAACATTTAAAGAATATGGCACCACAACAAACCTGCCAAGAGAGGGCCGCCCACCAAAACTCACGGACCAGGCAAGGAGGGCATTAATCAGAGGCAACAAAGAGACCAAAATAACCCTGATGGAGCTGCAAAGCTTCACAGCGGAGATTGGAGTATCTGTCCATAGGACCACTTTAAGCCGTACACTCCACAGAGCTGGGCTTTACGGAAGAGTGGTCAGAAAAAAGCCATTGCTTAAAGAAAAAAATAAGCAAATACATTTGGTGTTCACCAAAAGGCATGTGGGAGACTCCCCAAACATATAGAAGAAGGTACTCTGGTCAGATCAGACTAAAATTGAGCTTTTTGGCCATCAAGGAGAACGCTATGTCTGGCGCAAACCCAACACCTCTCATCACCCCGAGAACACCATTCCCCCAGTGATGCATGGTGGTGGCAGCATCATGCTGTGGGGATGTTTTTCATCTGCAGGGACTGGGAAACTGGTCAGAATTGAAGGAATGATGGATGGTGCTAAATACAGGGAAATTATTGAGGGAAACCTGTTTCAGTCTTCCAGAGATTTGAGACTGGGACGGAGGTTCACCTTCCAGCAGGACAATGCATACTGCTAAAGCAACACTTGAGTGGTTTAAATGTCTTGGAATGGCCTAGTCAAAGCCCAGACCTCAATCCAATTGAGAATCTATGGTATGACTTAAAGATTTCTAGACACCAGCGGAACCCATCCAACTTGAAGGAGCTGGAGCAGTTTTGCCTTGAAGAATGGGCAAAAATCCAAGTGGCTAGATGTGCCACGCTTATAGAGACATACCCCAAGAGACTTGCAGCTGTAATTGCTGCAAAAGGTGGCTCTACAAAGTATTGACTTTGGGGGGTGAATAGTTATGCACGCTCATGTTTTCAGTTTTTTTGTCTTATTTCTTGTTTGTTTCACCCCCAAAAATATTTTGCATCTTCAAAGTGGTAGGCATGTTGTGTAAATCAAATTATACAAACCCCCAAAAAATCCATTTTAATTACAGGTTGTAAGGCAACACATAGGAAAAATGCCAAGGGGGGTGAATACTTCCGCAAGCCACTGTAGCTCTCATTAAAATTAGGAATTGGAGGTAGTTACCCCCAACTGCTAACACACATTTTTGGACAGTTAGACAACACCGGTAGTTCATTTGCATGGTGTTAGACTATCTGATGTAACACAATAGGAAACGATCTGATCCTAGATCTACTTGGCAACTTCTATCTCAAACTTCAAATTATGAATGTTTTGCCTTAGTAATGAACAGATTCAATGAGTTGTAATGGAAAGAGGACATAAAAGGAATATTGTGTTTTAATCCCAGGTCCAAGAGAGCGTGTGCCAACTCCAGAGTCTGAGTCAGATAGAGGAGACACCCGTGAGTACTATCATTCCTCTGTCCCCCCTCCCCTCCTTCTTCCAACACACTTCAGGTATGACTTCATTCCTCACCGTCTGTTGCTATTCCTGTCTGTGTGCTTTTCCAGAGGAAGAAAAGGAAGAAGACACTGCAGTGCAGGCTGCTCACCCCCCTCAGCCTCCTCCCACATGCTTTCGTCTGCCAAGTGAGTCCCACTATCTTAAAACTACTGGTACCTTAGGTGAGATTGGGGTGAGTTGAGCCAAAGGGTTAGTTGAGACACCCCTTGTTTCTTGGAAACCATGCACAACATTTATAATTTGACCAAATATTTAGGAAGAGGTCATCATTTCATGGAGTCTGTGAAGGAAGAAACCAATGGAAAAAGTGGTAAGCAAGTTAGGTCCAAAAAACTGATTTTCACGAAGCCAAATTAATTTGTGTTAGAGGTTACATGATGCTTGTATCAAATCAAAAGTATATTATTTTAATATTGTTCTGTACATCAGATGGGGTTTCTATAAGCTACAATATGAGGTCCTAAACCTCTCATGAAAGTGCATCCTTGTAGTTGTGTGGGCTAATATATTCCAAATATTTGCCTTGGGGTGAGTTGAGCCAATGGCAAGTTGAGCAAATTGAAGTGTTTACCCCCCCAGGCGTAATGCAAGGCCTTATCTCTGGAATATACTAAGGCCTGGCCTATGTTAAGTGTTTTAAAAAAGTACAAAGTGTTTTGTTAGGTGTTAAGCCTGTTTTAAATATGCTTAAAATGAGTAAAATACAAAAGTGATTGTGTTTGTGATTGTGATTGTGTTGAATTGTGTTTGGGAAATAAAGATAGACATGGTTTTTAAAAGGTACAGAAATGTGTAGGCACCTAAATTTACCCTGTCCCTAGGCTCAACTTACCCCATACCCAAGCTATGTATTCACTACTGTAATGTTTAAATAAATACACAACATCCCGAAATGTATGTAGATACACTACATATGCAAAAGTATGTGGACACCCCTTCAAATTAGTGGATTCAGCTATTTCAGCCACACCCGTTGCTGACAGGTGTATAAAATTGAGCACACAGCCATGCAATCTCCATAGACAAACATTGGCAGTAGAATGGCCCGTACTGAAGAGCTCAGTGACTTTCAACGTGGCACCGTCATAGGATGCCACCTTTCCAACAAGTCAGTTCGTCAAATTTCTGCCCTGCTGGAGCTGCCCCGGTCAACTGTAAGTGCTGTTATTGTGAAGTGGAAACGTCTAGGAGCAATAAAGGCTCAGCCGCGAAGTGGTAGGCCACACAAGCTCACAAAACAGGACCGCCGAGTGCTGAAACACGTAACGCGTAAAAATGGTCTGTCCTCAGTTGCAACACTCACTACCGAGTTCCAAACTGCCTCTGGAAGCAACATCAGCACAAGTACAAGTACAGGAAATTCATACAGGAAATTCTGTGAGTTTCCAGCTCAAGTAGTGTCCCAGGCTCATTCCACACATTAGTGAGATGTTAATAACTTACCTGAAACAGCCCTTCCTCGGTTGCAACACTCACTACCGAGTTCCAAACTGCCTCTGGAAGCAATGTCAGCACAAGTACTGTTCGTCGGGAGCTTCATGAAATGGGTTTCCATTGCCGAGCAGCCGCACACAAGCCTAAGATCACCATGCGCAATGCCAAGCGTCGGCTGGAGTGGTGTAAAGCTCGCCGCCATTGGACTCTATAGCAGTGGAAACACGTTCTCTGGAGTGATGAATCACGCTTCACCATCTGGCAGTCCAACGGGCTAATCTGGGTTTGGCGGATGCCACATACTTTTGGTCATGTAGTGTATCTTTGTTAGAAAGAATACTATATTTCCCTTGACGTAGTGATGCTGAATCATGTATAAAATGTCTCAACTTACCCCACTCTCCCCTACTACTCTAACAACCTTGGTCAATAACAAACTGAAAGACATTTCATGAACTATGTTCGGTCAGTCGACCTTCATCAGAGCATATCTCCACAAACAATAGTGGGACAGATAAGGCCACACAGCGAGCCAGAGGTAATTGCAGACACCTGTGGTAATCTAAAATACCCAAAAGGGCCACTAGATATAATATCAGATAGAAATACAGGATAGAACATTACATTTACATTTACGACATTTAGCAGACGCTCTTATCCAGAGCGACTTACAGTTAGTGAGTGCATACATTATTTATTTTTATACTGGCCCCCCGTGGGAATCAAACCCACAACCCTGGCGTTGCAAAATGCCACGCTCTACCAACTGAGCTACATCCCTGCCGGCCATTCCCTCCCCTACCCTGGGCCAATTGTGTGCCGCCCCATGGGTCTCCCGGTCGCGGCCAGCTACAACAGAACCAGGATCTCTAGTGGCACAGTTAGCACTGCGATGCAGTGCCTTAGACCACTGTGCCACTCGGGAGAACAGAACATGTTATAGATGTATTTCTACTAGAACAAACCACATGTACACAGGGAATGTGGTGTTAGTATACGGAAGCTAAACTCTCAAATAGATAGCAATAAAGCCGAAAAACAGCAAAAGAAAGAAAAGAAAAACATATAAAAGGTAAAGGGGGATACCTAGTCAATTGTACAACTGAATGCATTCAACTGAAATGTGTCTTCCACATTTAACCCAACCCCTCTGAATCAGAGAGGTGCGGGGTGCTGCCTTAATCGACATCCACGTCATCGGCGCCACGGGATGATCTTGTCAGCTCGGGGATTCGATCCATAAACCTTTCGGTACAACACTATACACAATGTTTGTGCACAATTTCTACTTAAAATATCAAAGGGACGCAAAAGGCACTAGTTTCGTGGAACCACCCATATCATGGCACTTTGTTTTGTTGTTTTTTGTTGTGTGTTTATTTTTTGGTTTGCTGCTTGCGTGACACTGAATCTTCCCTTTTGGAATCGTTCAATCAATGAAAACATTCTCCCTTGTGTTTTAGGAGCTGAGAGGAAGGCCCTGAAGCCACCACTGATGCCCCCTGTTCCTACACCTCGTACCTTCCCCCCCACCTCTACAGAGACCCCTGATGCCAGGTTGAGACGCCTCGCTGTAAATTCTGGCCCACTAGACGCTGTGGCTCAGAGTAGGTCAACCGTTTTAGTTCTATCTTTTCATTTAGAAGAGTTCCATCCATCTACAATATGATTATGAGAGGTAATCGCTCAGGGAACTTAAACCCATAAATGCTGGTTTCTTGACTTTCTTGTCTTCCTTTCAGCCATATCTGAGGAGCTGAAACTGAAGTTGGAGAAGAGGATGGCGCATCAACAGTGACCTCTCCTGGCAGCTATTCCATCTTCAGGTGGAAAAACCTGCTACAACAATGGCCTCACAACAAATTGGGGACACTGCCTCAACTCCCTACTACTGCCCTAAAGCTTGATTAAAATTGGTCCTACTAGGGCCAGTTAAGTACTGTCGCTTATATGTGAATTACAGTTCAAAGCATGTCAGATGGGTGCCGAATGCCTTTGGGTCAAATTCTCCCAGAGAATCTGTCTATAGCCACGTTTATACCTGGTGCTAACATGCACCCTTTGTCCTGATCTTGTCCACATTCTAAATGTGCCCACAATTTAAATAATCCTTATACCGGCCTCTAAAATCATTGACAGGTAGCACCATTGACTTATGGCATAAGTAATTGTTTTAAAATAAATACATTCATATTTGTATGAATGTATGCACTCACTAAAAACTGTAAGTCGCTCTGGATAAGAGCGTCTGCTAAATGACTAAAATGTAAAATGATTTAATACAATGTGTAGACGCGACACCTTGATCAGATAGTGATTGGATCATATTGATCATGAAACACACGTTAGCGCAAGGTGTAAACTAAGCTAATGTCTGGTAGACAGACAGACAAGGGCTGTTTCCCTCTGGCTGGCCTCATCCTACCCTGGGCAGCTCAGACTCTCAGAAGATTAATGCCTTATCGATTCCTCCTTCCTTGATCGCTTCATCCAAACCACACACTAGCAGATGAACGGACTGTAAATCACCATGTAAATGTCACATTATCCACACCAAGGTTGTTTTAGATTTGTACAATTACTTAAAAAGTACAACTTGATTTTTTTTTCTATAATCCAATAGGCCTACAGTATCAAATATTTGTCTAAACCTGTCAGTGTTGTTGGCTCTTGTTTAATATGTTTTGTCTTCTGATATAATACTACAATTTTTACTGGGAGCATTATATTTGTCTCTCAGTTCTATGACAGACTTTTGTCAGAAAAGCAATAAAGCCAATGTCTTTTGAATGTGTCCTGAATGAACTAAAAGGAATCACAGGGATTATATCATGTCTATATTCTTGTGAGAACAAAATGGATCTGATATCTTTCAAAATGTAGTAGTCTTTACTCCTGAAATGTACTTGTCCTCAATGTATATAATGAGCTAAACACAGGGCTGTCTTACTGCTTTATTAACTCAGTGTGACAGATACATACTGTAGTGGAAAAATGAAAGGGACATATTTACATTGTGACATTTTTTCACCCATGAAATAAAGTACAAATATTATCCAGTGGAAGCGTTAAAGCATTGCAGGTTATATTCATACGATGCATACCATCAACATGACAAGAACATAAGACTGTATTTAAAATAGCACACCAGCACTGAGTTTAGACATCAGGTGAATAAGGAATGGTGTTAACATTGAACTAAATACTTGCAGCAACATCTCGAAATGTCTCTTTGTTATCCAGGGAGTCCCCACCCAGCTCATAAAATGGCTTCTCTTCTCACTTCAGGTGATTAAACGGTGACAAGTCAGGGGGACACACATGTAACAGTACATTTCAAACCAACACACTCAAATTCAGACCCATGCTCCCCCATACAAACACTTCTCCAAAACAATCAGCTGTACTGTATTTCCACCTCTGTCCCCACACAGCTGCTGGCGATGTAGAATTCAATACATTCCTTATGTAGCAATAAACAAGTGTTTATATATTGATTATAAGCATGTCATTTTGCTACAAAGTTATTTGGGTTATACAGGTAAATTAGGTGTTTCTGTACTGAGAAGCAACTAGCTAAATTATAGGCAGAAGATTCTGAACATTCAGTATGTATTAATGACTGCTGTACTACAACCAAGTTATATGGACTATTTGTTTCTCGTTGTATTGGGGTCTTGACTGTTGCTTTGAAATATTAACATATGCGCCTAGCTCCTAATATACGGGTAACTGGGTTATCGTCATTTTGCCTTTGTTTAATTATGGATATGAATTAAATGACTGATTCAGTTCTGCATAAGTGTGTATACTGATGAGGGCACCTCTGGAAGGCACAGGGAGTGTAATGAGTTGACTTGGATGAGGCAGAGTAGACCCATCACCCCAGGCAGGCAGGCATAGTGTGTATGGTGGCGTTGGGGTGAGCAGCGGCAGCGCTGGGGCCAGTTTGAGCTCCTAGCACCACACAGCCTCAGTGGGTAATGTTCTGCAGCGGTTGTGGCAGGTGCCTGGATGGGTCTAGGTGAGGCTGGCGTTGGAGCTGCTGGTACCACTGTTCTTCCTCTGGCCACTCTGCACCGCACTGGGCACCTGCAGACCTGTCTGCACCGAGAAACTCCCATTCCACACCTTCAGGGGTTCGACAGAACACAAATGTAACATATAAGGCATGTTTTCTCGAAAACAATGGTTTCATTTCTTTTTGCTGTGACTCGCATAGAGATTGTGACCCACAAAGTAAACAAAATCAAAGTTTCTCACCGAGAACGCTGGTATGACAGGCTGAGTGAACTTGGTTCTAAAGGTGTGCATCAGTGTCTTGGTTCTGGCGTTGTAGAAGGACAGTGCACCTGGATGGAGAGAAATGTAATGTCACACAAACTCTAAGGCAGCTTAAGATTTGATACAGCAGCATAGCTACGGAAAACAGACAGAGTGCAGACAGGCTCAAGTGAACATTACCTAACCCACCCCTGATCCAATCCTTAATCCAGACCTATTTAATCAAATTGAATGAAGGTTGGTCTTAAATACAAATCACTATGTACTGTATGTCAGTCTAAGTTAAGTGGTCCTCCTGACTGGATGTAGAAAAGCTGCTACAGTATAAGGTGGAGGAGATATATTTGAGGTGTATCTGGGGGTCTGTCTCACCCTCCTCGTAGTTGCAGTAGACCCCTATGCGGTCCGGGATGGGACAGTCCAGGGTGCGGGCCTTGTTGTTGTGCTTGGCTGTGAGGCTCTGGTGCAGCCAGTTGTTCAGGTGGATGCACCACGAGGCGTTGCTCTTCCCCAGCTGGTCAAAGCGGCCCAGGTTCCTCAGGGCCAAGCCCACAGCGAACGCCTTGCTCTCCTTATCGAACCGCACCTCCCAGTACTGCTGGCCTGCGTCGATAAAGGTGTCGCCCAGTACGGTGTAGGACTCAGCCGTGAATCGGTCTCTGCCGACCCGAGCAGACGGCACTCTCTTCGGTGAATTCATGGCCGTCCTAGGAGAGGAGAAGAGGGAGAGTCAGAGGACGCCAAAGTTGAACCTCGACTTTCATTTTATACACTGTAAAGTGTGCACAAAGGTTTTGGCAGAAAGTGTTTCTGACCTGGCTGGGGAGTGCATGGGAGATTGGTTGGTTCTGTTCTTGTCCTTGCGGATGTCCTGGACAACCTTCCCCGCACAGCTGTCCCATTCCACACTGAGGTCCTCCACTTTCAGGTTCTGATGGGACGAGCTTGCATCCAGCTTGAACAGGAACGCTGCAGGGAGAAGTGGAGGGGTGGAGAGATAGAGACAGGCTTTATGTTGATGTGCTGACTCTTTGATTCTTATAACATCAGAAGACATTAAGGACAACAAGATACAGTGTACATGCATTCTCCCTCCTGAGTGGAGGACTATGTCCAGTTCACTCACCATGTGTCTCCAGTGTTACAAGCTCAGAGAACTCTCCTGCCACAGCCTTGTTACACGCCTTCACACGGAACGTCATGTAACGTGTGTAAAAGCGAAGCCCTGAAATCACATAATAACATAAAGGGTACTTGATAATCACAGTTGGTCAATTTAAGTACATCTATTCCTCCTAGGCTACTGCATCTAAAGACAGGCCCTCATCTTACTAGTTAACTTAAGCCATAACCCTAACCCTAGTTCCATGTCCACATCCCCAGCTCAACCCTAACCCTAGCTTTAATTCTAACATAACCCTTAGCCTTACACTCTTACCTGTAAGGGTGTACTCTGTCTCTCGAATGCCCTCCACCACCATCCAGGGGTAGTCCTCCCGGGCACGGGGCGGCCCCTCATGGTTGGTGCGGCGGTGCTCCAGGTCATAGTGATCAATCTTGGTGTCGGGCTCCGGCAGAGCCCACTGTACCGTCACCGTGTTGTCACACACCTGACACTCTGACACCAGAATCTCTGGGGTGGCAGGCACTGGGGAGAGGGAGAGAAATGGGGCTTACGTCATTCACACTGAGAGGGCTAGGTTTGGTCAACATGGGTGGTACCAAAAAGCCATTGTCACAACAGTTAATTGAAATATAACTTCAGTAGAGAATGTTGTAAGCACAGAAATAAGAATGAATAGAACGGGCTTGGAACCTTGGCAATTTGACTGGTAAACTCATGGGTACACTCACAATGGCTGCCTGGTATTGTAATGCAATAATTTCCATGATAATGTAGAATGTTCATTCAAATTATGCTAACTGACGTGGCTCATGCAATGGAATGCATTTTTTGTAATGTCATTTGAGTTGATTCAACAAATCAGAGCACAGATTGCTGGTTACACTTCCTGCTTTTACTTCCTGCTTTGCTCCTATGGGTAAACTCGCAATGGCTGCCAGTCCACACATTATGCCATTATTGACTTGAATGGAGACGCCCATTCTATTCATTCTTATTTCTATGGTTGTAAGAGCATTGTCCATTGCTGTTATTAAAGAGGAACCAATAGACAGACATAATGGCTCCCAGACTGACCTGGGAGGAACTTGATTTCCTGCAGCATCTCCCGCTCTTGGGTGAAGTCCACCATCATGTGACTCATGCTGTCACTGGCTTTGGCTTTCAGCGACAAACGGAAGGCAGGGGCCATTGTCACACTGCTCTCCCCCAAAGAAAGAGACACAGAGTGAGACATGCCTCATTATTCAACAAACTGAAGGACTGACTGTAATACTACTGTAACTAGTAATCACTTTACACAGAGCTATAATAACATACTATTTCTAAAGTACCACAGAAAAACATATTTGTGAATCATGAACAGACACACTCACTCGAAACGTACAAAACTAAACTGACACAGCCAGAGAGGGGCTAGACTGGAGCATGTGTCATGAGGGACTGACAGATGTTTGGGACAGAGAGGACAGGTGAGGTGAGCAAGAAGACTCAGGTTAGATGAAATACAGAGTGGTAAAAGGGCGTGCTACAGCGTGATTGTATTTAATCTATATTTTGTTGGAATGCGTGTGGGTGAGCAGATGGTTAGTGAGTTAAGAAGATACTCTGAGAAATGAAGAGCAATGTACTATACCTATCCTTAATGTCTTTGGCCGCCTGGAGAGAAGCAGACAGAGAAAGCAAAAGGGAAAGAAGGAGAGAGGAGATATGGACCGAGAAAGAACAGAGTTGCAGCCACATCCTTACAATTGAAAAACATTACATTTGTGTTACACAGTAAACATACATCACAACGATCCACATCAGATCAACATACTGTACTGCTTTACAATAAAGGTACATAAAGATAAGGAACAGGTAGTAACTGTGTAGCTCAGTTGGTAGAGCCTGGTGCTTGCAACGCCAGGGTTGTGGGTTTGTTTCCTACAGGGGACCAGTACGTTAAAGTACAAAAATGTATGCACTCACTACTGTAAGTCACACTTAATAAGAGTGTCTGCTAAATGACTAAAACCATTATGGATATCCTCAAGCAAAATACCAATGGCATCATTGCATAAAATATGGAAATGAAAGTAGTTAGGTTGTAGAAGCTTTTTTTCCAGCCGTTACCTGAGTGAAGTCATCTGCTTCCGGGGAGCAGAGAGTCTGATTGGCTACCTCCAAAAGCTCCTCAGAGCTCTCCAGGGCTTTGGAGCACGCACTCAGCTGACTCTGAGAGAGAGAGCGAGAGAGAGAGCGAGAGAGAAAAAGAGAGAGCGAGAGAGAAAACCAGAGAGAGAGAGAAAACCAGAGAGAGCGAGAGAAAACCAGAGCGAAAGAGAGAAAATCAGAGCGAGAGAGAGAGAACCAGAGCGAGAGAGAGAGAGAACCAGAGCGAGAGAGAGAGAGAACCAGAGCGAGAGAGAGAGAAAACCAGAGAGAAAACCAGAGAGAGAGAGAGAAAACCAGAGAGAGAGAGAGCACGAGAGAAAACCAGAGAGAGAGAGAGAGAGCCAGAGAGCAAGAGAACCAGAGAGAGAGCGAGAGCGAGAGAGAGAGCGAGAGCGAGAGAGAAAAAGAGAGAGCGAGAGAGAAAACCAGAGAGAGAGAGAAAACCAGAGAGAGCGAGAGAAAACCAGAGCGAAAGAGAGAGAGAAAATCAGAGCGAGAGAGAGAGAACCAGAGCGAGAGAGAGAGAGAACCAGAGCGAGAGAGAGAGAGAACCAGAGCGAGAGAGAGAGAAAACCAGAGAGAAAACCAGAGAGAGAGAGAGAGAAAACCAGAGAGAGAGAGAGAGCACGAGAGAAAACCAGAGAGAGAGAGAGAGCCAGAGAGCAAGAGAACCAGAGAGAGAGCGAGAGAGAAGGATATATTTAATCACAGTCCAGACAATTTTTACTTTTAATACAGTGGGGAAAAAAGTATTTAGTCAGCCACCAATTGTGCAAGTTCTCCCACTTAAAAAGATGAGAGAGGCCTGTAATTTTCATCATAGGTACACGTCAACTATGACAGACAAAATGAGATTTTTTTTCTCCAGAAAATCACATTGTAGGATTTTTTATGAATTTATTTGCAAATTATGGTGGAAAATAAGTATTTGGTCAATAACAAAAGTTTCTCAATACTTTGTTATATACCCTTTGTTGGCAATGACACAGGTCAAACGTTTTCTGTAAGTCTTCACAAGGTTTTCACACACTGTTGCTGGTATTTTGGCCCATTCCTCCATGCAGATCTCCTCTAGAGCAGTGATGTTTTGGGGCTGTCGCTGGGCAACACAGACTTTCAACTCCCTCCAAAGATTTTCTAAGGGGTTGAGATCTGGAGACTGGCTAGGCCACTCCAGGACCTTGAAATGTTTCTTACGAAGCCACTCCTTCATTGCCCGGGCGGTGTGTTTGGGATCATTGTCATGCTGAAAGACCCAGCCACGTTTCATTTTCAATGCCCTTGCTGATGGAAGGAGGTTTTCACTCAAAATCTCACGATACATGGCCCCATTCATTCTTTCCTTTACACGGATCAGTCGTCCTGGTCCCTTTGCAGAAAAACAGCCCCAAAGCATGATGTTTCCATCACCATGCTTCACAGTAGGTATGGTGTTCTTTGGATGCAACTCAGCATTCTTTGTCCTCCAAACACGACGAGTTGAGTTTTTACCAAACAGTTCTATTTTGGTTTCATCTGACCATATGACATTCTCCCAATCCTCTTCTGGATCATCCAAATGCACTCTAGCAAACTTCAGACGAGCCTGGACATGTACTGGCTTAAGCAGGGGGACACGTCTGGCACTGCAGGATTTGAGTCTGCTGGCGGCGTAGTGTGTTACTGATGGTAGGCTTTGTTACTTTGGTCCCAGCTCTCTGCAGGTCATTCACTAGGTCCCCCCGTGTGGTTCTGGGATTTTTGCTCACCGTTCTTGTGATCATTTTGACCCCACAGGGTGAGATCTTGCGTGGAGCCCCAGATCGAGGGAGATTATCAGTGGTCTTGTATGTCTTCCATTTCCTAATAATTGCTCCCACAGTTGATTTCTTCAAACCAAGCTGCTGACCTATTGCAGATTCAGTCTTCCCAGCCTGGTGCAGGTCTACAATTTTGTTTCTGGTGTCCTTTGACAGCTCTTTGGTCTTGGCCATAGTGGAGTTTGGAGTGTGACTGTTTGAGGTTGTGGACAGGTGTCTTTTATACTGATAACAAGTTCAAACAGGTGCCATTAATACAGGTAACGAGTGGAGGACAGAGGAGCCTCTTAAAGAAGAAGTTACAGGTCTGTGAGAGCCAGAAATCTTGCTTGTTTGTAGGTGACCAAATACTTATTTTCCACCATAATTTGCAAATAAATTCATTAAAAATCCTACAATGTGATTTTCTGGAGAATTTTTTTTCTCTATTTCTCTGTCATAGTTGACGTGTACCTATGATGAAAATTACAGGCCTCTCTCATCTTTTTAAGTGGGAGAACTTGCACAATTGGTGGCTGACTAAATACTTTTTTCCCCCACTGTATAACAAATGTCTTCTGTACTGTGTCATTGAGGTTTCTTTCCATCACAGGAAAGTTCACAGGAAAAGTTATTTGAGTTGAATTGCCATGAGTCACTTCCTTTTTTCAATTAACCTACTGTAATTGGCTGTACAGTATATCACTTTGGTTTCTACACTTCCCACTCACATAATCAAGCACAGAGGGATGCAGTGTAGGTATGTTACTATGATGCAGTGTAGTTATGTTATGCAATGTAGTTATGTAAAGCTGCCCATGCCTTTGCTTTGTCTGACTGACTGGCTAACTGACATTCAGAGGCTGAGAGGTAAACAGGATTCTACAGTACACAGACACAATAATCCTCTAGGAATACTAATGCTGCAGACCCCAACACACACAGCCTTTCATAGCAACATTTCTAAGCAACACTGAATCAGTATGCACATGGCTTTATTCACAAAAGGTTATCCTGATTCTAAACCTGAGAATGAGTCATGCTAAACTGATCATAAGTCGATCCTATGATCGGATAGCCTGGAGAAGTCATAAAAAAACTGTTTCAATGTTGAATGTTAATGACTGAAATCTTAAAAGCTCAAGAAATGCAAAGCAAAAGCCTGTAAAATCCTTATCCAGTAAAAGCCTAAAAAAGGTGAACTGACCTGTAGCTCATAGGTGCGGCTGGCCCTCTCCTGTTTGATCCTGGTGACCATACTGTCTTTCAGCTCATCCAGTACTGAGTGGAGGGAGCTGAACTCTGTCTCCAGGTCCTCCTGGACACGGCTGGAGTTCCCCTGCAGGGGCCAATAGGGAAGGAATCAGTTCACTGATAGACTCTCTGACCATCAAGTCAGACTAGTACGGCATGTACACTATGCCAAGTTCATAAAACCATATGAGTGCATCTTCTATTGTGTCGCGCACATACTGCAATCTTACTTCAGACTGTAATCTTAATGTTAGACCAGCCCAGATGGTGTGTACAGTACCTCCAGGTTCTCCAGGCTCTGTTTCAGACAGCAGATGAAGTTTGTGATCTCATCATTCTTCAGGGCCAGGGTAGTGGTGATCTTACGCAGCGATTCCTGCAGAATGTAACAGAAAGTTAAAAGTAGCCTGGCATCTGCCTAAGAATAATCTATATCGCATTTTGACGTTGGACCAGGTTCTCAATGATAGAATATACAGTAGAATATTTCATGAAATACCTTGCTTCAAGATAACACAGATCACTCCTCCTTACAACAACCTACATTCAAATTAGTAAGGGTGAATCATAAATGGTCAGTACTTGGTCATCTGCATCTCTTGGGAGTAATTTCCCCTTCTGTGTAAACTGTGACCAGGGCAGGCATCTTGCTACTTGACCGGAAGTATGCACATCCATTATTTAATAATGCGCCTCCAGTTGTTGGGTATAACTCATCATATAGCCTACACTAGGCACCACCATGGGAACCCCATCTCTGCAGCAGCCAAACTCACACATTGAATGAATGATACTGCATTAAAAAAGATCCAGGCAAATTATGTGGGACATTTCCAAAGTCGACAGTCCAGTCTCACGACCGTCAGGCAGGTCATACACTCCAAGAAGCATTTGATATGCTCCTTGATGCTATAGGCTATGAGCCAGGCCCAAATCATAGGTATAATGGGACACTCTCTGCACCCACCTATATATTATGGCAACCTCGTTCTCTGCAGATCGATATAAACTAAAAACAGACAGTTGTGAATGTGTCTTGGACTGGTATGCATTTACAAGTTTAATCAATAAAGACTATTCTGGGACCTATCGCGGCCAGGTGCAGTTTTCCTCGAAAACGAATGGGTGTCTTCTTGGCGAAAACTGATGCTCAGAGCAGCAAATGGTTGAGGGACTGCAAACCTTGCTGTCGACGTGCCTCCACGAAATGCGCCTTATCTTTTAAATCAATTAGAAGACGTAGCCATTCAAGGTTTTAATAAATGACACAATACAAGACAATGATGTAAGACATTAACAAAGTCCCGGTGCTCCGCGCTACTCCTCCTTTCTTTGTACGCCCTGCGACCGCCGCAAACACAAAACACCTGTTCGATCGGTTCCTCCTACCTTCTGATCTCCCATCTTGCCGTTCCAAGGAACCAGTGCCGGTGTATCAGGAATTATAAAGACTGTTCTTTGCCGTCTCCTCTTTTCGACTTATTTGCAGCACACTGACTACTGGGCTGGTACTGATGCTGCTGGAGTGCATTGCATCTCTCGTCCAACGCTTAGGGCGGTTGTGTGTTTTGCGCAGATGCAGTAGAAAGGACATCTGGGTAGTGTAGTTTTAATATTAACCATAATGTGTCATTTTGGGTATAATCTGTTTCCATTCAGTTAGGTATTCTTCCCTTTGTAAATGAAAATCAATTAGGTCATCACCAGAGAAGAAATTCAAACGAATAAATCATGTCAATGGGGAGCTATATGGAGCCCTCCGCATTGTCACAAAATCTGAGAGGCGCACGGCGGTAAAGACCTCGACTTCGCCTACACAAACCTCGGACGTTTCTCAATTGCGTCACATCCTCCATATGGAGCCTCCGGATCGCATTTCGGAGCAAGCGTGAATTGGTTTAGCTACATGCGATATCTCAGACAGCACTGGCCCGATTTTGATTAAAGTTGGGTGAATGATGCGTCTTGCCATAGAGATCCGGCATTTACAAAATTACGGATTGGCCCAAGGGAGCTATAGTAATTAAGTGAAATTTGTTAGACACATGCAATATCTCAATTGGTCCAAGGGGGGGCTGAATCATTCGTGGGTGAGGACATGTTTACTGTTGCTAGTTTTGATTTACATTTGTTTGAGTTGTCAACTAACATGAATTCAGCGTGAAATCAACAACAATAATTCACCCTGCCATTGGATTTAGGTTAAAAGGTTTTGCAAATCCAATCAGTTTTCCATGTTGCTTCAACATCATAACATTTAAGTTTTTTGTTGAAATGAAGTGGAAACAACATTGATTTAACCCGTTTTTGCACCACAGGAGGTTGGTGGCACCTTAATTGGGGAGGACGGGCTCGTGGTAATGGCTGGGGTGGAATGCATGGAATGGGATTAAATACATCAAAAACGTAGTTTCCATGTGTTTGATGCCATTCCATTTGCTCCATTCCAGTCATTATTATGAGCCGTCCTCCCCTCAGCAGCCTCCACTGTTTTGCACAGTGGACTGTATGTGGTTGACCCCTTTCTTCTTCCTACCACAAAAAGTAAAAAGACAAAATGTGTCTATCGATGTTATGAAGGTAGTATCACATTCTACACATTCTGGGTTAACTTTCTGGTTGTCTATGTAGACGATTTGCATTACTTCATTTTTCATGACACTACATAAATCCTGCTAAACAACTTTGGTCATAAACTTTGGAACTCAGTATTGTTTTGTCACAGGAAGTCACACGGATATTCTCGTAACGTTGACTGTAGTGGCAAAGTGTGTTAACACATTTGGACCAAAACCCACAATCTCTCGTAGCACCTTCAGTTTCTCTGAGCCACATTTACAATTTGACCACACAGACTTACTCATAGAGAGGCAGCATGTGCCCTTACACTACATTGTACACAGTACCAACCACTGAAGACACCTGTGACTGCAGGACAACTTTTAGCTCAGCAGAAGTTGTTTTTATGTATGTAGTCTACCAGTCTTTGTAGTTATTTGTGCAGCCCCCACCACACCTCACAACTTATGTCTGGTTTCAGCATATGGTAAATGTTTAGCTCCTCCTTCCACCCACACATAGAGTCCTTCCTGGGCTCACTCAGAAAGGTACTGTAGCTATGATATGTAGGAAGACTGAGTGAGAAGCCCACATTTGAGACCATAAAATGGACATCTGGAACAAAGTGATCAACTTGCTGTTTCTTATAGGTAGGATTACTACTTCTTGCTATACAACACATGCATGGTTAAACAATAGAACCATAAAAACATTTGCATTTGCTTTTTGGAATTGCATTTTTCATAGCCCCTTGATTTTCATTGGGTTTTATACTGACTGACATAAACTGCATGCACATGTCTGGATGACCTCCTACCGTGAAGATGCCATCATAATGAAAACAATACTATTACAATGTTGGTCTCATGGCAGGGTAAATAAGAGGGCTTAACTGGATACTGGCCTATATGCTTTGCGCATTTGAGTGGCAACATCCGACAAACAGGTCCCCAATTAAAGTACTGTACTGTACACGGAGTGTACAAAACATTCGGAACACCTGCTCTTTCCATGACATAGACTGACCAGGTGAATCCAGGTGAAAGCTATGATCCCTTATTGATATCACTTGTTAAATCCACTTCAATCAGTGTAGATGAAGGGGAAGAGACAGGTTAAAGAAGGATATTTAAGCCTTGAGACAATTGAGACATGGATTGTGTATGTGTGCCATTCAGAGGGTGATTGGGCGAGACAAAATATTCAAGTGCCTTTGAACAGGGTATGGTAGTAAGTGCCAGGCGCACTGGTTTAAGTGTGTCAAGAACTGCAATGATGCTGAGTTTTTCACGCTCAACAGTTTCCGTGTGTATCAAGAATGGTCCACCACCCAATGGACATCCAGCCAACTTGACACAACTGTGCCAGCATCCCTGTGGAACGCTTTCGATACCTTGTAGAATCCATGCCCCAACGAATTGAGGCTGTTCTGAGGGCAGAAGGGGGTGCAACTCAATATTAGAAAGGTGTTCCTAATGTTTTCTACACTCAGTAGATTGCATGTGCAACATGCTGCAAATATGGTTATCCATTGTCTTACTCTGCTTTTCCCCTGGTCTGAATTCATTCAACTTCTCATTGTTTCTAAAAAAACAAATATATTGTGTTTTATATTACCCTACCCCTTAGCACTCATGGGAACAGTGAAGTCTGCTCTGATCATGGATCCACCCCAAAGGAGAGTGGAAGTCCCTCTTGGCTCCTCTCTGACCCTCAACTGCAGTTTTGAGCCCCAGACTAGTGTCTGGGTGAAGTGGTATTTCAACCAAATCCGATCATGCTGTGACTCTAGTTCCAGTCAACTTTCCTCCCATAAGATATCGGTCAACAAGACTGTGGAGCAGAAGGATGGAGGTCATGTCCTTCAGGAGTCTGGGAGAGCTTGGTCCAGACTGACTGTGAGAGATGTCAGGCACAATGACAGTGGGTGGTACTTCTGCCAGGTTGTGGTAGAAATCCCTTTCCATAGAAACAGTAAAAGCAATGGAACTCAAGTTATTATAAGTAAGTACAAAATAAAATGTTCATCTGATTCATCCTCCTTTCTTCAGCATGTTCATAAATGTATCGTAGTTATAATGGTAATATGTATCATACAACAGTAGCATCAATGGCAGCACTGCTAATATACAGTATATTTTTTAACTCATTGTGTTCTTTATAATGCAGCTGGCAACAAGACAGAGAGTACCCCTCCATTGATGACAGGTAAATCCTTAAGCTTCAACCATAGATGTTCCCTACATCATTTAGCAGACGCTCTTATCCAGAGTGACTTACAGGAGCAATTAGGGTTAAGTGCCTTTCACATGGGCACATCAACCGATTTTTCACCTAGTTGGCTCGGGGATTCAAACCAGCAACCTTTCAGTTGCTGGCCCAATGCTCTTAACCGCTAGGCTACCTGCCACCCCTATGAATGTGTATTTGTGCGTATGTGTTTGTCCGTGTGTATGTGTGTGCGTGCCTGCCTGCATGCATGTGTGCATGTGTGGTTGTGTGTCAATATTTTTCTAAATTACAATGTTGATTTCCATACTTCTTCTTACTGTATACAAAATAAATAAAAGTGTCTCTCTTTGAAGAAATAATAGACATTTCCCCCATGATCTCCCTCCAACCAGTAACTCGGTCTCCCCACTCCAATGGGGGTTTGCTTGTAGGCTGGAAGCTGTGGGTAGCAGTGGGAGCAGCGAGTGCCATACTGGTCACACTGCTAGTGGTCATCTTATTACAACGAAGGAGTAGCAAGATACAAAGAGGTACAAATATGTTTTTGCTATAAAAATTGATTTAGCCAGTAGTATACACACTTTTAACTGTATTAATCTTAACCAGATCTAGTGACCTTCTATGGCAGAGAGGAGTAGTTTGTAGAGGGGGAGGACGGTCAGAGCATATGAAACAGATGAAAGAAAATAAAGATAAATATCCTAGCACTGAGAGAGAGCGAGTGAGTGAGAGAACAATGAAAAAAACAGCAAGCCCTGTGCACTCATTTATAGAGCAGCTCGTATGCTGAAAGACAAGTCTGCCTGTCTCACAGTCCTTAGAGTGTGCTGAATGAGAGCGCAGGTGGTATGTGGTTAGCAGCTCAGAGACAGAGCAGGGGAGAAAATGACATGTGTCAGTGTACATCAGATTGCATGTGGTTACAGCCTCATTCTTTGCAGCCTGTGTCTTGTCCTTTATGCCCAGTCTACGACCTTCTTGAGAGTGCAGGCTGATGTAAATATATGTTGCTGTGACAATTACTGTGGAGTAAATTGTTTTGTTTTTCTTGTGTATTTCTAGAGAATCCTATCTATACCAATTTGCCTCCACCAAACAGATCTGCAGTAAAACAGCCCTCTCCGCGTCCAGGAATACAGATGGACAAACAGAAGATTTCTCCTCCTTTAAAAGATCTCAGGACCCCAACTCTTGCCAGAACCCATGACAACAAACCCATCAAAATCCCAACTCCATGCAAAGCAATTGACAACAAACACCTCAAGATCTCAACTCCACCCAGGGCCCATGACAACAAACACCTCACCAAGACCCCAAATCCACCTAGGGCCCATGACAGCAAACACCTTCCAACTCCTGCCAGGGCACATGACCTCAGGACCCCAACTCCATCCAGGGCCTATGACAGCAAATGATTCATATTTCCTCTCCTGAAACTTCCAACAGATAAAACTATCTCAGCATGTAATTTAGTATCTTGTGAGTGAAGTCCGACTCTGTGCTATCCTCTCTTACACGAACTATCGCTTCAGTATTGTTTTTGGTTGCTGTTCATTCATTTTCCAGCAGATGGCATGCTATGGTAGCCTACTAATTTAGGATAAATTATCGTTGTATAAATATTATTCTCAGGGTCATTTAAAGTTACCGGAGTTCAGTAAAGCATAATTTAGTAACAAGGAAAATAAGTGCTATTTTCTGGAATGTATTTTGTATAGGTTGCCTTTGTAAAAAAGACGGTTTGGCAACACATACTGGGCTTGAAATACATATCTATAGCTGTTTTTAGTGAATTAATAACATTCCATATTTCAATATTTTCTTACAATGGTAGTGCCAAAATTGTGAAACAATAAAGTATGTGACTGGCAATTGTGCTATGAATTTACACAAAATCGGATACATACATCAACCTCGGTGGTTTGTGGTATATGGCCAATATACCACTGCTAAGGGCTGTATCCAGGCACTCCGTGTTGCGTTGTGCTTAAGAACAGCCCTTAGCCGTGGTATATTGGCCATATACCACACCCCCTCGTGCCTTATTGCTTAAATAACTGCGCAAATGTTTTCAGTCAAATGAACAACTAAAATGTATCCCTCAATCAACTTCCAAAGTTCGAAAATAGCATGAAAGCATGAAAATGAGCATTGAATTAGGAATTAGAATACAAGAATGGTTATTAATTTTTTTATGATGGGATCAAGGTCAGACATTTTGGTCAGGGAGTTGGTCAACCATGGTTTGCCAGTGCTGTGATAAGATATTGTGTAAAATAATGATTTTGAAGGATTTATCTGCAGTGTATGTTTGGTAGCTAGCTAGCTAGCTAGCCAGACAGTTTTAGAGGAATGATTCCATAAATTGTTCTAATTAACTGCCAATATGTCAACATTCCATTTGAACAATTCAGTCAATCCACAGCCATACTTAGACCGGCTGAAATCAGTTAATGATAAGATTTAGCTAGACAAGTTGTAAATGCAAGAAGTACTGATATTGTATCACACAATAGCACTTACAGCGTTCCAAGAAAACAAAAATATAGACATTTATTATCTGTTTACATATATTTTACAGGCTATTTATGTACAAAATAAGTATACAACCCATATAAACTGTATTTATAATTGCATGACAATATTTTAGGTTCACAATAATTAAAATTAGACTGGTTTGTATTTCTCACTGAACAATATGGCTGCCATTTTCACCCCATTCTGGAGGTTCGGACTAGAGGGAATACAGCTACTTTTTCATTGCAGGTTAGGATAATTAACGTGGCAGGTTACGATACTTAGGTTAAGGTTTGGAAAAGGGTTAGGAGTAGGGCCGAAAGGAAGAGTCGAAGCGAAAGGGATAACTAGGCCCAAAAGCTGTCTTCTCCAGCAGGTGGCGTTATTTCTGCTCACCAAGCGAGGAGTTTTTGTATCGAGGTCAATGAGAGAGTGTCGACATTTGTAAACAAAACATTTAATGTCTTATTTGCTAGGTGGGGCTATTTGATCGAATAGATAAATTTCATAATGCGGGTTTTTAAGAGTGTACTGATACAAGTAGGACACTTGACATCCCGGCAACTTTGAGAAAATACACTTTATATCGGAGTCGTGCCTGTTGTTCACATGCATATCTGCCCTCTCTTTGGCTAGAATGGTAACAACTGATCGTACCTCTTCCCGACTGCCTTCCATTTTTGAAGACATTTATTTTCATTGTTAAAGCGGCCACTTGAGTATGTGGTCAATATAATGTATAATCTATGGTTAGGGTTAGCTAAAATGTTATCCTAACCTACGACGAAAAGCCTCTACCGGTCGTGCCTGTATTCCCTCAAGTCACAATCCATTCTGGAACTTTTGAGGGTTTATAGCCTCTCTAGTAAGCAGCCAGGTACTTAGGTGGAGCCAGCCTGCATGGATTATCGCGCTCACTAGCCAGCACACGTAACAGGTGGAGCCGTAAAATCATATGGAATCAAATCAAATTGAAGATACTTTGGATACATTTCTAACGGTGTAGACTTAAAAGAAATACCACTACAGCCAGGTAAGTCGTGTATTGCAACTTGCGCGAGGAGCATTCATTGTTAAGTTGTTCTTCATGGGTGAGGTCAGTCGTAAACAAGAGAAGTCAACTAGCAAACTAACTAGCCAGCCACCTTGGTAGCAGGTAGGGTGGTGGAACAAGACTATACACGGCATGCACTCTTTGTAGTGGACACCTTTGATTAGTTTTAAGGTGTAGTGTTCTTCATAAATATAAAATAACTCATCAATATTAGCCCTATTAAAGTAAATAGTTATAGCAAGTTATTTTGATAATTCACCTTTTGCCCACCAGTCATTCCTTTCATTTCTTTATCAGAATCAGAAATTATTTTACATAGGTCTCATGAGTCGTATTAACACACCTAGAGTATCTTCAGGAAGTATTCACACCCTTTGACACTTTCCACATTTTGTTGTGTTGAATTAAAAATGGATTAAATTGAGATTTTGTGTCACTGGCCTACACACTGCCCATAATGTCAGTGAAATTATGTTTTTAAAAATGAAAAGCTGAAATGTCTTAAGTATTCAAACCCTTTGTTATGGCAAGCCTAAAGAAGTTCAGGAGTAAAAATGTGCTTAACAAGTCACATAATAAGTTGCATGGACTCACTCTGTGTGCAATAATAGTGTTTAACATGATTGTTGAATGACTACCTCATGTCTGTACCCCACACATACAATTATCTGTACGGTCCCTCAGTCAAGCACTGAATTTGAAACACAGATTCAACCACAAAGACCAGAGATGTTTTCCAATGCCTCGAAAAGAAGGGCACCTACATTTTTTAATTTTTTGCTAGATGGGTAAAAAAAAAAAGACATTGAATATCCCTTTGAGCATGGTGAAGTTATTAATATAATAATAATAATATGCCATTTAGCAGACGCTTTTATCCAAAGCGACTTACAGTCATTAACTACACTTTGGATGGTGTATCGATACACCCAGTCACTACAAAGATACAGGTGTCCTTCCTAACTCAGTTGCCGGAGAGGAAGGCGCTGTTGACTTTAAAACAGTTACAAAGAGTTTAATGGCTGTGATAGGAGAGAACTGAGGATGGATCAACAACATTGCAGTTACTCCACAATACTAACCTAAATGACAGAGTGAAAAGAAGGAAGCATGTACAGAATAAAAATATTCCAAAACATGCATCTTGTTTGCAATAAGGTACCAAAGTAAAACTGCAAAGAAATTAACTTTATGTCCTGAATACAAAGTGTTATGTTTGGGGCAAACACAACACATCACTGAGTACCACTTCATATTTTCAAGTGTGGTGGCTGCATCATGTTATGGGTATGCTTGTCATCGGCAAGGACTAGGGAGTTTATTTATTTATAAAAATAAACAGAATAGAGCTAAGCATGGGCAAGATCCTAAAGGAAAACTGGGTTGTCTGCTTTCCAACAGACACTAGGAGACAAATTCACCTTTCAGCAGGACAATAACCTACACCACAAGGCCAAATATACACTGGAGTTGCTTACCAAGATGCCATTGAATGTTACTGAGTGGCAGAGTTACAGTTTTGACTTAAATTGGCTTGAAAATGTCTGTCTATCAATAATCAACAACCAACTAGACAGAGCTTGAAGAATGTAAAAAAGAATAATGTGCAAATATTGTACAATCCAGGTGTGCAAAGCTCTTAGAGACCTAACCAGAAAGACTCAGCTGTAATTGCTGCCAAAGTTGATTCTAACATGTATTGACTCAGCGGTGTGAATAATTACAGTGGGGGAAAAAAGTATTTAGTCAGCCACCAATTGTGCAAGTTCTCCCACTTAAAAAGATGAGAGAGGCATGTAATTTTCATCATAGGTACACGTCAACTATGACAGACAAATTCAGGAAAAAAAATCCAGAAAATCACATTGTAGGATTTTTTATCAATTTTTTTGCAAATTATGGTGGAAAATAAGTATTTGGTCACCTACAAACAAGCAAGATTTCTGGCTCTCACAGACCTGTAACTTCTTCTTTAAGAGGCTCCTCTGTCCTCCACTTGTTACCTGTATTAATGGCACCTGTTTGAACTTGTTATCAGTATAAAATACACCTGTCCACAACCTCAAACAGTCACACTCCAAACTCCACTATGGCCAAGACCAAAGAGCTGTCAAAGGACACCAGAAACAAAATTGTAGACCTGCACCAGGCTGGGAAGACTGAATCTGCAATAGGTAAGCAGCTTGGTTTGAAGAAATCAACTGTGGGAGCAATTATTAGGAAATGGAAGACATACAAGACCACTGATAATCTCCCTCGATCTGGGGCTCCACGCAAGATCTCACCCTGTGGGGTCAAAATGATCACAAGAACGGTGAGCAAAAATCCCAGAACCACACGGGGGGACCTAGTGAATGACCTGCAGAGAGCTGGGACCAAAGTAACAAAGCCTACCATCAGTAACACACTACGCCGCCAGCAGACTCAAATCCTGCAGTGCCAGACGTGTCCCCCTGCTTAAGCCAGTACATGTCCAGGCTCGTCTGAAGTTTGCTAGAGTGCATTTGGATGATCCAGAAGAGGATTGGGAGAATGTCATATGGTCAGATGAAACCAAAATAGAACTTTTTGGTAAAAACTCAACTCGTCGTGTTTGGAGGACAAAGAATGCTGAGTTGCATCCAAAGAACACCATACCTACTGTGAAGCATGGGGGTGGAAACATCATGCTTTGGGGATGTTTTTCTGCAAAGGGACCAGGACGACTGATCCGTGTAAAGGAAAGAATAAATGGGGCCATGTATCGTGAGATTTTGAGTGAAAACCTCCTTCCATCAGCAAGGGCATTGAAGATGAAACGTGGCTGGGTCTTTCAGGATGTCAATGATCCCAAACACACCGCCCGGGCAACGAAGGAGTGGCTTCGTAAGAAGCATTTCAAGGTCCTGGAGTGGCCTAGCCAGTCTCCAGATCTCAACCCCATAGAAAATCTTTGGAGGGAGTTGAAAGTCCGTGTTGCCCAGCGACAGCCCCAAAACATCACTGCTCTAGAGGAGATCTGCATGGAGGAATGGGCCAAAATACCAGCAACAGTGTGTGAAAACCTTGTGAAGACTTACAGAAAACGTTTGACCTGTGTCATTACCAACAAAGGGTATATAACAAAGTATTGAGAAACTTTTGTTATTGACCAAATACTTATTTTCCACCATAATTTGCAAATAAATTCATAAAAAATCCTACAATGTGATTTTCTGGGAAAATTTTCTCAATTTGTCTGTCATAGTTGACGTGTACCTATGATGAAAATTACAGGCCTCTCATCTT